CTCCTGCTCCTGCTCCTGCTCCTGCTCCTGCTCCTGCTCCTGCTCCTGCTCCTGCTCCTGCTCCTGCTCCTGCTCCTGCTCCTGCTCTGCTCTGCTCCTGCTCCTGCTCCTGCTCCTGCTCCTGCTCCTGCTCCTGCTCCTGCTCCTGCTTCCTGCTCCTGCTCCTGCTCCTGCTCCTGCTCCTGCTCCTGCTCCTGCTCCTGCTCCTGCCCTGCTCCTGCTCCTGCTCCTGCTCCTGCTCCTGCTCCTGCTCCTGCTCCTGCTCCTGCTCCTGCTCCTGCTCCTGCTCCTGCTCCTGCTCCTGCTCCTGCTCCTGCTCCTGCTCCTGCTCCTGCTCCTGCTCCTGCTCCTGCTTCCTGCTCCTGCTCCTGCTCCTGCTCCTGCTCCTGCTCCTGCTCCTGCTCCTGCTCCTGCTCCTGCTCCTGCTCCTGCTCCTGCTCCTGCTCCTGCTCCTGCTCCTGCTCCTGCTCCTGCTCCTGCTCCTGCTCCTGCTCCTGCTCCTGCTCCTGCTCCTGCTCCTGCTCCTGCTCCTGCTCCTGCTCATGCTCCTGCTCCTGCTCCTGCTCCTGCTCCTGCTCCTGCTCCTGCTCCTGCTCCTGCTCCTGCTCCTGCCTCCTGCTCCTGCTCCTGCTCCTGCTCCTGCTCTGCTCCTGCTCCTGCTCCTGCTCCTGCTCCTGCTCCTGCTCCTGCTCCTGCTCCTGCTCCTGCTCCTGCTCCTGCTCCTGCTCCTGCTCCTGCTCCTGCTCCTGCTCCTGCTCCTGCTCCTGCTCCTGCTCCTGCTCCTGCTCCTGCTCCTGCTCCTGCTCCTGCTCCTGCTCCTGCTCCTGCTCCTGCTCCTGCTCCTGCTCCTGCTCCTGCTCCTGCTCCTGCTCCTGCTCCTGCTCCTGCTCCTGCTCCTGCTCCTGCTCCTGCTCCTGCTCCTGCTCCTGCTCCTGCTCCTGCTCCTGCTCCTGCTCCTGCTCCTGCTCCTGCTCCTGCTCCTGCTCCTGCTCCTGCTCCTGCTCCTGCTCCTGCTCCTGCTCCTGCTCCTGCTCCTGCTCCTGCTCCTGCTCCTGCTCCTGCTCCTGCTCCTGCTCCTGCTCCTGCTCCTGCTCCTGCTCCTGCTCCTGCTCCTGCTCCTGCTCCTGCTCCTGCTCCTGCTCCTGCTCCTGCTCCTGCTCCTGCTCCTGCTCCTGCTCCTGCTCCTGCTCCTGCTCCTGCTCCTGCTCCTGCTCCTGCTCCTGCTCCTGCTCCTGCTCCTGCTCCTGCTCCTGCTCCTGCTCCTGCTCCTGCTCCTGCTCCTGCTCCTGCTCCTGCTCCCTGCTCCTGCTCCTGCTCCTGCTCCTGCTCCTGCTCCTGCTCCTGCTCCTGCTCCTGCTCCTGCTCCTGCTCCTGCTCCTGCCTGCCCTGCTCCTGCTCCTGCTCCTGCTCCTGCTCCTGCTCCTGCTCCTGCTCCTGCTCCTGCTCCTGCTCCTGCTCCTGCTCCTGCTCCTGCTCCTGCTCCTGCTCCTGCTCCTGCTCCTGCTCCTGCTCCTGCTCCTGCTCCTGCTCCTGCTCCTGCTCCTGCTCCTGCTCCTGCTCCTGCCTGCCCTGCTCCTGCTCCTGCTCCTGCTCCTGCTCCTGCTCCTGCTCCTGCTCCTGCTCCTGCTCCTGCTCCTGCTCCTGCTCCTGCTCCTGCTCCTGCTCCTGCTCCTGCTCCTGCTCCTGCTCCTGCTCCTGCTCCTGCTCCTGCTCCTGCTCCTGCTCCTGCTCCTGCTCCTGCTCCTGCTCCTGCTCCTGCTCCTGCTCCTGCTCCTGCTCCTGCTCCTGCTCCTGCTCCTGCTCCTGCTCCTGCTCCTGCTCCTGCTCCTGCTCCTGCTCCTGCTCCTGCTCCTGCTCCTGCTCCTGCTCCTGCTCCTGCTCCTGCTCCTGCTCCTGCTCCTGCTCCTGCTCCTGCTCCTGCTCCTGCTCCTGCTCCTGCTCCTGCTCCTGCTCCTGCTCCTGCTCCTGCTCCTGCTCCTGCTCCTGCTCCTGCTCCTGCTCCTGCTCCTGCTCCTGCTCCTGCTCCTGCTCCTGCTCCTGCTCCTGCTCCTGCTCCTGCTCCTGCTCCTGCTCCTGCTCCTGCTCCTGCTCCTGCTCCTGCTCCTGCTCCTGCTCCTGCTCCTGCTCCTGCTCCTGCTCCTGCTCCTGCTCCTGCTCCTGCTCCTGCTCCTGCTCCTGCTCCTGCTCCTGCTCCTGCTCCTGCTCCTGCTCCTGCTCCTGCTCCTGCTCCTGCTCCTGCTCCTGCTCCTGCTCCTGCTCCTGCTCCTGCTCCTGCTCCTGCTCCTGCTCCTGCTCCTGCTCCTGCTCCTGCTCCTGCTCCTGCTCCTGCTCCTGCTCCTGCTCCTGCTCCTGCTCCTGCTCCTGCTCCTGCTCCTGCTCCTGCTCCTGCTCCTGCTCCTGCTCCTGCTCCTGCTCCTGCTCCTGCTCCTGCTCCTGCTCCTGCTCCTGCTCCTGCTCCTGCTCCTGCTCCTGCTCCTGCTCCTGCTCCTGCTCCTGCTCCTGCTCCTGCTCCTGCTCCTGCTCCTGCTCCTGCTCCTGCTCCTGCTCCTGCTCCTGCTCCTGCTCCTGCTCCTGCTCCTGCTCCTGCTCCTGCTCCTGCTCCTGCTCCTGCTCCTGCTCCTGCTCCTGCTCCTGCTCCTGCTCCTGCTCCTGCTCCTGCTCCTGCTCCTGCTCCTGCTCCTGCTCCTGCTCCTGCTCCTGCTCCTGCTCCTGCTCCTGCTCCTGCTCCTGCTCCTTTCTCTAAGCGTTGCTCTGCGTCCTGTGCCTACCCCCCCACTCTCCCTTAGCCTCGTGCCTTCACTTTCCTCCTCCCCTGAAGTGCTCCTGCTTCTGCTCCTCCAGGTACCATCTCCCACATCAGCAGCCGCCGCAGCAGCAGCAGCCGCAGCAGCAGCAGCAGCAGCAGCACCGCCACCACTACCACCACTCTTCCCCCGCCTCATCCCCTCACTCTCCTCCCCTGAAGTGCTCCTGAGTCTGCTCCTCCAGGCACCATCTCCCATATCAGCAGCAGCAGCAGTAGTAGCAGCAGCAGAAGAACCAACACTGCTCTCCCCTCGCCTCATCATCCCCACACTCTCCTCCTCCCCAGAGCTGCTTATGCTCCTGCTCCTTTCTCTATGTGTTGCTGTGTGTGCGACTCTCCCCGGACTTGGCTCTAGTATCGTTGCACACACATCCACACCGCAAGGAGACACCATCGCAGGAGACACGTTATACGGGGAGACACTGTGAGGAGAGACACTATAAGGAGACACGCTGTGAGGAGGCATGCTATAAGGAGACACGCTATAAGGAGACACATTGTGAGGAGGCGGCAGACAAGATGGGGACACACTGTAATGAGACACACTGTAAGGAGACACACTGTAAGGAGACACATTGTGAGGAGAGACACTGTGGGGAGACAGGCGGACAGGAGGGAAACCAGATGGGGACACACTGTGAGGGGAGAGACTGGAAACACTCCTTCCCCGTCGCTTAATTAAGCACTGCTCCTGCTCCACAGGACCATTCTGAGCCGCAGGATCTGCTTGGATCGATCTGGACCGTCCATGAAGCGTGTCCGCACGCCCCATACCCCCCATTTCGCCCTGAGAGAGTAAATCCACTGAATTGGACCTCGCTCTCCCTCTCAGCGTCTCTGCTCGCCGCATCTCCCGATAATCGCCTCCATTTTGGACCTCTTGAGTCGACTCACAAGTCACTTGGGTGGGTGTCGCCTGGGGTTCGCCCTGAGAGGGTAAATCCACTGAATTGGATCTTGCTCTCCCTCTCAGCGTCTCTGCTCGCCGCATCTCTCGATAATCTCCTCCATTCTGGACCGTTGGATCCACATGGGTGGGTAACGCCTTGGGTTCGCCCTGAGAGAGTAAATCCTCCGAGCTTTGAGACGTCTCAAAACTCGGTGGTTCGCCCTGAGAGGGTAAAATCACTGAATTGGATCTCGCCCTCCCCCTGAGCGTCTCTGATCGCCTCATCTCCCGATAATCGCCTTTCATCTGAGCCGTCGGATCCACGTGCATGGTTCCCGGCCATCCTCTCAGAGTCTCTGCTCGCCGCATTCCGATTGGCTGTTGCTGCTGCTCCATAGCACCACCCAATAGGTCTGATCTCACGCTCCCTCTCACTGTCTCTGCTCGCCTCATCTCCAGCCTGCTTTGAATCTGAACCGTCGGATCCAACTGGGCAGATCTTGCCCGCCCTCTGAGCGTCTCAGATCGCCTCATGTCCCGGTAATCGCCTTTAATCTGAGCCGTTGGATCAACTTGCATGGTTTCAGGCCTCCCTCTCAGCGTCTCTGCTCGCCGCATTTCAACTGGCTTCTGCTGCTGCTGCTGCTGCTGCTGCCGCTGCCACTGCTGCTGCTCTAAAGCACTACCCCTCAAGTCTGACCCCCGCCGCCCTCTAAGTGTCTCTGCTCGCCGCATATCAACTGGCTGTTGCTTCTCGACAGCACTATCCTTAGAGTAGGATTTAGACGCTCCTCTGAGCGTCTCGGCTCGTCTCATTTCCACCACCTGCTGCTGCTGCTCTGCAGCCGCAACAGCAATACCCCGTAGGTCGAATCCTTTGCTAGACTGACCTCTCAGCGTCTCGGCTCGTCTCATTTCCACCACCTGCTGCTGCTGCTCTGCAGCCGCAACAGCAATACCCCGTAGGTCGAATCCTTTGCTAGACTGACCTCTCAGCGTCTCGGCTCGTCTCATTTCCACCACCTGCTGCTGCTGCTCTGCAGCCGCAACAGCAATACCCCGTAGGTCGAATCCTTTGCTAGACTGACCTCTCAGCGTCTCGGCTCGTCTCATTTCCACCACCTGCTGCTGCTGCTCTGCAGACGCAACAGCACTACCCCGTAGGTCCATTCCCCTGCTGGAATGACCTCTCAGTGTCTCGGCCCGCATCATGCAAACAGACTGCTCCTGCTGTGCGTTTCCTGCTGGTGCCTCCAAACGTGTCTGAGAAGCTACGGGTTCTGCTACCCCTTCGTCCATAAGAGACCTGGAACGAGTTCTCAGTGTCTCGACCTTTCGCATTGCCACGGGAATCGCACTCTCAGCAGAAGCAGCCGCGGCAGCGGCGGCGGAGGTGGCGGCACCGGCAATAGCAGTGGCATTACTAGCATGGGCGAAGGGGTCAGAAGTGCGATCATCAACGAGTGATCTGGAACGGCCTCTTAGTGCTTTCCCCTCTTGGCGTTTCGCTGCTACAGCAGAAGACGAAGAAGCAGTGGTAGCAGAGGTGGGAGTAGGAGGAGGGACAGCAGCAGATGAGGTGCAATACGGAATGGCAGAAGCAGCAGCACCATCAGAGGCAACAGCAGTGCTGAAAGTCACCACCCGAGATGCCTCCCCACCTGAACCCGGAACACCATGATAGCTGCTGGACCTGCGCTGAACAACCCTCGACCTCCCTGCTCTTGCACCCTGCCCCTGCTGCCCCTGCTGCCCCTGCTGCCCCTGCTGCCCTTCCTGCCCTTCCTGCCCTTCCTGCCCTTCCTGCCCTTGCTGCTGCTGCCCCTGCTGCCCCTGCTGCAACTGCAGCTGCTGCGAGGGTTGCTGCTGCTGCTGCTGCAAAAGCAGCTGCATTCCTGCACCCTTTCTCCCCATCCTCCCTCCTCTCTCCCCCACTACCACTACCCTCTCTCTCCCCTCCTCTCCTTCCTCTCCCTCTCTCTTCTTGATCCTGGGGGAACTCTTGCTCCTCCTCATACCAGTAACAGGGTAACAGGGCTCCAACCCGAGCTGCCTTGGTTCGGGGCCTCAGGCTCGGCAACCCCCCAGCCTGGGCCACTGGTCTGGTTCGGTGTAACAGGTACGGAGGCTCCCGAGCCTGGCTTCTTGGCTCGGGGGAGGGGAGAGCGGGGTGGGAGCCTGTGGGATGCTGGAACGGGGGAGATGCTGTTCCCAGCGGTTAGGGGCCTGCAGAGGGGTTTTCGGGGGGGGGGGGGGGGGGGAGGGGGAGGTGGTCAGGGGGGAGGGAGAGCGGGGTGGAAGCCTGTGGGTTGCTGGAAGGGGGGAGGCGCTGCTCCCAGCGGTTAGAGGCCTGCAGGGGAGGGTTTGGGGGAGGGGAAGAGGGATTTGAGGGGGTGGAGGGGAGGTTAGGGGGGAGGGAGAGAGGTGGGAGCCTGTGGGATGCTGGAACGGGGGAGATGCTGTTCCCAGCGGTTAGGGGCCCGCAGAGGGGTTTTCGGGGGGGGGGAGGTGGTCATGGGGGAGGTAGAGAGATGTGGGAGCCTGTGGGATGCTGGAAAGGGGGAGGCGCTGCTCCCAGCGGATAGGGGCATGCCAGGGAGGGTTGGGGGGACGGGGAGAGGGGTAAGGGGGGAGAAGAGGAAAAAGGGGGCGGGAGGTCAGGGGAGGGAGAGAGTTGTGGAAGCCTGTGGGATGCTGGAAGGGGGGAGGCGCTGCTCCCAGCGGATAGGGGCCTGCAGGGGAGGGTTTGGGGGAGGGGAAGAGGGATTTGAGGGGGTGGAGGGGAGGTTAGGGGGGAGGGAGAGAGGTGGGAGCCTGTGGGATGCTGGAACGGGGGAGATGCTGTTCCCAGCGGTTAGGGGCCTGCAGAGGGGTTTTCGGGGGGGGGAGGTGGTCAGGGGGGAGGTAGAGAGATGTGGGAGCCTGTGGGATGCTGGAAAGGGGGAGGCGCTGCTCCCAGCGGATAGGGGCATGCCAGGGAGGGTTGGGGGGACGGGGAGAGGGGTAAGGGGGGAGAAGAGGAAAAAGGGGGCGGGAGGTCAGGGGAGGGAGAGAGTTGTGGAAGCCTGTGGGATGCTGGAAGGGGGGAGGCGCTGCTCCCAGCGGATAGGGGCCTGCAAGGGAGGGTTTGGGGCTCTTCACATCAAGAGCCCACGTGAATGAACAAACACATGGTTTTGAGTCGACTCAAAAGCAGTTTTGAGTCGACTCAAAAGCAGGCCCGCGTGAATGAACAAACACATGGGGGTGCCAAGGAACACACCCGCATGGATCCCCCCAAGTGGACCCGCATGGATCCCCCCAAGTGGACCCGCATGGATCCCCCCAAGTGGACCCGCATGGATCCCCCCAAGTGGACCCGCATGGATCCCCCCAAGTGGACCCGCATGGATCCCCCCAAGTGGACCCGCATGAACGAAAACACCCGCAACATGTGAACTCACGTGAACGTCAAGAGAGACATGTGAACATGAATGAACAAACACATGAAGAGCCCGCATGAATGAACAGGGTGCCAACGAACACACCCGCATGGATCTTACATGAAGAGTATGTCCTTGCCCTCCAACTGAGGCTTCCAAAATCTCGTCACGTACTATGTAGACTCACATAAATCATGTAGACTCACATAAATCATGTAGACTCACATAAATCAAGTAGACTCACATATATCATGTAGACTCACATAAATCATGTAGACTCACATAAATCATGTAGACTCACATGTGGTACTCGTCGTCACCATCTGCGTCCTCCTGCCCTCCTCCTCCTCCCTGCCTCGCGTCATCACCCTCGCCTGCACCATTGCCGGCCCTCGCATCATCCCCTGCTGCTCCCCCTCCATTCCCAGCACGCATCCACCTCTCTTGCGCCATCGCCCCTTCCCATCCTCCCTGCCTCGCGCCATCACCCTCGCCTGCAGCACCATTGCCGGCCCTCGCATCAGCCAACGCCGCCCTGCCTTCGCCCGCCCCCATGCCTCCTCCCACCCCCCCCATGTCTCCTCTCAAACTCCCCATGTCTTCTCCCATCTCCCCCTCTTCAAGAAACCCCGAGTCTTGCCCCACCAGCTCTCCCTCCCTAGAAAACGCCGAGTGATGCCACTCACGCCAAGTAGGCGAACAAAACTCCGCCTCATCCTCCTCCTCTCCTTCCTCCTCCCCCTCTTCTTCCTCCTCCTCCTCCTCCTCCTCTCCTTCCTCTTCGTCCTCTGCTCTGCCCATCCCCCTCTCTCTCCATCCCTCCCACCCTTCCCCCCTCCATTCCCCTGCCCCTTCCCCATCTCCCTCCTCCCCAATCTCTATCCCCTCCCAATCCATCCCACAGCTGGGACCAGGCGAAGGACTTGGGGAGGGCACTTCTAGAGATAGCACCTGCGCCCTTCCAGTTGCGCCTCCCCCAGATAGCACCTGCCCGCGTTCCGCCGCCCTCCCCATGAAGACCACCTGCGACCGTGGCGCAGGCGGTTCGATAAACAGCACCTCTGGTGGATGCTGAGTCAGCACCTGCTGACTCAGCACATGCTGAATCGGCACCTGCTGAGTCAGCGCCTCTGGATCTCTCGTCTCGAAGGATAGCTCCTCCTGCGTTTCGCCTCCTCCTGGGCTCACCACTCCACCAGACCGTCTTTTAAAACTACGTGCACCAGATCTACGTCCCCCTGGGCTGACCCGTGCAGCACTCGTACTGGATCTACCTCCCCCTGGGCTTGCCCATGCACCTGCATCAGATCTACCCCCCCCTGGGCTTATCCCTGCACCAGCATCAGATCTACCTCCCCCTGGACTCACCACTCCATTACCTCCCCCTGCTGCTCCCGGACTGGCTCCCCCACCTCCCCCTCCCCTTCTCCTTCCCCCTCCCCCTCCCCCTCCGCCTCCCCCTCCCCCCGGACTAACCACAGCCGCGGCCCCTACAGACGGAGTAGGCGGACGGCCCCCCCGCCTCCCCTTCCCCCTGCCCCCCTTCCGCCCCGGAGTGGCCACAGCAGCAGCAGTGCCGGGGGCTCTTGGGGTGGTAACCGCCATGGTGGTGAGCGGTACCATGCGGTTCCGCATGGTGTGGGACCTTCGGGTGAACAACGCGGAAACGACTATCCCTGCTGCTACTGCGTCTGCTGGTGACGAGTCGGATGCGGCTGACGTGTCACCTGCTGCTGATGCTGCCAGCTCAGCAGCTGCCAGGTCAGCAACCACGTCAGCACCAGAGACAATCTGAGCTTCAGCACGCCATCTGTGCTCCCTTCCCCTTTCTCTCCCGGCCTCCCCTCTCCCTCCTCTCCCTCCCCCTCCCCCTACAGTCACACTGCTACAGTCGCTGCCATAAGATTCGGTTCGGGAAAAGGTGCTGCCAAACGTGCTGTCGAAGCTACCAGGTGGGCTCGGGGAGGAAAGCACAACTCGTCCGGACAAGGTTTGGGACCTCCGAGCCTGAAACGCAGCCTTGACTGTTGCAATTTCCCCCTCTGCTTCCCCCTCTGCTCCCCTCTCCCTCCCCTCCTCTAATCGCCCCGTTGTTTCCGCTTCCCCTTCCCCTTCCCCTCCCCCTTCCCCTTCCCCTTCCCCTCCCCATTCCCCTCCCCCGTCCCCCTCCCCACTCCCCCTGTCCCATCCGCGCAGCTCCATAGACGCGCTGCTGGCGGTAGCCGCGCGCACGAACCTCCGTCGATGGCCCCCCGACCGGCTGTAGCGCGGCGCGCTGCTGCTAGAACTCCGCGCTACAGCCGCCGCAGCTGTAGCGTCGTTAGCTACTACAGCGGCGGCCGCGCTTTGACTCCTGGGTACTACAACCGCCGCAACGCCAGCGGCGGCGCCGCCGCCGCACGCTCCCCGAGCGACCGCGTTTGTAGCAGATCCGTTTGAAGCATATTCGCTTGTCTCAGTAATTCGGCTCTCAGGCGTCGCACTGACGGTGGTATCCGTAACGTCGTAGTTGGTTGTCGATCCTGAGCTACTAACGGAGACGCCACTATCGGGGACAGTACCAGCAGACTGACGCGCCTGATGCGACTGCCCCGCCGTCCCCGCACCAAACCCATTCTGCTGCAGCGCATCCCGACCGTCCAATTCTATCCCCTTATCATCGCCACCGTCCACATTATCCACCCAATTAGCTAGTCTTCCTGCTTCCGCCGCCTCCCACACGTCTTGAATTGGCGCCTCAGGGAGACAGTTAGCATCCGCGCTCCGGCTCGTTATCCGCTGCACAAACTGCCTCCGCCGAGACACGTGCCCCTTCCGCGCATCGTCCTTCCGCGCTCCCCCTTTCCGTGCATCTTGCGCCGATCCCTGCGCTTCGCCGCGTGCCTTCCCCTGCGACGCCTTCAACTGTCCGTTCCGCGAAACTTCCGCCTCCTGCGCCGCGGGCCATCCTTGCGCGTCGCCGTGCGCTTGCGCTTGCGCTTCCCCCTGCTGCGCCTGCGCGCCCTGCCAGAGCGACAGTTGGCGCACCCACTCCAGGTGATGCGGGGACTTGGGACGCAGCGCCGGGGGACCCTCGCGGAGCGGGCGCTGCTCCGCGGGGCGCTGTTCCGCGGGGGATTTGCGCGCCTGTTCCACAGAAGACTTGCGCGGGAGGAATGAGGGGAGCGACGTCTTGCGCTCGAGGAGGGACGAGTGACTCGGCGCGGGGCCGACGGAAGAACACGCGGGGATGGCGGAAGGAAGGACCGCGGCGGTCTTTGGGCGTTCTGGCGGAGCGCCGCGCTCCTCCTTGCTGCTGCTGCGGAGCAACGGCAGGTGCAGGATGCGAGGCATCGCGGACGGCTAGCCGGAAACTATCGTAAGAATTGCCAGGCGTTAAAGCCGGCCGTCACGGACAATGGTACCAGCGGAGACCTTTACCGGCCTTGACATGATTTGTATCGATTCCGTGAATCCTTTCTCCCAATCTGTCACGCTAAGTGCCATCACGATTGTGAAAAAGAGAGCGCGCTACCTGTTTCGCTGGAAAACGCTGAAAGGGCGGCTTTTACTCGTGCAGAGCATCAGAATCTTCCTGGATATAATTATTTTATGTCGAGCAGACTCGGAAACGTAGCGTTCCACAACTGCGCTAACCGACGGTTTCAAGAGCACGTCGACAGTCGTGATTCTCTTCTAAGCTTGGCTTGTCCGATACCAACGTTCCAGGCATCAATCCCCTACTCTCACTCCCTGTGACCGCTACTCCACCTTCACAATGACCGAAACTTCATCAGTCGCGCGCCACAAAACGAGCAGGGGCACACTAGCGAAGGGAAGGGACAGAAAGCAAATGGGTTGGCTTGGAGAGTTTGATCATAATATGAACTCCAGCAAGAGCGCATTCCTGGCCAGGGACAGGTTACAGCTTGAGCCGTCGCACACACCAAAGTTTCAAGTTACAAAATCGCGTCACGGAACAAAACTATTACAAGGCTCGGTCGTAGAGAGTCGTATGGTTGTCGTCTGGTAGACATTCCTAGTTCGTAACAAGCAAGAATGCGGCATGGGGGCATGTGCTATGATGAAGAATCAGGGAAGGTCCGACTTTTTTTTACTGTACGCAACTGTACGTGATTTTGTGTTCCGAGGTGCAGATTCGGATTATTTTGCAATTTTGTGTGTGAAGCTCACTGTACACTGTACGCTGTTTTTGTGCGTGTGGGGGATTTGGCTCACCAGCATCAGTGATTCCCAAAATCGGGCAGGCTAATAACGCTGGATGTCGTGCCTTTGTCCGTTGCCTTGAAATTGGACGTGGGTGGCATTCTCTGAAAGGACCTGGATATTGTCGAGGATAATGCCACACAGTATCAACCACCACCTGCTTGTGGCCCACAACAGGTTCAACAGCCTCGGAGTGTTTGAAATCTCCAGTGTATATGAGTTGGCGAAAGTTATCCCTTATACCAGTAACCATTGTTTTGGTACTAGTTCATCAGAGTTGGGCGGACAAAATGGATTGACGATACAATGAATGACACAGCATCATCATATAACGGGCTAACCTAGCTGACACCTGTTCGTGCCATCCTTCTACCTACGGTACCATGCCCCAGTAGCCTCTCTAGTGCACTGTGGTACCTTGCTGCTGCATATGTTCACTTGCCATTCCCTGCTACTAGCCATTCATTCTTACGAGTCTACAGCAACCTCCAGTCTCCTCATACTCCTCTATCCTCCTCACACTGCATCCTATCACTTGCCACACCATCCTTTCTATGCCTCTCATCCACTCCCCTCTCCTGCCTCCCATACCCCAGAAGCCATTCCAGTGCAGTTTGGTCCATAGTCTCCAGCAGCCGCCTGTCATCTTCCTCCACCTGCAGAGTCAATCATTTGCCACTCCCACCACCATCCTTTTCCTGCCTCCCCCCGCCCACTCCCCTCTCCTCTCTCCCATACCCCAGCAGCCTTTCCAGTGCAGTTTGGTCCATAGTCTGCTTCAGCCGCCTGTCATCCTCCTCCTCCTCTTCCATCCTCCTAATCCTCTTGCATGAATCACTTGCCATTCCCACCGCCATTCTTTTCCTGCCTCTTCTCCTCTCTCCCATACCCCAGAGCCTTTCCAGTGCAGTTTGGTCCATAGTCTGCAGCAGCCGCCGGTCATCCTCCTCCTCCTGCTGCATCCTCTCCCAGCTGCTGCATCCTATCATTTGCCACTCCCACCACCATCCCTCTCCTGCCTCCCACTCATTCTCGTCTCCTCCCTCCCATACCCCAGCAGCCGTTCCAAGGCAATAGATCCATAGCCTGCAGCAGCCGCCTGTCAATCTCATCCTACTCCTCTCCCGGCTGGATGAATCACTTGCCATTCCCACCGCCATCCTTTTCCTGCCTCGTCTCCTCTCTCCCATACCCCAGCGGCCGTTCCAGTGCACTTTGGTCCATAGTCTTCAGCAGCCGCCGGTCGTCCTCCTCCTCCTCTTCCATCCTCCTCATCCTCTTGCATGAATCACTTGCCATTCCCACCGCCATTCTTTTCCTGCCTCGTCTCCTCTCTCCCATACCCCAGCAGCCGTTCCAGTGCACTTTGATCCATAGTCTGCAGCAGCCGCCGGTCATCCTCCTCCTCCTCTTGCTCCATCCTCGCTTTAGCCTGCTCTGCTACACTCTCAGCCAGAGCCTTTGCTGCCTCCTCCTGCCACGTGGACAGCAGACATTGGTCGACAAGAGAGAGAGAACAACCAATGGTTGGAGAAAAAGGCGTGAAACACATTGAGGCTAAACAGCGGTCAAGCAAATCATGACAAATCGAGGCTAAACGCTGGGATTGGTTTTGCTTGTATCGCTTCGAAAAAACCCTTTTCAACAGTTATACAAACTAAAGAGGCATGAAGCACAAAAGGTCAAGTAACATGTGATGTTCTAGTGCTAGACATGGTTTTCTGACGCACGCAAATGAGTGTTACAAAACGGTGTGTTACGAGGAAACTCTGCAATCCGAGTGCTATAGACCACCACTCGCCTCACCTTCTCATCTCAGTATAATTACCTCCCACCGCATTCCACCGCCCCCCACCACCCCTCACCATGCCATCAAGCTGTTGCTTCAGCTGCTGCATCTCCCCCACCACTCGCCTCACCTTCTCATCTCAGTATAATTACCTCCCACCGCATTCCACCGCCCACCACCACCCCTCACCATGCCATCAAGCTGTTGCTTCAGCTGCTGCATCTCCCCCACCACTCGCCTCACCTTCTCATCTCAGTATAATTACCTCCCACCGCATTCCACCGCCCACCACCACCCCTCACCATGCCATCAAGCTGTTGCTTCAGCTGCTGCATCTCCCCCACCACTCGCCTCACCTTCTCATCTCAGTATAATTACCTCCCACCGCATTCCACCGCCCACCACCACCCCTCACCATGCCATCAAGCTGTTGCTTCAGCTGCTGCATCTCCCCCACCACTCGCCTCACCTTCTCATCTCAGTATAATTACCTCCCACCGCATTCCACCGCCCACCACCACCCCTCACCATGCCATCAAGCTGTTGCTTCAGCTGCTGCATCTCCCCCACCACTCGCCTCACCTTCTCATCTCAGTATAATTACCTCCCACCGCATTCCACCGCCCACCACCACCCCTCACCATGCCATCAAGCTGTTGCTTCAGCTGCTGCATCTCCCCCACCACTCGCCTCACCTTCTCATCTCAGTATAATTACCTCCCACCGCATTCCACCGCCCACCACCACCCCTCACCATGCCATCAAGCTGTTGCTTCAGCTGCTGCATCTCCCCCACCACTCGCCTCACCTTCTCATCTCAGTATAATTACCTCCCACCGCATTCCACCGCCCACCACCACCCCTCACCATGCCATCAAGCTGTTGCTTCAGCTGCTGCATCTCCCCCACCACTCGCCTCACCTTCTCATCTCAGTATAATTACCTCCCACCGCATTCCACCACCCACCATCACCCCTCACCATGCCATCAAGCTGTTGCTTCAGCTGCTGCATCTCCCCCACCACTCGCCTCACCTTCTCATCTCAGTATAATTACCTCCCACCGCATTCCACCGCCCACCACCACCCCTCACCATGCCATCAAGCTGTTGCTTCAGCTGCTGCATCTCCCCCACCACTCGCCTCACCTTCTCATCTCAGTATAATTACCTCCCACCGCATTCCACCGCCCACCACCACCCCTCACCATGCCATCAAGCTGTTGCTTCAGCTGCTGCATCTCCCCCACCACTCGCCTCACCTTCTCATCTCAGTATAATTACCTCCCACCGCATTCCACCACCCACCATCACCCCTCACCATGCCATCGAGCTGCTGTTTCAGCTGCTGCATCTCCCCCACCACCCGCCTCGCATGCTCCAACGCCGTTTCCTCCACCACCTGCTGCTGTGCCACCCGCAGGGCCCTCAGCTGAGTGGGGAAGGGGGAGGAGAGGAAGAGAGATGGGTGCGTGCAAACAGAGTCAGCAAGTACACACTCCCCCACCACTCGCCTCACATGCTCCATGCTGTTTTCTCAGCGCCCTCAGCTGCGAGGGAGAAGACGGGAGAAGAGGAGGGAACCAAGAGGAACACAAATTCACAAACAATCTATTTGACACCTATTCTGCCCGACACCTGTTCTTCCCGACACCGATTCTGCCCGCCACACCGATTCTGCCCGCCACACCGATTCTGCCCGCCACACCGATTCTGCCCGCCACACCGATTCTGCCCGCCACACTGATTCTGCCCGACACACCGATTCTGGTCAACACACCGTGTCTCACCGTAGCGCCTTCCATCCATCTGCACTCGTGTGCACATGCCTTTCAGACGCCTGCTCAACCGCATGCCTCTCGTGCGCGCACGGGTGCGCATGCCTTGTGCATATGAGTGTGTGTATCTCACCGTAGCGCCTTCCGACCATCTGCACTCGTGTGCACATGCCTTTCAGACTCCTGCTCTGCTCAACCACATGCCTCTCACACAGCGTGTGCGTATGCGCGTGTGAGTGTGTGCCTGTCTAGCTCCAAGTTCCCCGCCCCAAGAAGAACACCCACGCGTGCACCGCACACAACCAGCCCTCACCGTTCCTAACCGAACCAGATGGCTCTCGTGTGCGTATCCAGCACACTGCTTATGCGAGAATTCTCACCGCTTCTTACCAGACCACATACCTCTCCTGTGCGTGTGCTTGTCTCACCTTAGCGGCTTCGAACTGCAATCTTTTCGTCTGCCGCGCTAGCTCCAAATCCCCCTTCCCCGTGAAGAGCACCCACGCGTGCATCCCACACGACCGGTCCCCACCGCTTCGTACCGGACCAGATGCTTCTACTGTGCGTGTCCCACCTTTCCCGCTTCGAATTGAAGACGATTCGTCTGTCGCGCTAGCTCCGAGTTTCCCAGCCCCGTGAAGAACACCCACGCGTGCATCCCACCCACACGACCGGTCCTCACCGCTTCATACCAGACCACATTCCTCGCGTGTGCATGTGCGTGTGAGCGTCTCACCTTAGCGGCTTCGAACTGCAATCTTTTTGTCTGTCGAGCCAGCTCCATATCTCCCTTCCCCGTGAAGAACACCCACGCGTCCCACCCACGCGTGCATCCCACACGACCAATCCTCGTCGCTTCTTACCATACCAGAAGCCTCACCTCACCTTAGCGGCTTCGAAATCTCTTCGTCTGTCGCGCCAGCTCCGAGTCCCCCTTCCCCGTGACGAACACACACACGTGCATCCCACACGACCAGCCCTCACCGCTTCAGATGCCCCTCGTGTGCGTATCCAACACTCACCTTAGCGGCTTCGAATTGCAATCTCTTCGTTTGTCGCGCCAGCTCCGTATCTCCCTTCGCCGTGAAGAACACCCACGCGTCGCGCACCATGCGCAGCGCGCGAATCATCCCGACCTTCCGCGATTTCCGCGATTTCCGCGATTGCGATTCAGCAGCATGCAGAAACGTGCAGAAAGAAAAACGACGAGCAGAGCTGTGAATGAGCCTAGCAGCACGCGAAACGAGCAGAGCTGTGAATGAGCCTAGCAGCACGCGAAACGAGCAGAGCTGTGAATGAGCCTAGCAGCACGCGAAACGAGCAGAGCTGTGAATGAGCCTAGCAGCACGCGAAACGAGCAGAGCTGTGAATGAGCCTAGCAGCACGCGAAACGAGCAGAGCTGTGAATGAGCCTAGCAGCACGCGAAACGAGCAGAGCTGTGAATGAGCCTAGCAGCACGCGAAACGAGCAGAGCTGTGAATGAGCCTAGCAGCACGCGAAACGAGCAGAGCTGTGAATGAGCCTAGCAGCACGCGAAACGAGCAGAGCTGTGAATGAGCCTAGCAGCACGCGAAACGAGCAGAGCTGTGAATGAGCCTAGCAGCACGCGAAACGAGCAGAGCTGTGCATGCGCCTATTCAGCTGAGCGGCAGGCAGCACAATCACTCCTCCTCAGGGCTCCCTCTCCCGTCTCCCACTTCCCTGCTACCGACTTTCGAATCTACTCAAGAATCACGAGCAGAACTGTGCGTGCGCCTTGTCACCGGCCGCGCGCCTATTCATCTGAGCGGCAGGCAGCACAATCACTCCTCCTCAGGGCTCCCTCTCTCGTCTCCCACCTCCCTGCTATCCCAGGCGCCTCAAAATACTTTCCTGCTATCCCTCCTCCTATCCTCTCCTCTCCTCTCCTCTCCTATCCTCTCCTCTCCTTTCCTCTTTCTCGCCCCCACGCTGTTCTTCCCCTGCGTCTCCGGTGTGTAGCTCTGAAAGAAGCTGTTTTTGAGTCGACGCAAAAAAAAAAGAAGCGAAACTGTTTCCGAGTCGACTAAAGAATTGTCTACCTTTTCCTACGGCACGGTGAGTACTGAGCGAAACGGTGGCGACGAATGGCCCTTGGGAACAGGAATGCGGAATAAGCGTCTCGATTGTGGTGGAAGCGGGGTGCGTGGAGCGCGGAGGGCCCGGTGAGGTGACGAGCTACGCGGGTGGAGCGGCGGGTTGAGCGGCGGGTGGTGCGGCGGGGGTCGTTATGGTGAGTGGACTTTATTTGGGGGATTGTGGGTTTCGTGATGTCGCTGCACCGACCTGTATCGCTTCTGACCGTTGTGAGAACCGCGCTGTAAGGTTATGGAGCAATACGATCTTCAAGACAAAATGCATTCCAAAATATGTAGTTTAAAACCAGGGTGCACATTCAACGCGGTTCGGCTTGAGATGTTGGGAAGGGGGTTTGGAGAAAAACAGTGATTGGCTCACGAGGGGCGACAAAAAAATGATTCCGCTAGAGCTTCGGGCATTTCGTAGGTGGCGGGAGGGGGTGAAATGGCGGGAGTGGGTGAAACCGAATGGCGGGAGGGATGAAACAGATTGGCGGGAGGGGGGGGAAACGAAATTGCGGGGGAGGGGGGAAACAAAATTGCGGGGGAGGGGGGAAACGAATTTCGACGGGGAGGGGGAAATGAAATTGCGGGGGCGTGGGGAAACGAAATTGCGGGGGAGGGGGGAAACGAATTTCGACTTGAAGGGGTTGAAAGCACACCTCGTAACCCACTCAGTCAAGGGATAACCTTTGATGCACATTCAGCTGAATGTGCACCCCGGTTTTAACAAAAAAATGTTCTGAATCATTACACTACCTGACCACGTAGGGGTGAAGTGTTTCGCTGCCTCAGTCCTTCCATCCGCCCAGGGCTGACACTATCAGACTGGATAGTTTGATTAAGTTGACGAATCAGACATTTGATTTGAGCTGCTGTCCCCTGATTTTTCAGATTCAGCGGGGCCAATGCTTGATTGCTGTAGTTGCAGCACAACCCTCCTCTTTTCTGCTCCTACACCAGCCGTAGCTGTACCGTGCATGCAAAGTAAGGTAATGTGCTGCCAATGCTTTATAGTGAGTTCCTCAATACACCATATATGGACAGCAAATACTAGTGCCCTCCCCTCTTGTGTTCGGACACCAGCTGTTGCTGCACATCCTGAGGCACGGCACTGTGCTGCCAGTACTCCATAGTGAACTCCCCTTTACCCTGTAGCACATAGCATGCACAGATTCAGGTAAGCCACAGGCATAAAACGTCAAAGCACAAGACGAGGGTCCCCAACGAAATCTCCATAACCCCCGAGAGAACCCATGTGTCATTTTTTTAAGCTTAATGAAAACATCTCACATCGATTCATTACTGCTGCAGCGCATCACCATCGCTGTGCCATGTCATATACTAATATCTCATGATGGCATTACCCCTCTCATGCCATTTTGCAAATCCCATGTCACTTCACGGACCTAATGCCATGATTCTATTCAGCCCATACCATACTGTGTTGCACCGATGTTCCTTCCACCACCACCACCACCACCATCACCACCATATACCATCACATATTCCTCTCACCCATCCCAATGCTATTCCACCCATCCCATGCGCGCACCTGTGTCATGGAGCGAAGGTCAGTGGAGTAGCCAAACATATTGTTCAGTGGGACCTGCAGTTAGGAGAGAAGGGGAAAAGGGGGGAAGAAACAGAGGGGCACGGTAGAAAAGAATGGGAGAGGATAAAAGGGAGAGTTAAGGAAGCATTGGTAACAAACCCGAGCGTTGAAGGTGACATCATTCCCATCCTGCTCAGTGCCCGCAATAATGCCCTTGCGCCTGATTATGGTTGCGCATGCATAAACACATTTTTGGTTCGACTCAAAGGTCAAATCTGGGCCTTGATAGTATCCCACCTGAGCGTTGATGGTAACCCAAACTGGTGTTTATCAGAACTCACCTGAGCGTTGATGGTTATGTCGTCCCCATCCTGCTCACTGCCCACTATTATGCCCTTGCGCCTGATCATGATTGCTCATGCATACACACATACACATGCACATGCACAGACACACAGAGGCAGTTTGCAATCAAACACACACACATAAATGCGGAAGGGCACCAGAATAGAATGAAAGACTTTTTTTTTTTTTTTTTTTGTAAGAAAGAAAGGAAGAAAGAAAGGAAGGAAGAAAGGAAGGAAGAAAGGAAAGAAGCTTCTCAATCATGCAACATGACAACATCAGGTGGAGCCACTCTGCTTCACTGTTCACAACCAAATATGTATGCTCAGCTCTGCATGTAAAACATTCTTACAAAATTCCCAAACCTTTCTCCTCAGTTCTCACCTGTTGATGTTCCCAATGATCGTTCCTTGAAACTCCACCGGAGCCTTCACCTCCACTGCCATCACTGGCTCTAAAATCACAGGCCGTGCCTTCTCATAGCACTGCATTGGAGTACGGGTTGAGGCGTAGAGGAAACGTAGTGGTTGGGGTTGGTGGGGAGGTGTGGGAGGTGAGATCAGAACTCCATTGATGCCGTCACCTCCACTGCCATCACGGGCTCTAGAATCACAGGCCGTGCCTTCTCGTAGCACTGCATTGGGGGTACAGGGTATGGAAGGTACGGCGTTAGGAGGCGGAGGTTGGGGGTCGTTGGGGGTGATTCGGGGTGGTGGGGAGGTGTGGGAGGTGAATTGATAGCTCCACCGGTGCCTTCACCTCCACTGCCATCACTGGCTCTAGAATGACAGGCCGGGCCTTCTCATAGCACTGCGATTGTTGAAAATAGGAGGAGGACTTGATGATGTAAGTTGGAAGCGGTAAGGGGTGATTGATTGGAGTGGTGGGGAGGGGAGGTGTGAGAGAGACAGGAGATCAGAACTCTGCCAGTACATCACCGGTGTAGTTTTGAGGCGCCTCAAAACTAGGGAAACATAACTCTGCCAGTGCCTTCACCGGTGCGAATACATGAACAGACTCGATAGACGATCAATGTGTGTAACTAAACTCACCTGTCTGAAGGCATAGAGGGCTGCGAGCTTGAAGGCCAAGTCACTACTATCGACTGCGTGGGAGGCACCGTCATTGAGCACACAGCGAATGTTCACCACTGGATGGCCGATGAGCCCTCCACTGGGAGGGGAGAGACGGTGGGAGGGCGAGGCACACAGGCAGGAGGTGGCAGGTTAACAGTCAATACAGCATGGCAGGCACTGTTGGGGAGCACACAGCGGATGTTGACCACTGGATGACCGATGAGGCCACCACTGCGGAGAGTTATGGAAGGGAGAGGAGCACAAAGACAGGAGGCGGTGTAACAGCGAAAGGTGGGGAGAAAGCAACGTGTGTTAAGCACCATTGGTGAGCACACAGCAGCGTATGTTGACTTCTGAATGACCAATGAGCCCTCCACTGGACTGGACGGGGAAGAGGGACAAGGTGGTGGAAGGTACGCAGACAAGAGGCAGTCTAGCAGTCAATACAGTGAGATAAGCACAAAGCGTGGGAGGCACCGTGGGTGAGCACACAGCGGATGTTGACCACTGGATAGCCGATGAGCCCTCCACTGGTCCCTCTAAGCTGATTCTCCCTCACTGCCGTGGGATGGCCGTGCCGAAAACCTAGTTGTCAAACACCACCCGGGAGTCACTGCCGTGCTGCCTGCCAGTGCTTCTCTTCCAGTGCTGTGCCTTACGATCTTTACTCACCTGTTGGCAGCCTCCAAGAAGCCCTTCTCAATGCCTGCAAAGAAGTTGGATGGGATGGCGGTGCCGACAATCTCATTGTCAAACACCACTTTGGAGTCGGAACCCGATGCATCCTCCAAAGGCTCGATGTAGCTGGTGGTGGGAGGCAGAAGAGGATGAGAGGGTGGGAAAGAGAGGGCGAAGGAGGGAGGGAGGAGACTTAGATTGAAACTCTGAGACTTTGTTGGAGGGGATGGCCGTGCCGACGATCTCGTTGTCAAACACCACTTTTGAGTCCGAGCCCGATGCATCTTCCAGTGGCTCGATGTAGCTGGTGGGAGAGATGTGTGAGGAAAAAGGGGGAACAGGAGAAAGTGGATGGGTGAAATCAGATTAGCTTTTTGAGACGCCTTGATACATGATGGTGCCGTGCCGACGATCTCGTTGTCAAACACCACTTTTGAGTCCGAGCCCGACGCATCTTCCAGTGGCTCGATGTAGCTGGTGGTGAGGGTGAGAAAGGATGGGAGGGTGGGAAAGTGAGGGTGACGGAGGGAGGGGATGGCCGTGCCGACAATCTCATTGTCAGACACCACCTGGGAGTCTGAGCTGGATGCGTCCTCCAAAGGCTCGATGTACCTGGTGGGAGGGAGAGATGGGGATGGAGAGGTTGAGGGGAATAGAGGGGTGAGAGGGGGTGTGAAGGAGGGCGAGAGTGAACAGGGGAGAGGGGGAGGAAGACGGGGAGGGAGAGGGGGAGGGAGAGGGCGAGATGCAAGAGGAAGGGAAGGGAAAGGGTGAGAATGTAGAATCCACATTGAGCGAATTGTGATTATCAAGTCAAGCATCGTGCCATTCTTGTTCCCGTAGCAAATCACTCAGAGAGGCACAACGCGACCATGCCATAGTGCGCCGTGCCCCTGCCCTCCAAGATTAGAGACACGGGCACAACTCTCAATAAGAGCCGTTGATCACACAGAGAGGTCTCGTAAAGATTGCATGGGCCACTCACTCACCCAATCACACGCCCATACTGCCCCTGCCCGCCGCTCTGCTTCTTGTGCGTGTAGTCAAACTCAGCCCTCTGTGTGACCATCTCCTGTTGCTCAGTCCCCTCAAGCCTCACCTACCCCATCACACGCCCATACTGCCTCTGCCCTCCCCCCTCCCCCTCCCCTCTTCACTCACCCGATGACTCGCCCGTACTGCCCCTGCCCTCCGCTCTGCTTCTTGTGCGTGTAGTCAAACTCAGCCCTCTGTGTGACCGTCTCTCGGAAGTTCACCTGCGGCTTGCCCACCACTGTGTCAACCTGGCGGGTGAAGCAAGATGGGGAAATAAAGTGGAAAGGTGGGTGGGAAGGAGGGGTTAGGTGGGGTGGGATGGGGTGGAGGTGGGGTGGGGTGAGGGGCCCCTGTAGTCAAACTCCGCCCTCTGAGTGACTGTCTCTCGGAAGTTCACTTGAGGCTTGCCCACCACCGTGTCAACCTGACAGGCAGGTGAAGCAGGATGTGGAGATGAAGTGAAAGGTGGGAAGGAGGGGTGAGGTGGTTTGGGGCGGAGTGGGGCGGGGTGATTTGAGGGCTCGTGTAGCCAAACTCCGCCCTCTGTGTGAGCGTCTCTCAGAAGTTCACTTGCGGCTTGCCCACCATCGTGTCCACCTGGCGGGTGAAGCACGATGGACAGATAAAGAAGGTGGGAAGGAGGGGTGGGGTGGGGTGAGGTGGGGGCCCCTGTATTCAAACTCCGCTCTCTGTGTGACCGTCTCCCGGAAGTTCACCGGAGGCTTGCCCACCACCATATCCACCTGGCAGGCAGGTGAAGCAAAAGATAAAGATATCAAATGAGATCCTATCAAATCTTATCCTCTAAACGACCGTTAATGAGAATTTGACTTGTATAGATGGTCAGATGTTGAATATAGGGACACTCACCATGTACCCTCGCTCCCTTCAGTTGACCACAACACAGCACAGCACAGCACAGCACCGCACAGCACCGCACAGCACAGCACAGCACCGCACAGCACAGCACAGCACAGCACAGCACAGCACAGCACAGCACAGCACAGCACAGCACAGCACAGCACGCCACACCCCACCACACCCCACCACACCACACATTACTTGTAGTTTCACTTGATCCTCACAAACGGAGTCCCTGTCTGAACCAAAAACACAGCACCCACCTGCACCACACAATCCACCTTGTATTCTCTCTTCATCCGCTTCACATAGACGTCCAGATGCAGCTCACCCACCTCACAGACCCAGGCTGCACTGAACCGCACACCACTCACTCACACCGCACACCACCCACCTTGTATTCTCTCTTGATCCGCTCCACATAGATGTCCAGATGCAGCTCTCTCACCTCACAGACCCATGCTGTACTGAACCGCACACCACTCATTTGCACCGCACACGACCCACCTTGTACTCTCTCTTGATTCGCTCCACATAGATGTCCAGATGCAGCTCACCCATGCCCGAAATGATGGTCTGGAAGGGCAGCGACAATTTGGCAGGGCGGTGGGTGAAGGAAAAACAAAGGGGGCCAACTGAGCGATGAATAAATGCATTTAGAGATGCATCCCCCCATGCCCGATATGAAGGTCTGGATGGAGAGGCAGGGAGATGAGAGATAGTGAGCCCGCAGGGTATGGGGACACTATGTTGCAAAAGACGCTCAGGGCGTCTTGCGTCCGGACGCAAGACGCTGGACGCACGCCAAGACGCAGGACGCTTGGCGAAATCTCCAGATCAATCTCTACAGAAATGCAGCCCATTCATGGATCATGCCCAATACAAAACTCTGCGGAGACGAGTACGATATCATACTCAGCACAAAACATTATCCTCCACCAAGATTCGACTTCTGCCTACAGCATGGCTGAAGCTAGGTGGGTCGCGGCTCATATCACCACTGTCAGAGTCCATGCTGACTCGGAACGTAAAGGCGGAGGAGGGAGAACGCACTGAAGAGGGAGAAGACGAACAGAGGAGTGAAACTAGAGGGTACAGGCTAGAGGCTGAAGACTTCTCCTTGCCACTGTCAGGATACATGCTTACTCGGAAGGTGGGGTCCCCCCATTGCTGCTGTAGACGCGCATGCAAGCTGTTGAGTCGAAGCTAGAGGGTGACAGCTCACCTCGGAAGGTCAACACTGTCAGGGTCCATGCTGACTCGGAAGGTCAACATCCCCCCTTGCTGTTGTGGGTGTATAGTCCGAGCAACGTTGACTTGAATCATGCCCCATGCCAGATTGCAGTTAGAGGCTTCAAACTCACCTCGCCACTGTCAGGGTCCATGCTGACTCGAAACGTGGGGTCTTCCTTCTGAAAGCGGTTCAGTGCCTTGGAGAACTGCAAGGGTTGGCAGAGGAAGGAGGTGCAGCAGGGGGGAGGGAGTGGAAGAAACGCTGCTGTGAGTGGTTGAGTGAGCCATTGAAGCATGCTGACTCGGAAGGTGGCGTCCTCCTTCTGAAAGCGGTTCAGTGCCTTGGAGAACTGTTGGGGGGTTGAAGAAGAAGGTGGGGAGCGGTGGGGAAGGAATCGCCATTGTGAGCCTTCAGCGAAGAACTTTCCAAAATCCAAGGGTCACTCGGAGGGGGTGGGCCCATCTGAAAGCAATCCGAAGCCTTGCATGTACTTGAAGTAAATCCCAAATACCGTGGCTCACCGCTAAAATGTGTGAGGACCTTCATTCATTCGTGCTGACCAGAGACTACTGGATCAAAGTAGTGTTTGGAGACGTCTCGAAACACTAATTTTATCACCTTCACTCATTCGTGCTGACCAGCGAGCGACTACTGAATATTGACCCACCTGAGCATCTCCTCCTTCAGGAGCCGAGCCGGGGAAATGGACAGATGGGCTCGGGGTAATTTCGGAATGAGCTTCACTGACAACGTAGCTTTCTCAGTCCTCACCTGCGCACCACCATCCTTGGATGCTGGGGAGATGGAGAGCGACATGAGTGGCTCGGGTACATTCAAGCTGCCTACTGTATGCTTTGTTAACAGGCAAGGGAGCTTCTGTCTCACACTCATTGCCTCACCTGAGCACCGCCGTCCTTGGAAGCCGGCGAGATGGAGAGCGACATGACAGGCTCGGGTACGTTCATGCTGGTCATGGTGAAGCGCACCGAGCCATCCGTGAAGGTGTCGCCTGGAAAGGATGAGAATGGAAGAAGCATAGTGACAGGGAATGAACACAGAGTGCAAGGCGGGGGCTCGGGCACGTTCACGCTGGTCATGGTGAAGCGCACTGAACCGTCCGTGAAGGTGTCGCCTGGTGGGTGGGAGGATAGAGGGGGGAAGTGAAGGGGAGAGGGTAAGTGTGGTGCCATGACCAGCAGACACCAAGGCAGGGGGTCGGGCACATTCACGCTGGTCATTGTGAAGCGCACCGAGCCTTCCGTGAAGGTGTAGCCTGGTGGGGGATGAAGCGGCAGCGAGAGGAGATAGTGAAGGAGGGTGAGAAAACTGGTGGTTGTGGTGCTGTGATGTGACCAGTCCAGACACGTTCACGCTGGTCATGGTGAAGCGCACCGAGCCATCCGTGAAGGTGTCGCCTGGTGGGTGTGGGGGTAGAGGAGAGTACAAGAGACGGCAAGTGTGGTGTCATAGCAATCACACATGGCAAGATGCGTGGGCACGTTCATGCTCGTCATGGTGAAGCGCACTGAGCCATCTGTGAAGGTGTCGCCTGGTGGTAGATGAAGGCGATACAGGGGGAGATGATATGTGGAGAATCAATACAGAGTGCAAGGCAGGGGGGGCCTGGTGGTGCAAGCCATCAATGCAGATAAGACAAAAACAAAAGGCTCAATTTGGGCGATCTCCTCGAACATGACCACGATCTCCCCGGCACCGGCCTCTTGAGGCGCCTCAAAAACCATCTCATGTCTTGCGGTTTTCATGTCGGAAGGCACACATTGACCCACCCACCCACTCACCAGAGGCACAGTCCACTCCAAACATGGCCACAATCTTTTGAGTCGACTCAAAAGTCACCTCGTTTCGAGTCGACTCAAAAGTCAAAGGCACACATTGACCCACCCACTCACCAGAGGCACAGTCCACTCCAAACATGGCCACAATCTCCCCTGCGCCTGCCTCTTGAATATCCTGCGAGAGAGGGGAGAGACATGACGCAGGAAAGAAGGGTGAGACACGTTTGAGGCTTCTCAAACGCAACTCAGATCTAGGTGAGATAGGGACTCGAGCGACTTAAAGCAGTCCACTCCAAACGTGGCCACAACCTCGCCTGCCCCAGCCTCTTGAATGTCCCAAGAGAGAAGAGGGAGGAGGGGGGGGGGGAAGGGGGGGCGACAGTGCCCCGTGCCCACTGCCCTCCCACCAATACCATCCCCTCACCTCCATGTCGTCTGCATGCATGCGCACCAGGCGAGGAACCTGCAGTCAAACACACACAGAGAACAGGGAAAACCTTCATAATCAGGGCAGGCGCCTTACACAAAAGCAAAATCGTCAAGGGGTTTCAAAGAAAAGCGTACTAGTCACCTTGACTCTATTGACTCACCTTGACTTTCTTCCCCGTGCTGCAGTTGATGATGAATTCCCCTCTGCGCAACGTTCCCTCATAGATCCTGAAATGGGGCACAAGGGAAAACGAAGGGGAAGGAAGAAGATTATATTGTGTTTGTTTGTTCCTTCTGTTGCCTTTTTCTCCTCAGAACTTTCCACTTACCAACTTCTCCTCGCCTCAAAAGTTTTGAGAATAAGGCAAGAGGGAGGAGAAACAGGGAGACGGAGACAGGGGAGACCAGGCGCAACATTTTCTGCTCTTGTGGATCCACCCTTGTGGATCGGGTCGAGAGAAAGAGCAGGAGGGACAAAAATTATCAAAAGCAGGAGGGGGCAGGAGGGAAGACAGAGGGGACAGACGAAGAATTTGGGAATTTTTAACATTGCCTTCTCGATTCCCGGCCCCCGATCCCCCTTCCTTTGTTTCTCTTCCTAGGTCAGGTAAGTGAGCTGCCCGAGCCTCCCTTCCTCGAGCTTGAAGGCCAGTCCCACCCACCAAGGGGCAAAACACGTGAAGGAGCTAATAAGGTCCCACCCATAAAAGGAGAGCATGCATGTGTGCATGTATGTGTGCATGTATGTATGCATGTATGTATGCATGTATGTATGCATGTATGTATGCATGTATGCATGTATGCATGTATGTATGCATGTATGTATGCATGTATGTGTGCATGTATGTATGCATGTATGTATGCATGTATGTATGCATGTATGTATGCATGTATGTATGCATGTATGTATGCATGTATGTATGCATGCATGTATGCATGTATGTATGCATGTATGTATGCATGTATGTATGCATGTATGCATGTATGCATGTATGTATGCATGCATGTATGCATGTATGTATGCATGTATGTATGCATGTATGCATGCATGCATGTATGCATGTATGCATGTATGCATGTATGTATGCATGCATGTATGCATGCATGTATGCATGCATGTATGCATGCATGTATGCATGTATGTATGCATGTATGTATGCATGTATGTATGCATGTATGTATGCATGTATGTATGCATGTATGTATGCATGTATGTATGCATGTATGTATGCATGTATGTATGCATGGATGTACGCATGGATGTACGCATGTATGTACGCATGTATGTACGCATGTATGTACGCATGTATGTACGCATGTATGTATGCATGCATGTACGCATGTATGTACGCATGCATGTATGCATGTATGTATGCATGTATGTATGCATGTATGTATGCATGTATGTATGCATGTATGTATGCATGTATGTATGCATGTATGTATGCATGTATGTATGCATGTATGTATGCATGTATGTATGCATGTATGTATGCATGTATGTATGCATGTATGTATGCATGTATGTATGCATGCATGTATGCATGCATGTATGCATGCATGTATGCATGTATGTATGCATGTATGTATGCATGTATGTATGCATGCATGTATGCATGCATGTATGCATGTATGTATGCATGTATGTATGCATGTATGTATGCATGTATGTATGCATGTATGTATGCATGTATGTATGCATGTATGTATGCATGTATGTATGCATGTATGTATGCATGTATGTATGCATGTATGTATGCATGTACGTATGCATGTATGTATGCATGCATGTACGTATGCATGTATGTATGCATGCATGTATGCATGCATGTATGCATGTATGTATGCATCTATGTATGCATGTATGTATGCATGTATGTATGCATGTATGTATGCATGTATGCATGTATGCATGTATGTATGCATGTATGCATGTATGCATGTATGTATGTATGTATGCATGTATGTATGTATGTATGTATGTATGTATGTATGTATGCATATGTATGCATGTATGTATGTATGAATGTATGTATGTATGTATGTATGCTTGCTCACTACCCTGTTCTCCCTCCCCTCGCCCCCCCTACGTCAGGTAAGTGAGCTGCCCGAGCCTCCCTTCCTCCACCGTGAATGCCAGCCCCACCAGCGTGAATGCCAGCCCCACCAAGGGCCCGCACACGAGTGTGCATGCATGATCCATACTTCCCCCCTTCCACCCGCCCACACTCCCATCCCTGCCCTTCCCCTTTACTTACCTCAGGTAAGTGAGCTGCCCGAACCTCCCCTCCTCCAGCTTGAAGGCTAGGCCCACCAAGGGGCCGTTGGGGTCCCCTGCTAGAGGCACCTGGGGAAGTGGGAGTAAGTAAGAAAAAAGGTTGGGGTCAGTGGGGTGAGCAAGGGTGTGAAACGCAGCAAACAGAAGGGGGGGCGAGCCCTGGTAAAGCCTCGATTCTTCCTGCTAGACGAAGTGAGGCGACCACTCCTCCAGCTTGAAGGCCCGTTGGGGTCACCCGCTAGAGGCACCTGGGGAGGTGGGGTGGGGTGAGAAGTGGGTAGGAGTAGCAAACCGGAAGGGAGGGGGTGAGTGGGGTCAGCGTGGGTGCGGTGCAGTGGAGAAACCAGAAGGGAGGAGTTGGCCGAACCTCCCCTCCTCCAGCTTGAAGGCCAACCCCACCAAGGGGCCGTTAGGGTCTCCCGCTAGAGGCACCTGGGGAAGTGGGGTGAGCACTAGTGCAATGCAGCAGACAGACGGGCGATGTGAGCTGGTGGAACCTCTCTTCCTCCGATTTGAAAGCCAGGCCTGCCTAAGGGCCGTTGGGGTCACCTGCTAGAGGCACCTGGTGGGGTGAGTGACGTGAGTGCGGTGAGAAGTGGGAGGAAGTGAACTAGCAGACCCTTTCCTTCCTCCAGCTTGAAAGCCAGCCCCACCAATGGGCCGTTGGGGTCACCTGCTAGAGGCACCTGATGGAGTGGGGTGACAAGTGGGTGGGAGTAGCAAACCGCAAGGGAAGGGTAGAATTGGGCCAGCGTGGGTGCAGTGCGGTGGAGCAACCAGAAGGGAGGAGTTGGCCGAGTCTCCCCTCCTCCAGCCCCACCAAGGGGCCGCTGGGGTCACCCACCCACCAGAGGCACCTGATGGGTGGGGTGGGGTGAGAAGTGGGAGTGACAAAGTGAAAGGGAGGGGGTGAGTGGCGCCAGCAAGAGTGCAATTCAGCAAACAGAAGGGAGACGTGATCTGGCCGAACCTTCCTTTCGAACTGGCCAACATTTCCCGTCTTCCCTTCCTTTCCTTTCCGTTTTTGTCTTCTGTTTTGCGTCTCCCCAAGTAGGCACAGTGACGCAGCAGAAGGAGGGGTCACGGAAGAGGAGGGGAGGATCCGAGCCACAGTCCCCCCCTGCAGCTCCACGTTCAAAGCGTCCGAGTGTTAAATGAGCTCCAAAACAGAAAAACAACTGTAATTTTGCTACTTGACCAACTATATGGGGAAGGCAGAACACCAGCACTGACATCACGAGTAACACGCGCATCAGCAAAAGCAGCACAAGCGGGGTGCACAGAGGCAAGCAGCAGCAGCTTCACTGCAGCGGGTGGGCACTGCAGGGCAGGTAGGTAGCTCACCAGTGCATGCAGCGACAGGTCTGACTGAGAGAGCTAAACTGCTATACTGCTAACCAGCGCTCACACACCTTCTCCTCCGCTTTGGATTGATCAAGGGCATGGTTGGCCACGTCTGTGGGGCACGGCAGATAGTCCACCACTCCATCCAGCAGCGGTTGCACCCCCTGCTCAGGTGAAAGTTCAGGTGGAAAAAACAGGTGGAAGCTCAGGAAGATATAGAAGAGGTAAATATTCAGGTTTTGAGCAGAAGAGGCAGAAGCAAGGCACCGCCAGAAAGCGGAGGGGAGAGAGCAAGACCACAAAAACCACTCACCACCACTCACCACCACCACACCACTCCCCACTCACTCTGTGCTTGAACGCCCTCCCCACCCCATGAACACAGGCGCGAACTTCAGTGCCAGAGTACCCCTGCGGATGGCAGCTTGCAGCTCCACCAACAGCGTAGCACCACCACTCACCACCACTCGCCACCACTCAACCACCACCTCACCACCACTTCCCACTCTTGCGCTCCCCATGAACACAGGCACGAACTTCAGCGCCAGGGTAGCCCTGCCCTGCGAATGGCAGCTTACAGACCCTCTGCCCACTGCCACTCACCACCACTCCCCACTCACCCTGTTCTTAAACGTGCTCCCCATGAACACAGGCACGAACTTCAATGCCAGGGTGGCCCTGCGCACAGCAGCTTGCAGCTCCTCTGCCGCAGATTCCTCTATAAGCTATAACCACCACTCACCCTATAGCTTGCACCACCACCACCCACCACCACCACCTTCCACCACTCCCCACCCCACTCACCCTGTTCTTGAACGCACTCCCCATGAACACAGGCACGAACTTCAATGCCAGGGTGGCCCTGCGCACAGCAGCTTGCAGCTCCTCTGCCACAGATTCCTCTATAAGCTATAACCACCACTCACCCTATAGCTTGCACCACCACCACCCACCACCACCACCTTCCACCACTCCCCACCCCACTCACCCTGTTCTTGAACGCACTCCCCATGAACACAGGCACGAACTTCAATGCCAGGGTGGCCCTGCGCACAGCAGCTTGCAGCTCCTCTGCCACAGATTCCTCTATAAGCTATAACCACCACTCACCCTATAGCTTGCACCACCACCACCCACCACCACCACCTTCCACCACTCCCCACCCCACTCACCCTGTTCTTGAACGCACTCCCCATGAACACAGGCACGAACTTCAATGCCAGGGTGGCCCTGCGCACAGCAGCCTGCAGCTCCTCTGCCGCAGATTCCTCTATAAGCTATAACCACCACTCACCCTATAGCTTGCACCACCACCACCCACCACCACCACCTTCCACCACTCCCCACCCCACTCACCCTGTTCTTGAACGCGCTCCCCATGAACACAGGCACGAACTTCAATGCCAGGGTGGCCCTGCACACAGCAGCTTGCAGCTCCTCTGCCGCAGATTCCTCTATAAGCTATAACCACCACTCACCCAATAGCTTGCACCACCACCACCCACCACCACCACCTTCCACCACTCCCCACCCCACTCACCCTGTTCTTGAACGCACTCCCCATGAACACAGGCACGAACTTCAATGCCAGGGTGGCCCTGCGCACAGCAGCCTGCAGCTCCTCTGCCGCAGATTCCTCTATAAGCTATAACCACCACTCACCCAATAGCTTGCACCACCACCACCCACCACCACCACCTTCCACCACTCCCCACCCCACTCACCCTGTTCTTGAACGCACTCCCCATGAACACAGGCACGAACTTGAATGCCAGGGTGGCCCTGCGCACAGCAGCCTGCAGCTCCTCTGCCGCAGATTCCTCTATAAGCTATAACCACCACTCACCCAATAGCTTGCACCACCACCACCCACCACCACCACCTTCCACCACTCCCCACCCCACTCACCCTGTTCTTGAACGCGCTCCCCATGAACACAGGCACGAACTTCAATGCCAGGGTGGCCCTGCGCACAGCAGCCTGCAGCTCCTCTGCCACAGATTCCTCTATAAGCTATAACCACCACTCACCCAATAGCTTGCACCACCACCACCCACCACCACCACCTTCCACCACTCCCCACCCCACTCACCCTGTTCTTGAACGCACTCCCCATGAACACAGGCACGAACTTGAATGCCAGGGTGGCCCTGCGCACAGCAGCCTGCAGCTCCTCTGCCGCAGATTCCTCTATAAGCTATAACCACCACTCACCCAATAGCTTGCACCACCACCACCCACCACCACCACCTTCCACCACTCCCCACCCCACTCACCCTGTTCTTGAACGCGCTCCCCATGAACACAGGCACGAACTTCAATGCCAGGGTGGCCCTGCGCACAGCAGCCTGCAGCTCCTCTGCCACAGATTCCTCTATAAGCTATAACCACCACTCACCCTATAGCTTGCACCACCACCACCCACCACCACCACCTTCCACCACTCCCCACCCCACTCACCCTGTTCTTGAATGCGCTCCCCATGAACACAGGCACGAACTTCAATGCCAGGGTGGCCCTGCGCACAGCAGCCTGCAGCTCCTCTGCCGAAATCGGCTCGTCGTTGAGAAACTTCTCGGCAATTTCGTCGTCCACCTCCGACAGGTGCTCTATCAGCTCGTGCCGCTTCTCCTCTGCTTGATCTTTGAGATTCTCCGGTATCCCCTCTTCTCTGCGAACCTTCTCTCTGCAGAAACGGGAAAAGCAGAGGAAAGAAAGAAGGAGCAAGCAATCAATCAGCTCGTGCCTCTTCTCCTCCGCCTGCTCCTTCAATTTCATTGGTATTTTTCAATCTGCGCTCTTTCTCCCTGCATGTGGGATCACAGGGGCATACATAGCAGGGGCACACAGAGCAGGGACGGACAGGTGCTCTATCAACTCGTGCCCCTTCTCCTCCGCCTGCTCTTTTAATTTGTCCGGTTTCCCTTCCTCTCTTCGCACCTTCTCCCTGCACGTGGGATTACCATAGGCACTCGGGGAAGAGGCACACAAAGAAGGGGCACACAGCTCATGCCTCTTCTCATCCCTCCGTTATGAGCATACCCACAACAATCCACGTACTCACTATTAACATCTCCACTTCCCAAACGCCCGCTACAAACAAATCCACGATACAGAACCTCGCTGAGAATAAACCCACCATACTTGCTATGAACATACCCACTGGAGCCGTCAAAGTAGATGGAGGACATGGAGACAAGGTCGACTTGACCCTCTAGGTTCGGCTCCAACCCTGGGGATCTGCCATACTCGCTATTAACATACTCGCCATAGACTTACCCACTGGCGCCGTCAAAGTAAATGGAGGACATGGAGACGAGGTCGACCAGACCCTCTAGGTCCGACTCCAAGCCGATGGGGATCTGAGGAGGAAAGCGAAGGGACACAGGACGGGACGGGAAACACAGCAAAGCAGGGAACGAAGTAAGGTGGGTTGGCAATTGAGGCAAGCGAATGTCATGGAGGAGGTAAAAAGGCCCTCTCAAAACTAATGGGGATCTCGTGGGGGAGGGAGAGAAGAGAAGTGAAAGAGGGACCAAGGGGGAAGCTCAACGGAACATTGGAGAAAGGAAAGTGTACAAGAGAGAAGGGAAACAGTCAGGAAGACGAGAAGGGCGCATCCATCCACCTGCACCGCACAGCACCCACCTGCACCGCGGCAGCGTTGAGCTTCAGTTTCGACCGCAGAGCCCCCACCACCTTCCAGGGATCTGCTCCTGTGCGATCCAGCTTGTTGATGAATGCAAGACGAGGCACACTTGTGGATGGGAGAGGGGAAGTTGTTGGGAAACGAGGGTATAAAGAGGGCAGAAATGGGGGAGAAAGAGAAATGGAGCTCATCCGTCCACCCCACCACCTTCCACGGGTCTGCCCCTGTTCGATCAAGGCGAGGCGAGGCACACTGGTTGAATGAGTGGAAAATGGGGGAAATGGAGGATTGAAAGAGGGAAGAAAAGGGGTAGAAAGAGGTGAGAGAGCACGCACTCCCCCACCCACCACCTTCCACGGGTCTGCCCCTGTTCGATCAAGCTTGTCGATGAATGCAAGGCGAGGCACACTGGGGGGAGAGGGGAGGGGAGATGGGAGGGTAGGGTGAGGAGAGGGTAGAAAGTGGGGAGCTCACCCACCCCCCAACCCACCACCTTCCACGGGTCTGCCCCTGTTCGATCAAGCTTGTTGATGAATGCAAGGCGAGGCACACTGGGGGGTGGGGTGATAGGGGAGATGGGAGGGTAGGGTGAGGGAAGGGAGGTTGTTAATAAACCCTTGAAACACAAGACTGATAATCCCAAACAGCCTACTGGCTCTGCACGCCCCCCACGCCACACAGAACCAGAATAGCCCCGTCCAACCCCCCTGGGAGGGACTAAAGTTTAAACCCCTGAAGAACCCATAATTAAACCCGCAAACGCAGGGCTGAACCGAAGATCCCCACCCACCTGTATCGTCTCATCTGCCGGTCGACAGTGATCGACTGACTCTGCACGTCGCCAACGCTGCACAGCACCAGAATAGCCCCGTCCAGCGCTCTACAGCCTGAACCCCAGAGCCCCACCCACCCTCCTGTACTGCTCCCAACCCACCTGTATCGCCTCATCTGCCGGTCCACAGTGATCGACTGGCTCTGCACGCCCCCAACGCTGCACAGCACCAGAATAGCCCCGTCCACCACCCTTGGGACTAAGCCCCAAACCTCTGATGAACCCAGAAATAAACCCTCAAACGTCAAACTGACAATCCCAAGAGCCCCACCCACCTGTATCGCCTCATCTGCCGGTCCACGGTGATGGACTGGCTCTGCACGCCGCCCACACTGCACAGCACCAAGATAGCCCCGTCCAGCACCCTCAAGAGTAAACCCCAAACCCCTGATAAACCTACAGTTGAACAGGTGCCCCGCCCCACCTGTATCGCCTCATCTGTCGGTCCACGGTGATGGACTGGCTCTGCACGCCCCCAACGCTGCACAGCACCAGAATAGCCCCGTCGAGCACTCTTAAAGCCCGCTCCACCTCGATGGTGAAATCCACGTGGCCTGGCGTGTCGATGATGTTCACCTGTTGGAGAGAGGGGAGAGAGAAGAGGGGAGAGATGACGAGATGTCGCCTCCCACACTGCACAGCACCACCTGGTGTGTCGATGATGTTCACCTGTTGAAGAGGAGAGGGGGGAGGGAGAGAGATGTTCTATTAGTACGATTCGTTTACGACTTTTAAAGCCCGCTCGGCCTCAATGGTGAAATCCACGAGATCTCGTGGATGCGCCTAGACCACATCAAACCAAATCAAATCAAATCGCCCCAAAACACCCCAAATCTCACCTGACGATCCCCCCACATGCAGTGAGTGGCAGCAGACTGAATGGTAATCCCCTTCTCCCTCTCAAGGTCCATCGAATCAAGTCCATCTTGGCCCCGACACGACACCATCCCGCACTCTGTCTTCGTGGATCTCGTGGATGCGTCCAAACCACCCCAAACTGCCACAAACCGTTTCAAATGACCCGTATCACCTCAAACCACCCTAAACCTCCCCAAACCTGCCCAAATCACTCCAAATCACCATGAAACTCACCTGATGGTCGCCCCACATGCAGTGAGTGGCAGCGGACTGAATCGTAATACCCTTCTCCCTCTCCAGATCCATCGAGTCCATCTTGGCGCCCACACCGTCCTGCCCTCGCACTTCATGGATCTCGTGGATGCGCCCAAATCACACGAAACCACCCCAAATCGCCCCAAATCGCCCCGAATCGCCCCGAATCGCCCCGAATCACCCCAAATCTCACCTGATGGTCGCCCCACATGCAGTGAGTGGCCGCAGACTGAATGGTGATCCCCTTCTCCCTCTCAAGGTCCATCGAATCCATCTTGGCGCCCACACCGTCCCGCCCTTGAACTTCATGGATCGCGCTGATTCACCCTAATCACCTCAAACCACCCCAAACCACCTCAAACCACACCAAACCGCACCAAATCACTCCAAATCACCATGAAACTCACCTGATGGTCGCCCCACATGCAGTGAGTGGCAGCAGACTGAATGGTGATCCCCTTCTCCCTCTCCAGATCCATCGAGTCCATCTTGGCGCCCACACCGTCCCGCCCCCGCACTTCATGGATCTCGTGAATGCGCCCCGTGTAGAACAACACTCTCTCCGTGAGAGTCGTCTTGCCTGAGTCGATGTGTGCTGAGATTCCGATGTTGCGAATCTGTGGGGGGAACAGCAGGGAAAGGGAGGGGAGAGCAGCAGGGAAGTGGGGGGAAGAGAGGGTAAATGGGAAGAGTAGGATGTTTTTTTCTAACTGACATCCCCACCCCCTCACCCACTCACCCTCTCTGTGCTCCATCCCCACCCCCTCACCCCCTCAACTTCTCCATGCCTGCGCGCCATGGCTCTTTCCCCTCCTCCTGCACACTCACAGCCTGCTGATTTTCGAAAGGGAAAACCACATCAATTCCCTTACCCTCTGACCTTCTCCATGCCCTTGCGGCCTACTCACTCACCCCCTCACTCCCTCACCTTCTCCATGCCTGCGCGCCACGGCTCCTTCCCCTCCTCCGGGGCGCTCGCGGCCTGCGACGCATACCGCCTCACTCCCGCTCCTGCCACATCCGAGCCTAGCGCTGGAGGTTCGACAAACCAAACCCCTCCTCCCGAAGCAAAAGCAGCGGTTTGTAGCGCCGGTAACCGTTTTGCACCGTGATAAATTGCCCACGATTCCTGGAGAGGGATCGAGCTTGGCGCGTTGCAGGTGCTTCGCGAAAGCACGGCGGAAGCGGAGTGCGCGGGACCAACGCGACGATCTGAGCCGTTGGATCTAACACCGCCACGCCGTGAGGCGAATCGGACGGCAGCGAGGAGCAGGTCCCTGGATCGGCCACGTGCCATGGTGACGTGTCAGGCGAGAGGCTAATCTTGCGGAGAATTCTAACCGACGAGCGTGATGTCGCGAGTCGCGATCAGTGCGAGGGGAGCTGGGTTACGCCGCAGTAATGATCGCTTGGTGTCGGTACTTTCGCGAATGACAAAGACGGCGATCGATCGGAAGGCGAGCGACGCGTTACGAGGTGAATGACCAGGAAGAGGCGGAGTGATCGGACGGTGGTGGTGCGCTGGAAGAGAAATGGGCGGTCTAGATTCGCAAATGCAGTAGCGTGGGTGGAGGACGGACAGCACGTGGAAACCCTGGCGATCCAGTCGGCCTCCAACGCGGCCGCGCGTTGCGGAACAGCGAGGCTGTATCCTGAGAAAAGTGCGATCACAAGCAACGGACACAGCAGTGTGGGAAGCCGAATGAGAGGGGTAAGAGTCGCGAAGGAATGCAGGGTCGCGTTTTTTTTCACATTCGTTTCAGACATGAGTTTTAAAGATTTGAAAAGTTATGGCTGTCGCCTTTTCTCCAGGTTGATTCGCTCGCTGTTTGACTAAGAACCTGATTTACGAGATTGAACAAGAACCTTGTTTCAAATAGGCTGGTACTAAATCTGCAATTTGGACGCGATGACTCCTCTTGAATCTTCCTTCAGAAATTCCCAAAAGAGGTTCCGGCCTCGGAAGGAGGTTCGGTACGAAGGGGCTACCATGAGGTTTGACAGGGGTTTTGAGGGAGAAGGGGAGCGAAGGGGGGCTACCTCACTCTTCTTTGTGCGGCTGACAGCTGGACCCTCCAAGGAACTGGGAGGCCCTTGGGTCTGGAGTGAAGGCATATCTCGAATTACGCGTTTCAATTGCTTCGAAAACTCAAACGGAAACCCGAGCGCAAGTTTGTTGACGTTTTGAGTTCGCAGCCGCAAAACGTCCTGTCAAGGACGTTTACCGTACCTGTCAAGAAGAGAAGCCGGTTTTTCTTAACGTTTAGCAGTTCAGAAGTTGAACCGAGCAGGAAACAACCTTGAGAAATCGTCAGGACCCTTCCTTTCACGTGTAAACACAAGTGCTACCTCCTCCTACACAAACCACACAAACCGCCCTCCACCCTAACCTCCCGAACCCGAACTCCACCACCCTCGTCCCCCTTTTCCACCCGCGTGCCACTGATTTCACCTCATTCCACTCCTCCCAAGCTGTTCCTTCGTTGATTAGCTTTCCTAGATACTCAGTTAGCTTTCTGTGTCACCGCCTGTTCGCGTTTCTGGCTCTCCGCCGCTAGATCTGCCACGTGGCGCTCGATGGCCACGTTACACGACGACAACGACGCGGCAACCCCATCGGCCGGGCACCTGTACAACCCGTACGCCGATCTGTACCCCAATCTCGACGCGCGATCCATCCAGGGGATCTATCGCCTTCCCGACGCGCCCGAGTTTCTCTTTACCGAGGAAGCGGCCGTGCAGCGACGAAGCTTCGGCGATAATCTCACTTTCTTCACCGGGTGCGGGTACCTCGGCGGAGCGCTCTTCGGCGGAATCCGCGGAACGGCGGAGGGCTTCCGCTCGTGGGAGGCGGGGGATTCTGCCAAGCTGCGCGCGAATAGGGTTCTCAACGCCGCAGGATCGCGGGGAAGATCTGCGGGAAACGCGCTGGGAATCGTCGGGCTATTATACTCCGGGATCGAAGGCGCTGCGTATCATTACCGCGGCGGCGTGGACGATCCGTGGAATGCGGTCGTAGCGGGGCTGGGCACCGGAGCGCTTTATAAGGCCGCGGCGGGACCTAGGACAGCGGCGATCGCGGGGGCTGTTGGAGGTATAGCGGCTGCTGCGCTTACCGCGAGCCGACACGTGGTGAAACGATACGTACCTATATAACAGACTGATGTTTTAGTTCTTTATAGTTGATTTTATTCCCCTTGCTTCTGCCCGTTTCACGACGCCCACTTCTTCCCCTTTCTTCCCCTTTCCACTTTTTTGGTGCCCGGCTCGATAGTTCCACCCCGCCCCATCATTCGTCGATAAAACACTGTTGCTCTCACCGCACCAAATCAGCGGATCTGGTGGTACTGGCGTGAGAGCACATGTCGAAGCAGAGCTTGTATCGAATTAGGGCTTGTGTCGAGCCTATTAGATCGAGGATTTGGTGCTGTCGAGGAGGATCTATCGCCGCCTCGGCGTCGCGCTCCTCCGTGTGGTTCAACGCATCTGATCAACCATTCTAGGTCTCCTCGCTCTCGTCGCTCTCCTGAGAAATTTCAAGACTCCCAAGAGTCACACTGCGCTTATCTCGCTCCCGTCGCTCCCGTCGCTCCCGTCGCTCCCGTCGCTCTCACCAACTCCCGTCGCTCCCGTCGCTCCCGTCGCTCCCGTCGCTCCCGTCGCTCTCGTCGCTCTCAGCCCGTTCTAGGGTCCCAGGCCTCCAAGATCTCGAATCTAGGTTAAAGGATTTCCAGACCGCGAGACGGCCATACAACAAGGTTTTCAGTCCTTCACGCGTCTGCAGACCTTTGTATTCAGTCGCTGGTCCTGCCATCGTCAGCTAGTTAGTTGCACACGCCTCGGATCTACGCGTTTCCTCTACGGCCACGTGGCAGTCAGTTGTTCTCGCTTTAGATCCACACGTTTCTTGACGCCACGTGGAGGCGTCAGTAGAGAGTCGTGTGGACGTCGTTCCGTGTCAGCATGCCATTCGTGATTACGAGGTTTGGGATCCGGGCTTGGCTTAGGTGCGGATCGGTGCGAGAAGAGCCTATCAAAGGGTTGACTGCGGTGGGGTGTGGGAGCAGGTTGAGTGTGGTGGTGATGGGTTCCCGCAGGGCTTGGCTTCGGTAGCGGGTCGGTGCGAGAAGAGCCTATCAAAGGGTTGACTGCGGAGGGATGTGGGAGCAGCTTGAGTGTGGTGTTGACGGGTTTCCGCCGGGCTTGGCTTTGGTAGCGGATTGGCGCGAGAAGAGCCTATTAAAGGGTTGACTGCGGAGGGATGTGGGAGCAGCTTGAGTGTGGTATTGACGGGTTTCCGCCGGGCTTGGCTTTGGTAGCGGATTGGCGCGAGAAGAGCCTATTAAAGGGTTGACTGCGGAGGGATGTGGGAGCAGCTTGAGTGTGGTGTTGACGGGTTTCCGCCGGGCTTGGCTTTGGTAGCGGATTGGCGCGAGAAGAGCCTATCAAAGGGTTGACTGCGGTTATAAGGGCTGGGAAAACGGTGTGGTGGGGGGTCGAGTGCGTTGGATCGTATCAAATTATAGCTAGGAAAGTCTTTACAGGACAAGGGGAGGGGAGGGGAGGGGAGAGTGGAGGGGAGGGGGAAGGGGGTGGGGTTCAGGGTAGTGGGTTTAGAGGAGAAGGGAGTTTCTGGTAAGGGTATTGCAGCTTCTGGAGAAGCCAGTGAGGGGAAGAGTAAGGGTCTAGGGTTGCAAACAGTGTGGTGGAAAGGTAGGGGAGGACGGGGGCTGAGATCAAGGAGTTTGGGAGGGGAGGGGGAAAACGGGGGTGTGAAGGGTGTGGGCTGGGTGATTGCATGTAGCTGGGAAAGTTAGTGAGTGGTAGAGAGGGTTTAGGGTAGGAAACGGTGTGGTGGGGGGTGGGGGGTGGGGAAGTGGAGTGTGTGAAGGGGATGGGATATGGAAGAGCAGAGAGGAGGAGGGAGGGGAGGGTTGTGCAGAAGGGGAGAGAGTGAAGAGGTGAGCAGAGAGTATGCTCAGAAGAGGAGAGGAGGAAAGGGGGATGGCGGGAGAGGAGAGGAGAGGAGGGAAAGAGGGATGGTGAGGGGGGATGCTGAGAGCAGGGGAGAGATGATGGAGAGAGTAGACTGGCAGGGAAAAGGGAAAGGGTGGGCTAGTTTGGATTGGCTGGCAAAGGAGAGTTGTCTGCTGCTGGAAGAAAACTCACAAGCTGAGAGAGAGCTTTGATCTTCTTTTGAGGCGCCTCAAAAGAGCTTTGATTTTTTCACTCATGAAAAGAATGGGTGTGCAAGGTGTAAGCAAGCAGGTCAGGAGGCTGTGTGTCTGCCGTTCCTCCCAACCCAGTCCCCCTTGCCATCCCATCCCCCCACTGCTGCCACTGCTACTCCCAGCATGTGGCACCACTGCTGGGACATAGGCAGGCAGGCACTTCTTGCACTCTTCTCAAAAGTCAAACCAGCACCTTTGTCTTGTCTGCCTGTGCATGTGGCCAGTGGCCACATAGCTGCAGACTTACCACCAGTGTCTTTCATTCACTGAGAAATATGGGCTACACGTGTACATGTACATGTTTTACCTCTTTTGTGAGTAGATTTTTCCTTTCGCGTGTGTCTTTGGATATAAATTTCCCCAGCCGACCATGCAAATCTGTTTTGTCACCCCTCAACCAGAATTCGGCCAATGTGTACTGGTACCGCCGTTCATATAAAATTTCCATGCAAGTTCAAAAGGTAGTAAATTCCTCAGATCTCACACAATACACTGGATTCTAATCTGGTCTGGTGGAAACTGGAGAAGAAAAGTGACAGGAAATGCAATGAACCCCTGCAGGTTTATCCCTCACACACACGAAGTGAAATATTTCAAAGCCCGCTATGTAAGGCCCTTACATTAATCTCTCAAGCACACGGACAGAATTTTCGATGGGAGGGAGGGGACAGAGCGGGAGAGGGAGGTGAGTATGGCAGCAGTGATGGCGATGGGAGGGCCGTGGCTAGCTACCCATTTAAACTGCAGAGATAGAGCAAAGGGGATGGAAAGGTGGGATGGATCGGAGCGAGGGGAGAAAGTGACAAAAGAGAGAAAGGGGAGGGCAGGAGTGGATGGGTGTGAGGGCAGGGAGTGAAGGGACAAAGTGAAGGGATGGAGCGAGGAGACGAGGGAGCGAGGGGATGGAGAGAGGAGACGAGGGAGCGAGGGGATGGAGTTGAGGGAGGAACTGATGGGACCGAGAGATGGTGGGCACAAGGGGATGGGGCAAGGGGATGGGGCAAGGGGATGGGGCAAGGGGATGGGGCAAGGGGATGGGGCAAGGGGATGGGGCAAGGGGATGGGGCAAGGGGATGGGGCAAGGGGATGGGGCAAAGGGGAATGGGGCAAAGGGGAATGGAGCGAGGGGAATGGGGCAAACGGAATGGGGCAAAGGGAATGGGGCAAAGGGAATGGGGCACGGGGATGGGGCAAGGGGATGGGGCAAAGGGGATGGGGCAAAGGGAATGGGGCAAGGGGAATAGGGCAAGGGGAATGGGGCAAGGGGATGGGGCAAAGGGAATGGGGCGAAGGGGAATGGGGCGAAGGGGATGGGGCAAGGGGATGGAGCAAGGGGGACGGGGAAAGGGGATGGGGCATAGGGGAATGGGGCAAAGGGGAATGGAGCGAGGGGAATGGGGCAAACGGAATGGGGCAAAGGGAATGGGGCAAAGGGAATGGGGCACGGGGATGGGGCAAGGGGATGGGGCGAAGGGGATGGGGCAAAGGGAATGGGGCAAGGGGAATAGGGCAAGGGGAATGGGGCAAGGGGATGGGGCAAAGGGAATGGGGCGAAGGGGAATGAGGCAAAGGGGATGGGGCAAGGGGATGGAGCAAGGGGGAAGGGGAAAGGGGATGGGGCATAGGGGATGGGGCAAAGGGAATAGGGCAAAGTGAATGGGGCAAAGGGGAATGGAGCGAGGGGAATGGGGCAAACGGAATGGGGCAAAGGGAATGAGGCAAAGGGAATGGGGCACGGGGATGGGGCAAGGGGATGGGGCAAAGGGGATGGGGCAAAGGGAATGGGGCAAGGGGAATGGGGCAAGGGGAATGGGGCAAAGGGAATGGAACAAGGGGAATGGGGCAAGGGGAATGAGGCAAGGGGAATGGGGCAAGGGGAATGGGGCAAAGGGAATGGAACAAGGGGAATGGGGCAAGGGGAATGGAACAAGGGGAATGGGGCAAGGGGATTGGGGCAAGGGGAATGGGGCAAAGGGGAATGGAGCGAGGGGAATGGGGCAAACGGAATGGGGCAAAGGGAATGGGCAAGGGGAATGGGGAAAGGGGAATGGGGCAAGGGGAATGGGGAAAGGGGAATGGGGCAAGGGGAATGGGGCAAAGGGGAATGGGGCAAAGGGGAATGGAGCAAGGGGAATGGGGCAAAGGGAATGGGGCGAAGGGAATGGGGCGAAGGGAATGGGGCGAAGGGAATCGGGCGAGGGGAATGGGGCACGGGGATGGGGCAATGGGATGGGGCAAAGGGGGTGGGGCAAGGGGAATGGGGCAAACGGAATGGGGCAAGGGGAATGGGGCAAAGGGGAATGGGGCAAAGGGGAATGGAGCGAAGGGAATGGGGCAAACGGAATGGGGCAAAGGGAATGGGGCAAGGGAAATGGAACAAGGGGAATGGGGCAAGGGGAATGGGGCAAAGGGGAATGGAGCGAGGGGAATGGGGCAAACGGAATGGGGCAAAGGGGAATGGAGCGAAGGGAATGGGGCAAGGGGAATGGGGCAAAGGGAATGGGGCAAAGGGAATGGGGCAAGGGAATGGAGCAAGGGGAATGGGGCAAAGGGGAATGGGGCAAAGGGGAATGGAGCGAAGGGAATGGGGCAAACGGAATGGGGCAAAGGGAATGGGGCAAGGGAAATGGAACAAGGGGAATGGGGCAAGGGGAATGGGGCAAAGGGGAATGGAGCGAGGGGAATGGGGCAAACGGAATGGGGCAAAGGGGAATGGAGCGAAGGGAATGGGGCAAGGGGAATGGGGCAAAGGGAATGGGGCAAAGGGAATGGGGCAAGGGAATGGGGCAAAGGGAATGGGGCAAGGGGAATGGGGCAAAGGGGAATGGAGCAAGGGGAATGGGGCGAAGGGAATGGGGCGAAGGGAATGGGTCGAAGGGATGGAGTGACAGACGGGTTGTACAGTGTACTGCAATGGCACAGTGGGTGGGATCATCCATAAACGGATGGGCTGTGTTTCGAGTCGACTCAAAACACGGGAATGGAGCAAAGGGATGGCGCGACAGACGGGTTGTCTTTTGAGGCGCCTCAAAAGGCAGACGGGTTGTACAATGGCACAGTGTACTGCAATGGCACAGTGTACTGCAATGGCACAGTGTACTGCAATGGCACAGTGTACTGCAATGGCACAGTGTACTCCAATGGCACAGTGTACTGCAATGGCACAGTGTACTGCAATGGCACAGTGTACTGCAATGGCACAGTGTACTGCAATGGCACAGTGTACTGCAATGGCACAGTGTACTGCAATGGCACAGTGTACTGCAATGGCACAGTGTGCTGCAATGGCACAGTGTGCTGCAATGGCACAGTGTGCTGCAATGGCACAGTGTCCTGCAATGGCACAGTGTACTGCAATGGCACAGTGTACTGCAATGGCACAGTGTACTGCAATGGCACAGTGTACTGCAATGGCACAGTGTACTGCAATGGCACAGTGTACTGCAATGGCACAGTGTACTGCAATGGCACAGTGTACTGCAATGGCACAGTGTACTGCAATGGCACAGTGTACTGCAATGGCACAGTGTACTGCAATGGCACAGTGTACTGCAATGGCACAGTGTACTGCAATGGCACAGTGGGTGGGACCATCCATGATAAACGGATGGGCTGCAGCGGCCTCACTACATGGGGCTCCATTGGGCTTACCACCATAACATCGTGAAATGAGGGTGTTTTTGAGACGTCTCAAAAGCAATGGCACAGTGGGATTGGGATCATCCACGACAAACGGATGGGCTGTGTTTCAAGTTGACTCAAAACACGGGAGTGGAGCAAAGGGATGGAGCGACAGACGGGTTTGTACAGTGTACTGCAATGGCACAGTGGGATTGGGATCATCCACGACAAACGGATGGGCTGCAGCGGCCTCACTACCATACCATCGCACAGAGGGGTTGAGATCTGATTCCGTGCTCTGGCCAATCACATCGAGGTCGAAATTTGATCCTATGCTTGGAGAGGCAGAGAGGCAGAGAGACGGAGAGACATGGTGGCATAGGGGCAGAGAGGAGTTGAGACAAGCGTTGGCAAGCCAATTAGCGACTGTGGTCCTCGCCCCACCTGTGCTACTTGTCCTCCCCCCTCCCCTGTGCAACTGTGCTCTCGCCTCCCCTTTGCGACTTGTACTCCCCATCCCCTGTGCGACCGGCCCTTACCCCCCCCTGTACGACTGTGCTTTCACCTCCCCTGTGCGACTCTGCTCTAGCCTCCCCTGTGCGACTTGTCCTCCCCCCTACCCTGTGCAACTGTGTTCTCGCCTCCCCTGTGCGACTGTTCTCATCTCACCTGTGCGACTGTGTTCCCGCCTCACCTGGTAAGTGATGTTCTCGCGTCTGCCCGGGCTTGGGCTATTGCGAAGAGTTCTACAGAACACGCAACGCCGCAAGGCCTGACTTGCCTAATAGCCCGAGCGTGGGCTATGGCTAAGCGTCTGTTCTAACAACCTGAGCGAAACCACGCCATAAGGCCTACCGGGCCTAATAGTCCGTCTTTTGAGGTGCCTCAAAAAGCGTCTGTTAGTTCTAACAACCTGTTTCATCCAGCACGCCATGCCACAAGGCCTCACAGGCCTAATAGCCCCTCCCCATCCCTTCACCCGAGCCTTTTTCATCCAGCACGCCACGGGACAAGGCCTGACAGGCCGAATAGCCCCTCCCCCTTCGACCGAGCCTGTTTCACAGAGCATAGGCACAAAGGCACAGAGGGGTTGGGACGAGCATAGGCACAAAGACAGAGGGCTTCATCCAGAAAGCGACCTGCTTCATCCAGCACGCTGCGCTACACGGCCTAACGGGCCTGATAGTCCGAGCCTTGGCTACTGCGGAGCGTCTGTTCTACTCAGCACACTGCGCTACAAGGCTGAAATGAATAGGCCTGATAGTCCGAGCCTTGGCTACTGCGGAGCGTCTGTTCTACTCAGCACGCTGCGCTACAAGGCTGAAATGAATAGGCCTGATAGTCCGAGCCTTGGCTACTGCGGAGCGTCTGTTCTACTCAGCACGCTGCGCTACAAGGCTGAAATGAATAGGCCTGATAGTCCGAGCCTTGGCTACTGCGGAGCGTCTGTTCTACTCAGCACGCTGCGCTACAAGGCTGAAATGAATAGGCCTGATAGTCCGAGCCTTGGCTACTGCGGAGCGTCTGTTCTACTCAGCACGCTGCGCTACAAGGCTGAAATGAATAGGCCTGATAGTCCGAGCCTTGGCTACTGCGGCGCGTCTGTTCTACTCAGCACGCTGCGCTACAAGGCTGAAATGAATAGGCCTGATAGTCCGAGCCTTGGCTACTGCGGCGCTACTGTTCTACTCAGCACGCCGCGCTACAAGGCCTAACGGATCGTTTCATCTACCCTGCTTCATCCAGCAGTACACGCTACACAGCCTGACAGAACGTCTCGCGTGCACACGGCAGGCAGCGACGCCCCGGGAGTCCTAACAGGTGCAATAACAAGCCACCATGGCCTAATTGCACACCAACCAGCCCTAATCCCACACCACCACGGCCTTATCACGTGTGTTTTTGCAAAAATGCAAAAGACGCCATATTTCATCAAAGGACGCCTACCACAGCTCAGCACCTAGCATCCTCACAGGCCCTAGCTGTCACAAACAACCCGTTTAGATAAATTATAAGGAAAAGGAAGAAAAACAGAAGGAATGGTAAGTGAAACAGCTTCTTCTACAGAGCACACCGCGGTACACGGCATGACAGACGATCGCATACACACGCTTGAAACTCTCGACTCTGTCAGCCACTGGAGAATCTGCACTAAACTTACCGCAATCTTAGAGTGGCGTTACTAAGGCCAACTGGCGATCGCGTACACTCGCTTGCAACCCTGAATCTGTCAGCTAGTACTGGAAATCCTCGCTGAACTTACTGTGACCTCAGGGTGGCGTTACAAGGTCTAACAGACGATCGCATACACACGATAGTCAGTTATTGAAAGTCTGACTGTGAGGTGCCTCAGCGCTTGCAACCCTGAATCTGTCAGCTAGTACTGGAAATCCCCACAGAACTTACTGTGACCTCAGGGTGACGTTACTAGGTCTAACAGACGATTGCATACACACGCTGGCACCCTTCGACTTTGTCAGCTACTTAAAGGTCTGGCTTTGAGGCGCCTCAAAACTATCAACCCTCACAGCCACAGTCGCACACTGCTACGGGTGAGTGGGTAATATCTTGCCTCTTGTAAGTGTGAGCCTGTGAGTGTGGGTGAGTAGGTACTCAAATTTATTTGCACCCGTGAGTATGTGCTACTGTGATTCTGTGAGTCTGTGAGTCTGTGATACTGTGATACTGTGAGCCTGTGAGTGTGTGCAGCATGCTCCTCTCACCTCCAATTCTATTCCGTGTGTTGTCATTCAGTGGACAAGCTTGCAAATCGACTCACAGCCACAGTGCCACACCGCTACGGGTGAGCGGGGAATATCTTGCCTCTTGTAAGTGTGAGCCTGTGAGTGTTTGCAGCATGCCCCTCTCACCTCCAATTCTATACCGTGTGTTGTGACTCAGTGGACAAGCTTGCAAATCGTCCTATAGCCACAGCACCGTACTGCTACGGGTGAATGACTAATTCTGTGTGCATCAAGCATCTGTAGCGTGTGCTGTGTTGTGAATCACGGAGGGGGCTTGTTGACCACAACACTGATTGGATTTTAAGACGTCTCAAAACTTTTGAGACGTCTTAGCGTCTGTAGCGTGTGTTGTGCTGTGAATTGCCAAATGAATTTGTTGACCGCAAAGCGGCAAGTGAGATGCTGGTCTTCAATATCTTTGCGCTCAACTCTAAGGTCATATTGGGTCCACTTGAAAAAAACAACCCTGCCTGGTTCAGTGCATTCATGTCTGGAGATGAGATAGGTTGTGTGTTCTTGTCGTTTCTCGCTTTTGCAATTTCTTCCTTCATGTCTCTTTACAGGTGTACAGCTGGCAGCGGTTCGAGCTGTACCAGCACGGTGGTGTAGTGGTAGAGGGGCAATTGTACCACATTGTGGTTAAACTTCAGTATGTTTCTGTATAACCGTCTCAAGAAATTTATAACGTATTCACTTGGAGAGGTAGGAGCACTGACATTGAATATGCTCGAATTCATACCTCAGTAGCTCTTTCATGGGGCACATGCTTGTACATTTAGAGTGTCACTGTCCTAGATCTGCGTCCTTCCAATGGGCGGAAAGAAATGTAGTGAGTGATTCTCCCACCGATTATCGAATTCGATTGTAAAGGGCGTTGAGTTCATGTTTTCTCGTCAGCGTCAGCTGCGATTCTGCCAGCAGGATAGTTTCTTCGCAAACTTGAGTGACTTCTTCGCCAACCATTCACGCCGTAACAGAGCAGCATCGAGGGCGAGTCCCGCTAGCCCATATCCCTGAACAACTCAGTAAGAAACGCGCGAAACGAGCTTGCGAAAAGCAAGGGCACTGCACGACTCGGAAGAAACTCGCGAAATGCTTGCGTGGCGTCGTACGGCGAACTCTGTGACTCGGCGCGATTCGGATTCCATGCATTGCTGTCCCGACAACCCTCTTCCCCAAGAAAACACATCAGCGGGATTCAGCGCCTGCCTGGCTTGACTGCATCCCTCCCTGCCCACCCTTCCCCGCTCCCTCGCCTCAGCTCGTCGCCTGTATTTTAGTTTGTTCCAGGCTGTGTGCCTCGCCAATTCCAAGCTAGCTTACTTTCACAGCTATCCAGGTAGCCAGTTCCTTTGAAGCACGATTTTTGTCGGCGTATCTTCAGTGCCTCTGCGCAAATCTTCGTATCCCGTTAGTGAAGATTTCAACGTCCTTCATTTTAGCGAGTAATTAGAAATAGCAGCTTTGGTTCGTTTTTTAGAGTTTTCAAAGAACTCATCAGCGACGACGCATCACCAGCGCCGATGGCGACCGGACAAATTCCTCCCACGCTTCTCCGAAAACTCCTCGTGTCTCTCCTCCTCGCCTGCCTCCTCCTCGCGCTCACTCCGGTGCGCGCGTTTGAATTCGACTGCCGAAACGAGGCGCGCGAGACCGTTTCCGTCCTGAGCTTCTGTAACGGGGACGGATGGCGCTACACGTGTCTCTACGGCACCGGATACGCCACGGACGGGTCGGGGGAGTGCACGCTCGTTCTGGCCGGCGCGCTTTACTGTGAAGACTGCGAGGGGAAAGCGCACGACCTCCCGCGTTGCTGCGATATAGACCTCACCGGTTATGAGCTAAGCGCAGGTCAACAGGCCAACACGTATGATATCGAGGAGGGAATCAGTCTCCTGCAGTGCCCGGGGAATTCCGACTGTGGTGACTTCGGTTACCCACAGTGTAACGGCGGTGGGTACGACGGGGTTACGCCGTATGCGACAAACACGTTCTACATCGTGCAAGATTTTGCTTATTGTCCCGAATCCAGCGGAACAATGCTCCGCGCATTGGAGCACCGCGCGCACAGCAGCGGCGGAGTGAAGCTGCGCGAATTAGAGCGCCCGCGGCAGGAATCCGCCGCTCAGGCGGAGGAGATCCGCGCAGAGCCGCCGCACCCGATTGCTTCCTCCGGCGACGGCGTGCAGGCGCGTGGAGTGACCAAGATGAGCCGCCGCTTGTGGGGGAGCGGGCGCCCCTGGTCTCCCCCAAAAATGTATAACCGCCGCCTTTGGGGGAGTGGGCGCCCGTGGTCCCCCCCCAAGATGTACAGCCGCCGTCTGTGGGGGAGTGGGCGCCCCATGTATAGCCGCCGCCTATGGGGAAGCGGGCGCCCCTGGTCTCCCCCTAAGACGTACAGCCGCCGCCTGTATGGAAGCGGGAGACAGTGGTACCCGTAACAAGCAGATTCGACACCGCCGACACCTGTGCAGGATGTAACTGGTGAAGTGCGACGGAGATTAGACAGAGCTTGAAGTGAAGCTAAGGTGCAACACGGTAAGACATCACAGGAATTTATTTTCTTGAGGGGTTTGACGTGATGTTTTTGGATTGGATGCACAGGGGTTGGTTGGGATTAATTGGGTACGGTATGCCCAGTCCAACAGTTTTCACGTATTGGTAGGGCTGCAATAATCACTTCCAGAGAACCCTGTTTGTGGATGGGTAGGAGGTTAGACTAATAATGGTGGTTGTTTAGTACTGATGCACATGGCTAGTTGAGGTGTATAGGGTTTCTGTTGGTGTCAGCTGGGTGGGAGGGGGGGGGGTAGCAAAACTTGGATGTCGATTACATGCCTCTTTATTGTTGATGACTTTTCTATTGGCTGCTGTGTTTGAATGAGCTAGTTTATTCAAAAGTTGAACCTCAATTAGTTGCCAAACATTCATGACTATTGGTAGTTCAATCTACATTCCAAAACGCACCCACCCATAGACAGATTACTCGACCGTCTAATGGTCTGCATAACAGAATCATATTATCACCCCTCACTAGTCTATGAACTGAAAATCGTCATTCTAGTGCCTTTGAAGTCAGGGCGAGCTTGCCCCAACTCTTGAGCTTCGAGCAAAGTAGCCGACCGCTCTACCAAACAAGCAATACCTTATTTTCCTCCCTGAAGTTTAAAGTGCGCCCCCCCCCCCCCCCCCCCCCCCCCCCCCCGACACTTGTTGGCATCCTCATTCTTCCCATCGTTTGTAAGACCGCTCCCATTAAAGTGCAGCTGGTCTGGACTTGGGAATGAGCAATGAGAGATGCACACACAGCCGCCACAGAGCCATACCCGCCTCAGCCACACTACCATAGAACCACACTGCACACACAGCCACACTGCCCTGCTGCCACAGAGTGACCTTTGAGTCGACTCAGAAGTCACCCTCCCACACCAGGCTTCTCAAGCATACTGCATTGCAGCCATGGGTGCTGCCGTGTTAGCAGCAGGAGCTATGGCAGTGGCAGCAGCACCACCTTCGATCCCACTGTGTCTCTCTCCTATTCTTCCTCCCAACCCTCCCTTTCCTCCTCCCATCGCCCCTCCCATTCCTCCTCCCATGGACCCTCCTATACCCCCACCCACGCCCGCTCCAATTGTCCTCCGCCCAACACCCCTTGCTCGACGCAAGGGACTCCCTGCTGCTCCTGCCGCCATGCCAAACCCAGGAGATGAAAGGGGGGTAGGTGGGTGGATGCTGGAAGGTAGTATGTTTTGGTTGTGTGAAAGTAGCTGGTTCTCAGAGACAAGCTGGTTGTCGTACACCTTCCACATGCCCATCACATGCCCCTCCTGCTCACCCTCCTTCTGACCCAGCTGCTGCTGCTGCTGCTGCTGCTGGTATGGTTGCTGCTGCAGCTGCTGCAAATTACTGACACCAGAATTAACCCCACATCCGCCCACACCACCACCACCCAAGCCAGACCTCCCAATGCCACTACCAACACCACCGCCTATCCCCCTGCCACCCACACTGCCACCAACAACAGGAGCACTGCCCGCATTGCTGGCAGCAATAACTGCTGCAGCTCCTCCTGCTGGTGCTGCTGCTGGTTCTCCTCTGCCTACGGAAGGTGGGTTGGAGAGAGCACCATCAAACGCGCTGAAGGGAGGGACGTCAGAGGGGGGGGAGAATGGCTGTGCCGTGTCAACATTCACCACTCCCGGGATAATGCTTAATCCGTGCTGCTGCTGCTGCTGCTGCTGGTAGTTCTGCTGTGTCTTCTGGTTGACCTGGTTGACCGGGCTGACTGGTGGCTGACGTGGCAGGGAGGACGTGGATTGGGAATGGGGAAACGGTGCCACAGAGGCTGCTTCCATCTGTTGCTGCAGCAGGTGCTGCTGCTCCTGCAGCGCTGCACTGCTGATGCTGATCACCCGAGAGGCCGACAGGCTCCTCCTCCTGCTGCCACTAATGCTGTCCTTGGTGTTGCTACCACCAGCACCGCTGCTGCAACCACCAGCACCGCCTTGGCTGCTGTGTGGCTTGATGATGGAGCGAAGAACCGCGTCCATCTCTTCGTCCGTATCGCTCAGAACAATTGTGTCGCTCAAGCCGATTGTGTCGCCGGATTCGTTGGGATGCAAGCAGTTCACCTGGCCGGCGTCCGCTGTCTTTTGTTGGTTGTCGCTGAGGCACGTATAGGCAGCTCGGTGGTGGGGGCTTGCTGCTGATAAAGGCTGCTGTGCCTGTGCCATCTGTTGCTGGAAACATCAAGTTGGGGAATGGGGAGCGAAACGACGAGGGGAGAAAAGGGGAAGAGGGTTGGCGGGCGAAGAGGGGAGGGGCAAGGGGGAACGGCATAGCACAAGTTTAATGTTACTGCAAACCTTTAGAACCGAATTAGTGCAAGGGAAGAGAAAGAGCGAGTGAACCGACAGTGCAGGTCACCAGGAATGAGGACTGCAACTTGTTTTGATAGAATATGACGTCTCAAGCTTTAAGAGTACAGACTAACATCTCAAGTCTCAAACCCAGATACAGCAAGGGAAACAAGGTTGTGCAGCTCACCTGAAACGCGGTCCGTGACTCGTTCTGAGACATCTCAAGCTTTCAAGACATGTAAACTGCAGCGTCTCAAGCTTCATACCGGGACATCTCAAACAGTGAGCAAAGAGGCAGTGCGACTCACCTGGAATGCCTGTTGCCTGGCGGTGGGTTGCTGACGTGGCCAACCGTTTTGAGGTGGCGGTGGTGCCTGTTCCTGGTTCCACTGCTGCTGTGGGCTCATCTGCTGCTGTTGCTGTTGCTGTGGGCTCATTTGATGCTGCTGCTGCTGATACTGCTGATGCTGCTGCTGCAGCTGTGGTAATTGCCCCCCTCTCTCCCCTCCGCCGCCTTGCCTCATCCCCCCACCACCCGTCCCTCCTCCTACTCCCTGCTGCTGCCGCCGCTGCCACAGCTTCTGCTGCGCGGATAGCCTTGCTGCTGACGCCGGGGAAAGATGTGCGTTGCGCCCTGAGACAAGGCTGGTATTTGAAACCGGGGATTTCGGGAGTGTGTTGAATCCACAGGGGATAGTGGAGGACGAGGATGATGCGACTAGCGGATGCGGAACAGCACATGCAGGTGTTAATTCAGGTAGAATCTCAGGTTGCTGCTGTTGGTTCCCGCACTGGTGCTGTTGCTGGTTCTGCTGCTGGTGCTGGTGGTACTGCTGCTGGTGCTGCTCCTGGTGCTGGTGGTGCTGCTGCTGAAACTGCTGGTGCTGGTTCTTCTTCTGCTGCTGAAGCTGCTGGTTCTGCTGCTGCTGCTCCTGCTGCTGGTACTGCTGCTCCTGGTCCTGCTGGGAGTAATGCTGCTGCTGTTGCGGCAAATACTGCGGCTGCTGAACACAAGCCTCATTCACCATTATGATGCTTCCATCCCCCATCCCCTCAACCCCACCTCCGCCCACGGGCCCCCACGCCCCATTCCCTTCCCCTACCGCCCCATTTTCTGACACCTCCATCTCATCCCATCCCATAGTGTCAAACCCTTCAGGAATCGGCAAGGGCTTTTGAGCCGCGTCATCCCACCCCATCGTGTCAAAACCTTCGGGCATGGGCAAGGGGAAAATATCCAATGCACCTGCTGGGTCCATCAGCATGTGGCTCGCCTCGAAACCCTCGTGCTCACCAGCAGCAACAGCAGCAGTGGCGGCGGCTGGGATTCCGTGTTCTAACCTCGTGTCTCTCCTCCTCCATCAGCATTTCCTCGAAGGTTCGCCCCTCTGGCAGAAACAGCGCCACGTCATTCTGAGCCTCTAAGCCCGCTGGCACCGGAAATCCTTCGCCCCCCACCGTCTCCCTGCCGGCATACCCTCCTGCCAATCCCAACGCCTCCCCTCCACCCCCTCCCGCCCCTTCCGCTTCCCCCCCACCCTCGACTTGCACGCTCCCCCCGCTTCCCCCGCGCTGCAGGCTCTCAGGCATTCCTCGGCCGGAGGAGGAAGTTGCACCATTAACACTCGCGCCGTGAACGCCGCTGAAGCTGCCTTGTGAATGTAGCGGGGCCTTCACAGACCCTTGAGAAGCCAGGCTGGAGAAGCTGCCAAATCCGTCCGCCCCAAACCCGCCTGCGAAGCTGCCAAACTCGCCTGTCACTGGCCCCACAGATGCCCCCATACCTCCGCTTCCCCCCGTCCCTCCGCTTCCCCCCGTCCCTCCGCCTGTAACCGCCCCCATGCTTCCTCCTGATCGTCCGCCCGGCCCTTCCCGGCCGCCGGATCCCTGCCGCCGAAGCATCCTTCCCGAACCTGTCACTCCCGAGCCTGCCATCCCCGAGCCTGCCATACCAGATGACACGTCATCGCCCGTGGATCCCACGTGGCAGCCGCTCGAGCTGTTCGTCTCCTGCATGCTCCCCGCTCCCGCGCTAAACGCCCCCCCGCTTAACGCAGCCCCGCTATAAGCACTCCCGCTAACAATCGAGTGCGAGAACAGCCCGCCCCCTCCGCGCCGCATAGCGCGGAGAGACGGGGGAGGGGGAAGAGTCGGCGGAGTGTCTAACGAGTCGAGTTTCATTAGAGACGTCGTGGTGGGTAGAGGCCCCGACGTCGGTTGATATCCCGAGTAATTACCCTGCAACCGTAACGGCCCAGATCTCGAGGTAAATACCCCTGGAGGTGGCTCCCCTCCTTCCCAAAGATCAAGAGCTTCTGGGTTTAGCGGAGCGCTTCTACCGAGGATGAATCCCCCTCCCGAATGCGGGGGTTGCGGGGCCTCGCGGAAGGACATGGGCGGAGTGGCGGAGCGGTGGGGGAGGATCATCTTGCGCACGTGCCTCGGGGGGGAGGAGGACGCGGGGCGGCGGGAGCTGTACGGGCTGCAGGTTCCGGAGCCTCCCCCATCCGCGTCATAGGCGTCTCCGCTATCGAATAACGGGCCGGATTGCGCTTTATACTTATGCTTGCGCTGTAGATCCACGGCTTCCATCATGTACGGATGGTTCACGCTCAACGGCCCCGATTTCGACTTCTGCTTCTTGTTACTCGCGTTCGCGAATTTTGCCCCTCCTTCGGTAACTTCGCGCAGCGCCTGCACCAGGTCCAGCCCGTGTCGCAGACCGTCGCGCACCTCCGACATGGGCGACCTGGGCGACGCCGGCGACCTTGGCGACATGGGCCGCGACCGCTGCAGCGTGCTAGGGCCATGCGACGACATGGCCTCCCGCGTTTGAATCCCAGGCGTGAACGTCAAGTTCGCTAGTCGTAAGCTCGCCAACGCCCAGCCAGGTGTATTCCCAGGTGTGATCCCAGGAGTATTCCCAGGTGTAGCCACCGGAGTAGCTCCAGCACCAGTGACAGCCCCCCCTGGAGTGCCTAGCACTGTCGCCCCCCCTGCTAGAAGCCCCCCTTCCTCTCCGCGGATGCGCGCGGGCGTTCCGGTAGGAGTTCCTCCGGGCATTCCCCCTCCCCCTCCCCCTCCACCTCCCACTCCTCCGGCGCTGCTGAAGGTCTCCGGGTGGACGCGGGAAAACGACTGCGCGCGGATTGGGGTTCCCGCGGGAGAGCCCGTGATTCCACTGCCGCCGCCGCCCTTTTCCGCTCCCTTTTCCGCAGCCCTCTCCGCGGAGATGCGGGAGAATGCTGCGGTGAGCGCGCGCCCGAGAATGTTCCCCTTTGCGCTGGAGGGCGTTCCGCGTGCCTTAGAAGCGGGGGTGTTTCCGCCAGTGGGGGTTGCGCTTCCCGGTCGCGGGTGGTACGAGAGGGAGATGCGAACTTTCGCAGAACTGGCGAACAGGTTACCAACTTCGTCGAAAGCTCGCAGGTAAAACTCCTGATCGCCGGCTTTGCCTCTTTCCATGATGTCTCTGTTCCAAGGCAGGGGCAAACAAGGAGAAGAGAGAAAGGTGACTAAGAGGGGTGAAGATAGGTGAACTTTGAATCGACACCGTCGAGGCCTGGGTGAAGTAATGATGGAGCCAGAGATCTGGACGAAAAAATCAATATAGCTGTTTGACTGGAAAGCCATGACAGCGACGACAGCGAGCTCGCGCGAAACACGAATGCATAAGCGTCTTGAAACAATTTCAGGTAAAAAGTAGCACCCAAGGAAGTCAAAACTCGTCTGACGAACAGAACCAAGCAGCTGATTGCTCCATCAGAAAAAAACGATCTCTGCTGAAAGACTCGACGCACCCAAATTACGACCTGGTAACACATAGAATGCAATATTGATTACAACATTCATAACTTTGTTGACCTGATGAAAGTCTGACCTTATCGGAATCTGGATGAAGCCGAGCAGCTGGTCGTCTGTGGTGCCGCGGTGGTGGCTCGCCATCCATATCTCGCACTTCACTTCCGTCTCGCGCTCAGGCACGCCCACCTGAAGCGAGAAGAGGTACGCCATTGAGGAAAAGAGACATCAGGGGACGAAAGAAACGTGAGGAGGGACCGATTTGAGCCGTCTTGAAAAGCGATGGTGGCACTTCACGTCCGTCTCGCGCTCAGATACGCCACCTCATGGATGAGGGAGCAACGAAACGTGAGGGAAATAAGAAAATTCGCCAGGCGAAAGACTTCAACATACGAAAGACAAGGAGGTTAGGTGGGTTTGGCTGAAAGAGGCGTGTGATACCCTGACGGCTCGAGAGCTGTCATGCATACCATACCCATGTCGATCTCTTCCGTCCTCTGACCTGGAGTCGTTGGTTGAAGATTGGGTTGTTCCCGCCAGACTTGATGGTTTTCGTGGTCAGAGCCACTCGACCGATGTCGTCGCGTTCGCCGCAGAGCACCCGCGCGTACACATCCTGGGGTCCATAGTCGCATAGCTCACGTAGTCCTTCCGCCTGAATGATATGGATGTCTAGAATCCCAGCTACTTGGGATACTTTTCGCGCCATAAAAATAAAATAAATACTAGTCTATGCGTAGGGTTTTGCACAAGTGGATGCTGTAGGAAACACTTTTGACGTGCGAATGTCTGTTAATTATGGCTGGTCGTAACGTTTCTCACTGAATCTCAGTGGCTGATTCTCAGAGTGCAAGCTAACCTTTCCAAGAACCTCAACCGCAAGCTATCTTGGCGCACATTCCATCACCTCCTTCCAAGTTAGAAACTCCTACACTACCAGGCAAACTTCACGAAGCGCTAGGACAACGGGATCAACGTCTGAGTTCGTAATTCCGAAAGCTCCTTGAGATAGGGATGCCGCGGAAACCTTCTGCTCTGATTCCGTGAACAGCTTGAATCCTGATTGTGAGCAGTCTTTGGAGGTGATGGTGGCTCATTCAGATGATCTCAGGAGTCAGGAAGCCCCAAAAAGAATGTCTTCTCCAGCTTGTAATCTCGATGAGGGGGTCATTGGGGGAATGCCGTTTCCTTGCGCGTCGAGTCAATGGAAGATTGCCACTGCTTGCGTGGCGCGTACTGCTGAACAATGATGGGGATGGAAGGAAACATCGATGTAAAGTCTTGTAGTTCATTTGGGCGCATTTTAAGATTTTCAGGGGTTAGATCTGACGAAATTGTGATGCTCCAAACCCTCCTCGAAATTTGGTGGTGTGATTGCATCTTGAATCTCTGAGGTTATACAACCATACTTAGGTCTGATAATCAATCCCCCACCTTTTAAAATCTCCTTCAACCCCTCTTAGAAGGAAGTAGTTCCTGTGTGCCACTGAAGCACAGCAGGCTCACCAGCTGGGAGCTGAGATTAGGATAATCGGGATCGCTTTTAAGAAAGTGTTGCGCTCGCTTCTATTTTTTTATGCTAACAGTGTAGATGGTGGTGAGGTCCTTGCTTTCCTGAGGGGCATAATTGGGTGTGCTTGCACATGATTGATGGTGCCCTTTCGACGGAGCGCGCGTGGACGAAAAACACGGGGGAATGGCGCTTTGCGCATCGAAGGATTTGCCAATGTGGTAATAGGAGTTGCGCAGGTGTTTCCCAAAGTACAGCTTGATGGGAAATTTGGTGGCCGTTTGGTTTGACATTGCCGTTGCAGGACGAATTCTTTGCTTGCTGGGGGGTGGTGTGCTCGCACGAAAACAGGACGGCCGTCAAAGGTCACAAATGATGTGATATCGTCTGACACATCGGCTGATGCGGTGTAGAATTTCAGAACCGCAAGGTAAAAAACATGAAGAGAAAACTAATCTCTCAACAGGTTAGCAGATTTATTACTACTATATCATCTCCACTGCTGCTTCTAAGCATGGACGTGCCACTATATATACCTGATTCACCATCACTCAAGCTCGCCATAATAATGTTCTTGTCCTCATCTCCGCTTTCCAGCATTATATTTCATAGACTAGCCCCACTATGCACTACCGTACCTACAATTCCCAGCTCATCTCATTGAATTGTAGAAGTTCCATGATGAAGGTAAATATCCACCATGCAAAGAAACTTCCCGGTATTGGGTTTGGGCTCGTCTGTCTTCAACTAGCTCAAGGAAACGTACCTATATAATTTTGAAACCCAGCATTACAGCAGCCAACCAAACCCCCCATACTGAAAAGGCAACAATAGAAAGTCATGTAATATGTGCTCATGTTCAGCCCACCCCCCCAAGTTCGGCTGGCACAAGGAACCCCACCCAAACAGCACAACTAATCATGTGCCCCAGTACAAATCAACCACCACTAACATAATTTGCTAACCGTCCACAAACAGAGCGCCCTGCAAGTGATAACGTAATCACACAGCCACCTGGAAGTGGTTGCCCCTGGGTATACCCAGTCTCAAAGCCCCAAACAACCTATCTGCACCCGGAATCAACAGCTTTGTTCTATCACATCGGAAACCCCTCAAGAAAACCCCCCATACTGTGTTCCACCTTGGTGTCACTTCCAGCTCTGTCGAAAGCTCCTTAACACTTGACAGTTACACTCTACGGTAATGCCGAATCTGCTTATTACGGGTACCACTGCCTCCCGCTTCCATATAGGCGGCGGTTATACATCTTGGGGGGGGACCAGGGGCGTCCGCTTCCCCACAAACGGCGGCTGTACATGGGGCGCCCGCTCCCATACAAGCGGCGGCTATACATTTTGGGGGGGGACCAGGGGCGCCCGCTTCCCCACAGGCGGCGGCTCATCTTGGTCTTTCCGCCCGCCAGTGCGCCGTTGCGGGAGGATTCAATCAATTGCGGCCGCTCTAATTCGCGCAGCTGCACTCCGCCGCTGCTGTGCGGCGCGCGAGGCTCCATCGCGCGCAGCACGTTTCCACTAGTATCGAAGTCGGCGCAGTAACTGTAGCTTTCCGCATAGGCATATTCATTAGACCAGTACGGGGTAGTCCCGTCGAAGCCACCCCCGTTACACTGCGGGTAACCAGATTCACCACAGTCGAAATTCCCCGGGCATTGCAGCTGTTTGATTCCCTCCTCGATATAATGCGTGTCGGCCTGTTGGCCGCTGCTATACTCGTAACCGGAGAGGTCTATATCGCAGCAACGCGCGAGACTGTTCACTTTCCACTTGCAATCCTGGCAGTAAAGCGCGCCGGCCTGCACGAGCGCGCACTTAGTCGAGCCGTCCGGGGAATAGCCGCCGCCGTAGAGACACGTGCGACGCCACCCGTTTCCATCGCAGAAGCTCAGGACCGCAACGGCCGCGTTTGCCTCGTTTGCGCAGTCCAAGTCGTACGCGCGCACCGGAGCGAGCGGGAGCAGAAGGCAGGAGAGAAGGAGAGGCGCGAGGAGGTTTCGGAGAAGCGCGGGAGGAGTTTTTCCGGCCGCCATCGGCTCTGGTAAAGGCGTCGTCGGTACTAGCTTCAAGCTAAAATACGATAAGGAAAAAAAGGAACTAACTAAAGCGGTTATTAATTACTCGCAAAACAATAAGGACGTTAATATTTCACAGATTGAAGACGAAGAGTTGCGCAATTGTGAAGAAGATCGCTGGCGAAATTCGTGCTTTGACGGAACAGGCTAGCTAGAGCTGTAAAAGAAGCAAGCTCTGGAACTGCGGAGGCACACAGTCTGGAACGAACTAAATACACGCGGGGACCAGCGACCGCATGGGTTGAGGCGATGGAGCGGGGAGAACCCGCGGAGAGAGACAGCGGGGAAGGGCGTGCGGGGAGGGATGGAGCCAGACACGCCAGGCAAAGCCGTGCGAGAGAGCCAGGGAGGCGCTGAATCCTGCTGATGTGTTTTCTTGGGGAGGGATGTGAGAGATGAGTTGTCGCGACAGCAATGCATGGAATTCAAATCAGGCCGAGTCGCCAAGTTCGCTGTGCGACGTCACGCACGCATTCCGCGAGTTTCTTCCGAGTCTTGCTGTGCCCTTGCTTTTCGCAAGCCAGTTTCGCGCGTTTCTTATCGAGTTATTCAGGGCGAGACTGGCCTTCGATGCTGCTCAGTTACGGCGTGAATGGCCGGCGAAGAAATCACTCAAGTCTGCGAAGAATTTCACCCTGCTGGCGGTATCGCAGCTGACGTTGACCGCATTGGGAGAAAATTACATGCAGTCCACACCCTTTACAGCCGAATTTGCTAATCGAGGAGAGTACACCCATATAGAAAAATACAACTGTACAAGCATGTGCCCCATCAGGAGAGGTGGTCTTTACAGGTATGCATCAAAATTTGGCATTCAATAAAAGAAAGTTTACTGTATGTACATAATTAGAGGGATTAACTAGATTCAACGCTCCTAGGCCTGCAGCAAGGTGTAGGGAACATTCCTAACCTAATACGTGGAGCCACTAGTAGACAGAAACATTATGCATTCCTACCAATTGTCCATCAGCCACTACACCACCGCGCCTGTACAGCTGGAACCGCTGCCAGCTGTACACCTGTAACGAGACATGAAATGACAAAGGACAAAGGCATTGATTGGATGTAAAAACAGAGCAAGGCGGGGGAGGGGTATGCCGCAAACCATACAAAGGCTAGACGTCCCACTCACCCGTAGCAGTGCGCTGCTGTGGCTATGGGTCGATCCACAAGCTCATCCAGAGATTGGGTGTCAAAGACAGAGCGAGAGGAGTTGAGCATGCTGCAAACACTAACAGGCTCACAGATACCACGATAGAACAGTACTCACTCACCCGTAGCAGTGTGCTGCTGTGGCGATGGGTCGATCCACAAGCTCATCCAGTGACTGGATGTCAAACACAGAGCGCGGCGGGGGAGGAGGAGGAGAGGTGAGGGGAGAGTCCAGGGCAGTGGATGGTTTGGGGGGAAGGCCGAGGTTGAGCTGCTGGTTGAAGTCACAGTCAAAGAGAGCGCCTTGCCTGCAAGGGAACACCGAATAGGAGGCAAAGGAGAGAAGAGCGGGGGGAGAAGAGGTGGGAGGAGAGGCAGTTGCAGTGGATGGTTTGGGGGGAGGGCCGAGGGCGAGCTGCTGGTTGAAGTCACAGTCAAAGAGAGCGCCTCGTTCCTCCCCCAACTCCGTCCCTTCCCCTTCTCCCACCCCCACACACACCAGTCAATGTTAATCAGGTTTCAGCACATCACGTTGCCCATTGCTTCCTGGTTGAAGGCACACACTCGTCACACGCACACATCACTTCCCCTCCCACCTCCCAACCTCCCCCTTCCTACTCTCCCTCTCCCACGAACCAGTCAATGTTGATCAGGTTTCGGCACATCACGTTGTCCACTGCTGCCGGGTTGAAAGCAGAGACCTGTGTTGGTGAGGGGAGAGAGGCAAGGGAGGTAGTGGGAGAGAAGGCAGCAGATGGGCACACTTGAGGAACAGCCATCAGGTTTCGACACATCACATTGCCCACTGCTGCCGGGTTGAACGCAGAGACCTGTGTTGGTGAGGATAAGGAGTGGAAAGGGAATAGAGGATGGGGTTGGGAGGCATAGGGTGGGATGGGGTGGGGCGACATCTGACGCTAGATTTTCTGACCAGGTTTCGGCACATCACGTTGCTCACTGCTGCTGGGTTGAATGCAGAGAACTGCTTGGGTGAGGGGAGGTACATGGGAGAAAATTGGGAAGGAAAGGGTGGGAAGGGGGTGGAAGAATGGGTGGGGTGGGGTGGGTGGATTGGGGTGGGGGCGACATATGATGCTTGAATCACCAATGAGGTTTTGACACATCACATTGCCCACTGCTGGTGGGTTGAAAGCTGAGATCTGCGTGGGTGAGGGGAGAGGCAGGGTAGGGAAATGGGAGGGAGGCTGCAGCGGGAGTGGGAGGGAGGCAGCAGAGGGAATGGGAGAGACGTGTATATGTATGTATGTGTCTATGTGTGTATGTTTGTATGTATGTATGTATGTATGTATGTATGTATGTATGTATGTATGTATGTATGTATGTATGTATGTATGTATGTATGTATGTGTGTGTGTGTGTGTGTGTGTGTGTGTGTGTGTGTGTGTGTGTGTGTATGTATGTATGTATGTATGCATGTATGCATGTATGTGTGTGTGTGTGTGTGTGTATGTTGGTCTGTGTGTGTGTGTGTGTGTGTGTATGTTGGTCTGTGTGTGTGTGTGTGTGTGTGTGTGTGTGTGTTGTGTGTGTGTGTGTGTGTGTGTGTGTGCGCGCGTGAGTGCGTGTGTGTGTGTGTGTGTGTGTCCGTGCGTGCGTGCGTGCACGCGCGCGCGCGCGCGTGTGTGTGTGTGTGTGTGTGTATGTTTGAGTGTATGGATGGATGCAAGTATGCATGCATCTGAATGTCGTGCTGACTGCATGCCAATATAGAGCCAAAACATGTACTCCATATAAGCATCTCCACTACAAGGCTTACCAGCAGCTGCATGTAGTCCTCGAGTTGGCCCTGCCTGTGCAGAAACGTTGCAAATCTGTGGTAGAAATGCACAAACAAATACGCATGGACAGAGACACAAACACGGGAAATGTATGAAACGCCGAAACCAGCAGCTGCGCATGCCCAACCCAACACACCCCCCCTCTTGACATGCATGCTGAACATGGCGACGTTTAAGTCGCCTTATAAGGATGCTCCGAAATACATGCATGGACAGAGACACATACACATGATGTGCATGAAATGGAACCAGCAGCTGCGCATTCCCAACCCAACCCAGCCCAGCACCCACCTCTGTTCACCACTCACCATTTAATGCATGTAAGAAGACAAACACGCATGTACAGAGACGGATACACAGGAAGTGCATGAAGTGAAAGCAGCAGCTCCGCATACCCAACCCAACTTAACCCAACCCAACTTAACCCAACCCAACTTAACCCAACCCAACTTAACCCAACCCAACTTAACCCAACCCAACCCAACCCAACCCCCCATTTGACAGGCATGTCGGTGACGGTGACTCCTGAGTCGACGCAAACAGGATGCACTGACGGCAAATATGCGCGGATAGAATCACACTAACACAAGATGCATGGAGTGAAAGCAGCAGCAGCGTATGCCTGACCGACCCACCACTCACCTCTTGAGTGGTGTATGCCCGACCGACCCAACATGTATACACATGTTGGCGTATGCCCAACCGTCGACCGACCCATCACCCACCTCTTGTCACTACTCACCACTCACCTCTTGAGTCTTGACAGGCATGCTGGTGATGGCGAAAAGCCTTCTGATAGATATGCACTGCCCGCCACCAACACACCTCCCTTGACCTCTGTCAACCTCTGTTCACCCCTGTTCACCACTCACCTTTACAGTAGTATTGGTGATGGTGATCAGGCTGTTCAGCAACATGCTCTGTTGTCCACGCAACACACACACCTCCGTTAACCTCTCGTCACCGCTGTTCACCATGCACTACCCACCTCTGTACAGGCATGTTGGTGATGGTGAAGAGGCTGTTGAACGACATGCTCTGCTCACCACCCAACACACCTCCCTTCATTTCCATTAACCTCTCTTACCCGCTGCTCGCCCCTGTTCACCTCTCTCCACACCTGTTCACCCCTGTTCACCGCTCACTCACCACCTACCTTTTTACAGGCATGTTGGTGATGGTGAACAGGCTGTTGAACGATATGCCATAGCATGACATTAGCTCGCTCTGAGAAGGGTGTGGAGGGGTATTGGGGGGTATGGGGGGGGTTGTGGAGGAGTACGGGGGGGTATGGTGGGGTATGGTGGGTGGGGTATGGTGGGGTATGGTGGGGTATGGTGGGGTTTGGAAGGGAACCAAGAAATTAGGAAGAGGGAGAGAGTTGATTGAACGATATGCCATAGCATGACATCAGCTCGCTGTGAGAAGGGGTATGGGGGGGTGGAGGGGTATGGAGGGGTATGGAGGGGTATGGAGAGGCATGGAGGGGTTTGAAAGAAAATTTGGAGAGGGAGGCTGTTGGCTGAATGATATGCCGCAGCATAACATCAGCTCACTGAGAGGTATGAATGGCGAGGAGGGGCGCGGAGGGGTATACAGGGGTATACAGGGTTAAGGAGGGGTACGGAGGATACGCAGGGGCATGGGAGACTGTTGGTTGAACGATCATAGCATTCCAGCACAACAGATCCCATCCCATCCCATCCCATCCCATCCCATCCCATCCCATCCCATCCCATCCCATCCCATCCCATCCCATCCTACCCCACCCCATCTCATCCGATCCCATTCCACCCCACCCCACCGCATCCTATCTCACCTTGTATGCCTCCTCCAGTTTGCCTTGAGCAGGGGGGAGGAACGGGCCAACCGGGTTGTATACCAGGTATAGCACCAGTCCTGTTGGGCCACTCCTGCTGTGCACTCACCCATAGCTGTGCAGAATTGAACACCCTTCCCTTCTCTTCTATCCTCTCACCTTGTATGCTTCCTCCAGCTTGGCTTGAGCAGGCGGAAGGAACGGGCCAACAGGGTTGTACACCAGGTCTAGCACCAAACCCGAGCCTTCCTTGCCGTACCTGAAACGCAGGTTTGGGAAGTAAGAAAACAGAGATTTCACGTTTCATTACAGTATCTAGACCAGAGAGTTGTACGCACACAGCAGATCTAATAACACTGCACAGCCGTGAATCCGACGTGCATAAAAATGTACTAGCATCCCCAGAACACGTATAAATATTTTCGCATCCCACCATAATACACCCGACTCGACCTGTGCTGTGCTGTTCTTCATTGCACTGCACCGCACCCCACCGCGATGCATCTCGTTGAAGCACATTAACATTTCATCCTTGGTTGTGAGCAAGCGACAAGCCAGTGCATAGGCTCAACAGCTTTCAGCTAACCTGCATTACACAGCCTAAAACTGCACCACACTCCATCGCAACGAAATTGCACTCAATCGCATTGTACCACAATGCATTGCACTACACTGCACGTACCCCAGGCTTCTGAGCAGCTGAAATGCCTTGATGCTGCGCTCACAGACCATTACCCAACACGCATACAGAAAGAATCCATTGCTGCACCCCAACACATTCCACTGCATCTCACTGCACCTCATTCCACCGCACAGTACGTACCCCAGGCTGTTGAGCAGCTGAAGCGCCTTGATGCTGAGGTCAAACACTCCCCCTCCCCTCTGATACCCACACAAGCACACATCGGGGCAAGGGGTAAAGGGACATGGGGTGAGGGCGGGGGTATATGTGACTAAGGAGGAGAAAATATAGCTGAAGCGCCTTGATGCTGAGGTCGAACACTCCCCCTCCCCTCCAATTCCCACCAGCACGCATGAGAGAGGGATATGAGCAAGCGGGGGGGATACAGGTGCGGGAGGAAGGAGGGAATATGCATGGGTGAAGCGCCTTGATGCTTGATTCTGAGGTCGAACACCCCCCCTCCTCTCCGAAGCACACTCACATGTATTAACGAATGAGGTGACTTTTGAGTCGACTCAAAAGTCTCCCCGAAGCGCACGCACATGAATTGGAGCACATGAATTCCCAATGCACATGAATTGGAGCATGGGGATATGAGGAAGGGAGCGAATATGGGAGTGGGATGGGAAAGGAGGAAGGGATATGGGTGGTCGCACAACCTCAGGCATGGTTGTGTCCGGTGCTATTCAGCTTTTAGTGCATTATGGTTGTGTCCCCTGACAGCCAGCCATGGCTGCTATTCAGCTTTTAGTGCATTATGGTGGTCAGATTGGGGGGGCTATGGCTGCCTGTCAGGAGACGGGTGTGACTCATCGGGTCGGGAGGTCACAACCGATAATGACAGTGCAGGTAGTATTATGGGAACGACCCGAGCAGTGAGTAGCCGTGAGTTAACGCCTCACCTGCTTGTTGACATTATCAGCTGAGTAGCATGGGAGGGATGCCACCACGTGCACCTGATTGGCTGCCAGGAACTCTGCCAAATCCTGTTCACACACACACACGCACACACGCATGCAGAGATGAACACAGGGAGGCAGAACGCCAGTGGACTTGAGACATGGGAGCTCAAACGTTGCTGGGCGTGTGTGCGATGCCAGCAAGGAACTCAGCCAAGTCCTGCCCAAACGCACACGCACACACGCATGAACGCACACGCCCGCACGCACGCATGCACACACACACGCATGCACACACACGCGCGCGCACACACACATGCACATACACACACGCACGCACGCACACACACACACACACACGCGCGCGCACACACACATGCGCTCGCACACACACATGCACATACACACACGCGCACAAGCACACACACACGCACACACACACACACATGCACATGCATACACGCACACGCACATGCACACACGCACACGCACCCGCACATGCAAGCACACACACACACACACACACACACACACACACATGCACACACACACACACACACCCACCCACACGCACACGCACACACACACCCACACCCACACGCACACGCACACGCACACCCTCACGCACAACCACGGGACACACATGAGGAATTTGTGAGACTTGAAACACTCTCCTCCTCTGCTCTCCCACCAATCACCCCTCACGTCACCCCTAGTCAGGCACAGGTGCCCAAACAACCCACTTTTGAGGTGGCTTTTGAGTCGATTCATAGTCACACACATGCACGTGGGGTGAGGTAACGCACACTTCTGAGCCGATTCAAAGTCAACTTTCCAACAATCAGCCCCTCATCTCACCTCGACTATGGCATTGCCGCCCAAACAACCCATGGAATCGAGTTTTGAGACGTCTCGAAACTCAATCACCCCCTCACACGTCACCCTTAGCCAGGCACACGTGCTCAAACAATCCCTCCTCCCATCCTCACCTCCTCCATTATCTCATCCATACTCCCTATCTCACCTCCTGCCATGGCTCGGAACAGCACGGTGAGGTTGCAGCGACCAACCACCTCCTTGCACGCATTCACGTCTCGCCCCACCTTCTCACCCACTCTCAGGACAGGACTTTGCCTCCCCACTTCCTTCTCACCTCCTGCCATGGCTCGGAACAGCACGGCGAGGTTGCAACAATCGATCACCTTATCTCCTCACCCTCACTGCACTGGTACACACACTCCACGTCAACTACTTTCACCTCTCCTCACCTCTCCTCACCTCTCCTCACCTCTCCTCACCTCTCCTCACCTCTCCTCGCCTCTCCTCGCCTCTCCTCACTCCTCCTCACCTCTTGCCCCGGCTCAAATAGCACAGTGAGGTTGCAGCGGTCGATCACCTCCTTGCCCATTCTCCGCGCCTCTGTCACCAGGTACCTGGTGGTTCAGTGCGGTGCAATGTAGTGGACAGGGATGGAATGGTGGCAGTGTGGTTAAGATTGCCGCTGTCACTCACCTCATTGCCCATTCGATGTGCCCCACTAATAGAATAAATCGAAGTCATATACGTGTGACTTTTGAGAATTCTCAAAAGTCACATGAGAATTCTCAAGAGTCACACGAATAGAGAATGCAACGGTCACTCGCCTTCTTGCCTGTTCGATGTGCCCCACTGATACGATAAATCAAAGTCATTTGAAAGACCTTCTAAGATTAAAACCACCTGAAAAGCAACCTTATAGAACTGAAGTCACCTGAAAAGTGACAAAACTACTTGAATGGTCACTTCAATTTCTCTACCGGCATTCTAACCCTTACAGCTGTTAGAATGCCGTCAGATAATCTGATGAAATCACCTGAGCGGCTCCGCTGTTCTCACCTGAACTCAGGGTTAAGCTCAGGTGCTCCCCCTGTGAGGTCAACACAGCGCACACTTGGGCACGCCGATACCAGGTGGACCTGCAAGCGGATTGGATTGAAAAATGGGGGAGGGAAGGGGGAGCGGAAGGGTGGCAGAAGTGGAGAGGGGAAGGGAGTTGTGCTAGGGTTTAGGGTTTCAGGATTAGGGTTTGAGACTTCAAAAACGGAGGCTAAAGGTTTGAAGATTGAAGCTTGAGGCTTAGGGTTTCGGGGCAAATCGGGCGGTGGTCGCAGTTTGGCGTGTGTAGGGAGGGCAAAGAGTATGATCTCACCACCCTCTTTGCTGTTCTGTGATCCATCATCTCCGTCCGTAGCGGGGAGGAGTCCACGTGGCAGCGCTGCTGGCTTGATGAAAGAGGAGAGACAGTGAGCAAGCACTGGCCTATATGGTGTTCCAGCACTCACCACCCTCTCTGCCGTTCTGTGATCCATCATCTTTGTTCTCAGAGGGGAGGAGTCCACATGGCAGTGCCGGCTCGCCTGGTTGATTACAGTACAGCCCGATGTTGACCTAATCAAGCTTTCAGCTGGGGGTTTGGGGCTTGCAGGGTTTGGGTCTTGCAGGGTCTGGGGATAGAGAAAGAGCACTCACCACCCTCTCTGCTGTTCTGTGGTCCATCATCTCCATTCTCAGAAGGGAGGAGTCCACGTGGCAGTGCTGGCACGCCTGGTTGCAGTACAAGCAAGAAGCTGGGGGCTTACGGTTTGATAATTGCAACGCATTCCAGCACTCACCACCCTCTCTGCTGTTCTGTGGTCCATCATCTCGGTTCTGAGGGGGGAGGAGTCCACGTGGCAGTGTTGACACGCCTGGTTGCAGTAGAGCCCGATGTTGACTTGGACAGTCTCGATGACACGGCGGGTGAATGGCAGAGGCGTGCCCTGAGGGGAGGGAGGAAAGGGACGGAGAGACATCGTAGAAGGATTTAGCACGCCTGGTTGCAGTACAGCCCGATGTTGACCTGCACAGTTTCAATGACTCGCCTGGAGAACGGGAGGGGCGTGCCCTGGTGAAAGGAGGAAGGGGGAGGCAGGAAGGGAAGAAGGAAAAGAGGGGGCCAGCTCAGGTGAGGAGCCTGGCACGCCTGGTTGCAGCACAGCCCGATGCTGACCTGCACTGTTTCAACGACTCGACGGGTGAATGGCAGGGGCGTGCCCTGCAGGGGGGAGGGTGGAAGGAGAGGGGAGGGAAGTAAAGAGTGAGGAAAGCAGGTGAGGAGCCTGGCACGCCTGGTTGCAGCACAGCCCGATGTTGACCTGCACGGTTTCAATGACTCGACGGGTGAACGGGAGGGGCGTACCCTGGAGGGGAGGGAGGAAAGGGACGGAGGGACATCGTAGAAGGATTTAGCACGCCTGGTTGCAATACAGCCCGATGTTGACTTGAACAGTCTCGATGACACGGCGGGTGAATGGCAGGGGCGTGCCCTGAAGGAGTGGGAAGGGGAGGGAGAAGGGAGGGGAGTGGAGGGGAGGGAAGAAGGGAAGGAAGGGATACAGGTGAGGGATTGGCACGCGTGGTTGCAGTACAGGCCGATGTTGACCTGCACAGTCTCAATGATTTGGCGGGTGAATGGCAGGGGCGTGCCCTGGTGGTGGGGGGAAGTGAGAGGGGTTTGTATTGTGTCGATGACACTGCGGGTGAATGGGAGGGGGGTGTGAGTGTGGGAGGGACTTAGGGGGAAAGAGGTGACAGGGTGAAGGGGAGCAGAGCGGAGAGGAGAGTGGGAGGGGAGGGAAAAGAGGGGGGAGAAGAGGGGGACACAGGTGGAAGTAAGTACCCATGTTGAATGGATGCTGAGGCGCCTCAACTCAAATGTCGCAACAGACATGAATGCTGTTTTGAGACGTCTCAAAACTAGAAGGGGGAAAGAGGTGCAAGTGGGTGCCCATGATGAACGGATGTTGAGGCGCCTCAACTCACATGTCGCAACATACATGAAAGCAGACGAGGGGAGGGACGCGGCTGGGTTCAGGGTTTGGGGTTTATAGGCAATGGGGGTGGGAGTGGGAGTGGGAGTGCGAGTGGGAGAGGGAGTGGGGTTGGGAGTGGGAGTGGGAGTGGGAGTGGGGTTGGGAGTGGGGTTGCGAGTGGGAGTGAGATTGGGAGGGACGACGCGTGCAGTATCTGTCAGGGCTGCACTCACATGGTCGGCAATGTGGCGAAGAAACGATTGCAGACAAGGGGAGGTAAGAAGCAGGGGTTGGAGTGGGGGTGGTGGGGGGGATGAAGAGTGCATTGGGCCAACTCTCAGGGCTGCACTCACATGGTCGGCGATGTGGCGAAGAAATGACGGCTGAGATGCAAGCACATCGTCGGCGGACCGAACCTCCACTCTAGGCTCGGACACGCACCGAATCTGCGTCGCCGGCCTGGCCCTGCCATTCCTCGAGCCAGCCCTCCGAACGTCCTTCGCAATGGGGAGGAGTGAGTGGAGCAGGAAACGGGGAAGAGCGATCGAGCCGATTTGTTAAAATTCGAAACGCTGAAGGGGAAACGGCTAGGGAGGTCCAGGGGACTTAAGTTGGCTCGCTGATGGGAGAAACCGCTTGGCCCCCTGTTGATCGTGAGACAACTGCTTGACTGCACATTATCCCAATGGTGCTGAATTCCTGGAACTACGAAAAAAGTTGACACGCCGAGAGAATCTGACAGCTACTCGCCTTCTCTTTAACCTAATGAAGCTGAAATTCAGTAACTAGGAGACGGTTGCTGAGGTGCCTTGAAGAAAAGACAACGGCTCGACTGCTCATTGACCTAATCGAGCCGAATTCTAGTGACGGACTTACCGCGGCCCTACTGGGCAGCCCGCTCGCGACGGTTCGCGAAGTTTCACCAGCGTGGTTACTGTTACCAGACCAGTTACCAGAGCGGGCGAGGGAGATGGAGGACACTTGAGTACACGCAGACATGATGGCGCGTCGCGATCCAAGGAGATTAATTTACTTTGTCTGCGGCCGACCAGATCCGCAAGAGCTCGTCGTCGTAATACAACAACTATGCGAATACTTCGCTTAGTGAATACTGAGGAATAAAAAGTGCTGCATTCCTCTCCTCTCGTCGCGGAGTTTGATCTAGCAGCTGAAAACGTCACGAAGTGCTGTGATCAGATGGTGAGAAAATCCGTCAGATTCGCCCTTTTAATATGAGAACGATAGTATCGAAGTCAGATTCATGGTAAACTGAGAGGTTGTACACGAAACCAGTAATTTATAATACGGTTGAAGACGGTAGGTATTTGAATTTGGAACGGGTACAGGATACACCAACCCCTGAAATTCTTGACAGGAGGAGCCTGGGGCGTTTTGGTGCCAACTCGAACGGCGAGAAGATCCTCGACTTTTGCGCGCTTCGTTTAGGGAGTGGTGAGCATCGTAAGGACGCGTCCCCCTCTGGCTTGATCGTGCAAAAATCGATCTTCGACCGCAATAAAATCCCGCGTATTGCACTCAAAACTTTTAGACGTTTTTAAAACCACGTAAGAACATGATCCTGCGTAATTCAAGACGTTCAAATCAAACGGACAGTTACTGATATTAGTTCCTATGAAGCACGTCGGTGTAGTTTAGTGGTTAGAATCCCACGTTGTGGCCGTGGAGACCTGGGCTCGAATCCCAGCACCGACAGCATTTTTCTCAGGCTGTTTTTCTCCAAGCCAAGCAGGTTCTCGTTTGACTCGTTTCCCATACTCCTGAAAATGTCAAATAATGCTGGGCTTAAAGCCCGTAGCTAAAATAGTGACCCCCCCCTTCTAGTTGGACCCAACTTGATTACTCAAGTCTTTTTGTATTGTTTTGAAAAGTTGGAAGTGCTGTGTGTTTTTTTTTTCAGCCTTCATACGAGTTTCGTAGTGGGCCTCGAACGAAAGTTCTTCCTCAATTCTGATTGGCAGCCAGAATCCCTCACATGTACGTGTGCGAATTTGGCGCAAAGTTGAGCGACGTGCACTCCTGCACTCACTAGAGCCGATACTTCACCAAGGTCACATTTATCAACATCTCACTCTACTCCCAAGCGGACACACATGTACGTGATGAGAGCCAAATACACACGCTAGTGCCTATACTTTACCAAATTCGCATCTAGCAATGTGCGGCCTTGGACTTGGGGCCTGTGAGAGGTGCAATAACGGGGAATGGAGGAATAAAAAAAAAGCGGGGGGAAATGATGATGGGCAAGGTGATGCGAATGAAGAGAAAGAGGGTGATGGGGATAGAGGAACCGGAAACTGGCGACGGGGTGGCAGGGGAGAGGAAGGGTGACGGAGGGCATTGGAGAACACCAGGAAGACGGGAAGGTACGGGAGAAGGTGAGGGCGACAGAAGGGGATGGGAGAAAGGGAGGCGACGGGAAGGGGATGAGAGCTGACGATCACGAAGGGAAGGGAAGCCTCGTCTTCCATGAGAGAGATCGTGAGGGAATGGGAAGTGAGATCGTGAGGGCGATGAGAAGGGAGGGGGGACTTGCATTGTGAGGGAATGGGAAGTGAGTTCGTGAGGGCGATGAGGACAGATGGGAGATGGCGAAATAGATGGGAGGGCGACGGGATGTGAGAGCCGATCGCGAAGACGATCGGAACGGAGGGCGACGCGAAATGGGAGGGCGACGGGAGAGGCGATGACATCAGATCGCGGAGGCGATCAGAACGGAGGTCGACGGGAACGGAGGGCGACTGGAAATGGGGGATCGATACGAGTTCGCGAGAGAGATAGCGAGTGCGACGTGGAGAGGGGGGGAGATAGCGAGCGCGACGAGAAAAGGGGGGGAGATAGCGAGCGCGACGGGGAGAGGGGGGGAGATAGCGAGCGCGACGAGAAAAGGGGAGGAGATAGCGAGCGCGATGGGAGGGGAGACCTTGAGCGCGGAGGCGATGCGAAGACAGGTGCACGTGAGCGTGATTGCGAGGGGAGGGAGGAACGTGAGCGCGATGCTGATGGGAGGGGAGGACGTGAGCGAAAGGAGATGAAGTAGGCGACGGGATGGGAGGGGAAATTACAAGGGCGACGGGAGGGAGAGCGCGAAGGCGACGAGAAAAGTGATGGCAGGGGGGGGACAAAGGGCGCGGGGAGGGTGTTTCAGAGAAAGAGCGTAGGCGACGAGGTGTGTAATGGGCGGGGAGAGAAGAATGGCGACGAAGGGGGGGGAGGGGGGAGGGATATCGCGAGGGCGACGGGAAGGAAAATGCAACGTGAGGGAAGGGAGATAGTGAGGGCGACGGGAAGGAAAGGGGGGACATTGAAGGCGAGGGGAGGAAGGGATAACGCAAGGGCGACGGGAAGGAAGAGGGGACATTGAAGGCGAGGGGCGGGAGAACGGGAGGGCGACGGGATCGGAGGGAAATCGCGAGGGCGAGGGGACAAGAGGGGTGAACGGGAAAATAACGGGACGGGAGGGGAGACCGTGAGGACGACGGGAGGGCCGTCACGAGTGTGTTTGCGAGGGCGACGGAAAGGCGTCGGGACGGACTAGAGAGAGGCGACGGCGGACCCCATTAGCAATGGCGAGTGCGACGAGCAGCGAAGGGAGATAAACGAGGGGAAACTGGCACTGCGCTGCCAGGCGACGTATTACTACGTTTCACACTCTTGCTAAGTCGACAATCGACGCACTCGTCGGTAATTACGCGGCTATGGCACAAACGCCTGCGCTTTCAGCTATACTACTTACTATGCTATGCGGAAACTAGTGATGAAGGGAGTGACGGAAATCTAGTTATGCACCCCCCACCAGCTTGAAAATGAAGTTGGGCCTGCGATGGGAAACCATCGCTTGGGGTTTGTCGTGCGGATGCGGCACGCAAAAATGCGACGGCTGAAATGAGAAACAAAGTTCTTTTTGGCGGAAACCATCACGTTCCATTGTGGCGAGAGCCAGTAACATAAGTTCACTCTGCCCATAGAAATCATTTGAAACAGTGTTTTTGAGACTGGTTTCATATTCCTTATTCAAGTTGGGACGGGGGTCACTATTTTACCTGCGGGCTTTAACGGATGCTAGTATAGCTCCTCAGAACGGCTACTGGAAAATATTTTCCTCCACGATAGAGAAGGAATAGAAAATGTAAAATTTGCGCAGATCGGAATATGCATTATACCATTTGATAGTTTCAAAAAGGCAAATCTGAAAAAGGATCCTGATCTAAGAGCGTATTCCTACGGGGCCACCTCGTATCAAGAATGGTACTCCTGCCTGTAAATTGACAAGTTCGCCAAAACCTCATATCAGTAAAAGTTGCCGGTTAACCCACATGTGCGACTCCATCAACAGCTGATGTGGCATGTTGCGACCCAGCATGAACAAGTTTGCACACTTTGCACGTTCGCGCGCGGCGCACGACTGCCACCGTGTGCAGTTTCGCATGACTGTTTGTCGGCCGCATTCACTGGACTGACGACTTCGCGTCAACTGGAACCGTGCGTCGGAAAATCAGCACGTTCACTTCTGGGTGTGCGAGCATTTTCATTGGTGCGCTGGTTCGGTCTATTCTTGATATAAGGTGTTTTATACCGTAAACAAAAGTCAATTTCATTCTTGATACGAGGTGGCCCCGTAGGAATACGCTCTAAATCAATATCAATCTGCAACCCATATATATCTCTCACACCTTTAGGCACAATCTCGCCACACCCTTTAACCGTCAAGCTGTGCAGCATCTTGAGCTGGGTGAAATCCTCCGGCAGAGCAGTCAACTCCTCGCACCCATCCAGGTCAAGTTTCTTGAGCCGGCTCAGCTGTCCAAAGTGGCAAGGCAGGGAGCGTATGGCGGTGCAGCTGAGGTCCAGCTCATGAAGGCAGGAAAGTTGGGTGAGAGAAGCAGGTAGGTGGGTGAGGGATGAGCAGTTGGCTAAATTCAGCTCGCGCAGCCGAGATAGCGCCCCGATGCCGTCCGGAAGAGAGGAAAGCTTAGGCGCATGGATCTCAACATATGTCAAGGATTGAAGCTCGGTGAAACTCTCTGGCAACTCTATTAACTCCCCAGCCCATCGTATCTCCAGCCGCCTCAGCTTTCCCCAGGCCGAGCCGAACCCTTCCGGAAGCTTCTTTACGCGAGCGGCGTTTTGGACTGTCAAACGGCGGAGCTTAGGAAACGAGTCAAGAGGCAACGGAAACTCCTCTGCATCTCTTATCAGCACCAGTTGTAAGTGCCCTAGAGAGGGAAGAGTCAAACCAGCGGACAGCCCACCCATAAGCCCTTCACTGGTCGAGCTCAATCCTCTCAGTTTAGGCAGTGCAGGGGTTTCCAACAGAGAGGTGAGCCGTTTGAGGTTCCCTAGGGAAAGAAACTCGAGGGAACATGGCAGGGATCCCGATAAATGTGCTAACTGGGGGAGCTTAACTAGTCCTAGAATCCTCAGCCTTTTGAGATTGCTTAAGCTAGAGGGGATCGCAGTAAGACTATCGCAGTCCACGGCTTTCAGAACCTGCAGGTTCACAAGGCCAGTAAGAGAATCTGGAAGCTTCTGAATCTTAGGGCAGGCCCGGATGGTGAATTCTCGCAGGTTACGCAGCTTCCCCACGTCTTCTGGAAGTTCAGCTAGTACCGTACAGTCTACGAGCTCTAGTTTTCGAAGGGAGGACAGTTGCGTGAACGAGGATGGAAGTAGCTGATCTGAGAAATTCTCTGTGGTGTGGAGACGGGTGAGTGAGCCTATGTCGTCTGGGAGCGTCAGGTACGGCGAGTTGAGGATACACAAGGATTTGAGTGCGGTGAGGAGACCGAATGTTGCAGGCACATCAAAGATCGAGTTGCAGCAAGACAGGCAGAGGGTTTCCAGTGACGTTAGCTGGTAAAAGGAAGCTGAGAGACTCGCGATTGGCAGGCGGTTTAGCGTCAGTTGCTGCAGGCAGGTTAGGGAAGTGAATTGTTCGGGCAGCTCGGTGAGATTTTTGCATCCGGACAAGCTCAGTTCGCGAAGACGTGGCAGTCGTTTGCCAATGTCGTCAGGAAGCCGTTCGAGGCTATCGCAGCCAGTGATAAGTAACCGTTCGAGACGACTGAAAGAATTTCCTGATGGAAACATTAACTCGAAATGCGGACTCCACGTCTCGAACTCCAGGGCTTTTAGCGAAGGCATCTGGGTGAATGAAAAAGGGTAGGAAGCGTCGCGGTCTCCTAGATCGAGACAAGTGTTGTCGAATACAACGAGGGTGGTGACGGCTGGGAGATGTGAGAGATTCGCGAGATTCAGATCATCCTTATCGGATACCGACGGAGAGTGCGGTGAGAGACGACAATTTCGAGAATCCAGGAACGTCGAGAGGAGAGCATTCGGTGAGCGCGAGGGTGTGAAGGTTGGTGAGGAGCGAGAGAGAATCCGGTAGCGCGCCGTAATAATGTAAGCAGTAGAGCGAGAGGTGCTGCAGTTGGGTGCAGCGGCGGAAGAACCGATCCAAACCGGTTTCGGTCACTGGATGCTCTTTCGGACGAAAACAGTCCCATTTCGACGTAATCTCCCTCCCCACGTGCAGCGACACCAGATTAGGGCACGACGAAGCGAGAAAATCGAAAAACGCATCGTTGATAGTCTCTACGCTGTTGTCGCTAAGATGCAGATGGGAGTGGTTTGAGAAGCACTTGATGACTGCGGTGAGATTTTGAAGCGAAACAGCGACATTTTTCTTCACGACGAGCATGAAGATCTGTTGGCGAGCCACGCGACGCCAGCGCGTGCAAACGGAAGCGATAAGGAGATTATATGCCGGATCTGTAAGCACGGTAGGAGCTGACAACGGAGAATTACTAGTAATAGCTCTAGGACTGATATTGCCTCTGTTCCGCTGCAAGGAGGACGGTTCGGAAGAGCCATCGGAGGTGTTGAGATCGTCGCCGTACGGGTTTTCGGAGGTGTACCTCGGTCGTGGCAAGATGGAATCCATTGAATCACTCCGGGTTTCAGATTGACGGCGAGAAGGGACGTGCTTTTGGGAATACCAGATGATCTTAGCGAGGAGGTCATCTGAGAGGGTGTTGATGTATGAGGGAGGCATGGCTTCTGAGCTAATAAACCCGCGGGCCAAGAACTTCAACCTTAGGAAACTTGGTTGGAGTGAGCAACACAATTGGCTAAGGTTTTGGGTGCAAGTGCCAAACTCAACCAAGGTTAGGAAGGTTGAGGCAATTTGGGCCTTCTTGGCCCTCCGGTTTTAACGGCTGACATGAAGAACGAGCTTTCTGTGGTGAACGAGCTTTCTGTGGTTCTAGTAACTACGAACTAGACTCTGTCCGTGGAAAGAACGATTTACGAGAGTTCAGGAAGGTCTAACAAGCTACGAGACTCCCTGACTGTGAGGGTTTACCCTACAGGGCTCTGGCTGTGTTTCCGAACCGAAGGAAGGCGGGAAGGTTGGACTCGGCAAAAGGTGACTGGAGGAGGAGGTTAGGTGACGGCTTCGACCCAAACCTCGAAACCAGAGCTGGGGTTTTCGCAAATTTGAAACTCGGGACCACTGTAGGTGTTACCACATTGTCGCGCGAGATGTTCGGCACTGCTCATTCTCCTATGTTCTAGATGCTCACGAACGGAACTCGTGATGAACAGTCAGAAGGTTACGGTGTGCTATCTCAGATTGTCCGCGAGCCGTTCGAACTATGCGAAAGTTTTCAAATTCGCAATTTTCGCATCGTCAGAATTTCTGAGAGAATGTCCGCGTTCATGTCAAGTGTTTTCTACTGCAATTCCTGCTCGTCTATGAAGAAGGGTTTTGAGACGTCTCAAAACCTTTCAGGTGCATCACATCTTCATGTCAAGTGTTTTTTACTGCAATTCCTGCTCGTCTACTGCAATGTGCTTTCTTTCCCCTCTGGCGATTTTCGTCTCTCTTCACACCCATCCGTTTTTTGGTTGATCACTTTGCCTTCTGTTCTAAACAAATTGAATCGAAACCTTAAACCGGGTGATTTTCAAGTCGACTCAACACTCACCTTTATTCGAAACTAAAAGCTGCAACAAAAAAATGGGCCCTGTTATTACTTCTGCCTTTTCTTTACTACAGTGGATCGGGCTATAAGTTCCTTCTCTTATTCTTTCAAGCTGTTAACTTTTAACGCCATACTTTTTGAGAATTCTCAAGAAACACACGATGACGTTTCCTGCACTGGACGTTTATCCAGCCAACCATCTGGCACGTGCCAACCGCCCACCCGACTTTCACCTGAAAATTCACCTGCAGGTGGTTCTCTGTTTCAACGCGGTGCTCAGGAGATACGGCCTGCCACCCTGCTTCCACTTCCTCATCGCAGGGGGGCTACCGGCCCTACTCAAGGTGTGTGTGTGGGGGGGGGGGGGGGGGTGTGGGTGTGTGTATGTGTGTGTGCGCGCGCGCGCGCGCGCAAGGGGGGGAAGGGGAAGGGGGGCGTGGGTGGATGGGTGTGGGGGGGAAGGGGAGAGGGGGGAATGGGAGCACGCGTGTGCGTGCATGTGTGTGTGTGTGTGTGTGTGCGTGCGTGCGTGCGTGCGTGCGCGCGCGTGCGCACGCGCATGCGTGTGCGTTCATGTGCAAAGTGAAATATGAAGTCCGCAGACTTGCATATTCTGTTTCTCACTTTTGCGGCGCCTCAACAGAAACAGAAGCTCATAAAATCTGTCTGTTGTTTCTGAATATGTACAACTGTGACACAGGGAGAAACGAGGTGACTTTTGAGTCGACTCAAAAGTCCCCTAAGCTCATGAAAGCTCTCTGTTGTTTTTGAATATATACAACTGTGGTGGCACAGGGAGAAACTGTTGCCCCCTCTCCTGTCTCTCATTCCGCAGTCAGCGGAGGGAGGCAGCACTGAGACGAGGCACAAAAGGGCACTATATACCCGCAGATTACCCCTCTCTCCAACCTCTCTGCTTCTCATGACCGCCTACCAACCTCCCTCACTCCTAACCCCCTCCCAACCAATCCCCCCACTTTTTTACACCATGCACAGGAGGGAGCAGAGGACAACCAAGAAGCAGCAGAGGCAGCTCTGAGGCGAGTGAGACACTGCTGTTTCAACTTCCCTTCACCTCCTATCTCTCGCCACCAGGCACAGGAGGGAGCAGAGGACAACCAAGAAGCAGCAGTGGCGGCTCTGAGACGAGTGGAGGCGAGAGGCAACCCGTGGGGGAAGCCGTGTGGGCGAGTGCTCTATGTGCGTGCGTCCTTTCTTCTTTCCCCCTATGTCCGCTTACTTTCCCGTGATCTGTTGTAGTGAAACGTATCCAGTTATCAGTACCTCAACTTGTTTCTTTCTGCTATGGCTCGAAGACTTCTATTCTCTATGTAGCAAGGAAGGCACCGATCCGATGTATACATAGCTATTAAACTGTTCAGGCTATAAAATAATCAAGGGGCAAAACTAGTCAGCAGCACAGATAGATCTGAGACACACTATAAGGAGGACGTGGTCCTCGCCACCACCCTCCCTGTTTCATCCAGAGTGGAATATGTCTGCTCAAATTGGCATCAGTGGTCTCAACGCGATCTGTATAGATGATTCAGTGGGTGAGGTTTCTATTGTGAGTGGTTTTGCTGAATTCTGTGTGGTTCAAACAACCTTCTCTGTCACTGCGCCTTCCTCTTGCCTCAGATTGGCATCAGTTGTGGCCTCAGCGCTCCCTATGTGGCAGCACAAGTCAAGGTGAGTCAACCAAGTCAAGCAGGGGCCATTCACCACAAGCACAAGTCAAACGAGTCAAGCTCCGTGTTGTCCTCGCTCCTCCCCCTCTGCGCCCGCTTGCCCGTTTCTCCAGTACGCCCCTTCTCACATGCACACACCACAGCATGCATACACCTCTTGTTTTTTGGGAATTCTCAAAAGTGGCTCCGTCTTGTTGGGAATTCTTCAACATGCACACACAGCGTGCACGCTACATACCTTCCTGCTCTTTCCTATGTGCTTTCCCGCCCATCCCTCCTGTCTGTACGCCCTCTCCCAATCGCTCTATGCTGTCGCCGCATCGTTGTCATGGCTCCTATCCTCCCGCACTCACACCTACTCCTCCCTACTCTTTAATATTATCAGCTCCCGCTCCCGCTCCCGCTCCCGCTCCCGCTCCCCCAGTACGCCCTCTCTCAGTCACATTACGCTGTTGCTGTCATGGGCTTTAACCCGCCCTCTCTCGCGCCAAACACGAAGGTGGGTGGGTGAGCGGATGACAAGTGGGGTGGGAGGTGAGAACTCGACAGCTGTGCCCTTCACTTCTCCCCCACTACGCCCTCTCACAGTCACACTATGCCTTTGCTGCCATGGGCTTCAACCCCCCCCCCTTGGCGCCAAACACCAAGGTGGGTGGGTGAGCGGATGACAAGTGGGGTGGGAGGTGAGAACTCGACAGCCGTGCCCTTCACTTCTCCCCCAGTACGCCCTCTCACAGTCACACTATGCCTTTGCTGCCATGGGCTTCAACCCCCCCCCCTTGGCGCCAAACACCAAGGTGGGTGGGTGAGCGGATGACAAGTGGGGTGGGAGGTGAGAACTCGACAGCCGTGCCCTTCACTTCTCCCCCAGTACGCCCTCTCACAGTCGCTCTACGCTGTCGCTGTCATGGGTTTCAATCCGCCCTCTCTCGCGCGAACACCAAAGTGGGTGAATGAGTGGATGAATGTTGGGGTCGGAGTAGAGGATACGGGTGATGGAAGTGCAAGTGGGATACCTTACCCGCTCATCTCGCCAGTACGCCCTGTCCCAGTCGCACTATACCGTTGCTGCCATGGGCTTCAATCCGCCCTTCTTGGCGCCAAACACCAAGGTGGGTGCAGTTATGTGCGGGGTAGGTGCGGGATACCATGCTTGCCCATCCCCCCAGTACGCCCTCTCCCAGTCTCACTATGCCATTGCTGCCATGGGCTTCAATCCGCCCTTCTTGGCGCCAAACACCAAGGTAGATGTCTGAAGGTGTGGGAAGGTGCAGGAAGGTTCAGGTATTTGTGGGCGGGTGTGGGTAGGTGCGGGTAGGTGCTGGTAGAGGGGCGACTTGTGAGGCAGCTCAAAAACACCAAATGGGTGCGGGTACGGAGGCGACTCTCAAGGCGGCCCAAAAAGCACCACCAAACACATGATAGATGGGTAGCCTAGGTTCGTGCATGTCCTTCCTGCTGCTTTTGAGTCGACTCAAAAGCAAACACATGATAGATGGGTAGGTTCGTGCATGTCCTTGAAGTCGTTTTTGAGGCGCCTCAAAAACGACCTAAAAGCACCACAAAACACATGATAGATGGGTAGGTTCGTTCGTGCATGTCCTTCCTGCTGCTGCTGCTGCTGCTGCATCCATTTCTTCGGAAAACAGATTCAGCAACAGCATCACCAGTTTCCACGTGATAAAAAGTAGCATTTTGAGATGTCTCAAAACAAATTTAGCAGCAGCATCACCAGTTTCCTTGAAGAGACGAGGGTGAGCACTTTTGAGGCGCCTTAGAAGTTGAATACTTGCGAGCGGTCATCGATGGTGCTGCTGAATCTTTTTCTGACGCTGTTATCCACCTCCTCCTCCAACCCCCCCCCCGCCCTTTTCACCCCCTCGTGTATTGAGGTGTGTTTTGAGGCGCCTCAAAACACACTTTTGAGGCGCCTCAGACGTTGAATCGATGGTGCTGCTGAATCTTTTTCTGACGCTGTTATCCACCTCCTCCTCCAACCCCCCCCCCCACCTCCGCCCTTTTCACCCCCTCATTCCCCAACCAGGGTGCTCCAGGCGTGACCTTCTTGTCAGTCCTTTCGGAACTAAGGGCTTGCGTCTTTGTTGTTGAAGCAGAAGCCGTTGCTACTGCTGTGTCTGTCTGTCCTTCCCCCCTCCTCCAACCACCCCACTCCCCCCTCTGCATACCACAACAACCCCCCTGAAGCTGCTGCTGCTGCTGCTACTGCTGCTGCTTCTGCTGCTGCTGCTGCTGCTGCTTCTGCTGCTGCTGCTGCTGCTTCTGCTGCAATCTCAGTACCAACACCCCTCCCCCAGCATCCCCCCAGCGTGACCTTCCCCTCTGCCCTTGATGAGCTAAGGGCTCGAATCCATGCTGCTGAAATCTCTGCTGCTGCTGCAATCTCATCTCAGTCCCAGCACCCCTCCCCTCCCATCCTCCATCCCCAACCAGGGTGCTCCAGGCGTGACCTTCCCTTTCTGTCCTTCAAGAGTTGAGGGCTCGCATCGATGCTGCTGAAACAGACACCACATCTTATTGTCTTCCCCACTCCTTCCGCTGACTTTCCACTCCCCTTCCATTCCCCAACCAGGGTGCTACAGGCGTGACCTTCCCTTTCTGTCCTTCAAGAGCTAAGGGCTCGCATCGATGCTGCTGAAGCAGAGGGGGGTGCTGCTGCTGTGTCTGCCCTCCGCCCCTCCTCCAACTACCCCACTCTCTTTCTCTGTTCCACCCCCCCATTACCCAACCAGGGCGCTCCAGGAGTGACCTTCCCGTCCGTGCTTTCAGAAATGAGGGCTCGCATTGATGCTGCTGAAGCAGAGGGGGAGGTCCCAAGGCACTTCATCCTCTCTCCTGCTGTCGGCCCGGTGGGTAGGGGGAAGGGGTACGGAGGGTTAGGGAAGAGTTGAGAGGAGTAATGATGATGATGCTGAGGCAGAGGGGGTCGTACCAAGGCACTTCATCCTCTCTCCTGCTGTTGGCCCGATAGGTAGGTGTGACGGCTAGGGTGGAAAGGGGTGGGGAGAAGTTGAGAGGAGTAGTTATGATGCTTAAAGCGGAGGGGGATGTCCCAAGGCACCTTTTGCCTGCTGTCGGCCCAGTACGTAGGGGGGAGGGGTACAGGAGTGGGGAGGAGTGGGGAGGAGTGGGGAAGGGTGGGGAAGGGTGGGGAGGGGTGGGGAGGGGTGGGGAGGGGTGGGGAGGAGTGGGGAGGAGTGGGGAGGAGTGGGGAGGAGTGGGGAGGAGTGGGGAAGGGTGGGGAGGGGTGGGGAGGGGTGGGGAGGGGTGGGGAGGAGTGGGGAGGAGTGGGGAGGAGTGGGGAGGAGTGGGGAGGAGTGGGGAGGAGTGGGGAAGGGTGGGGAGGGGTGGGGAGGGGTGGGGAGGGGTGGGGAGGGGTGGGGAGGAGTGGGGAGGAGTGGGGAGGAGTGGGGAGGAGTGGGGAGGAGTGGAAAGGGTGTGACCTTTCCATTGTTTCCTTGGAGAAATGAGGGCTCCCTGATGCTGCTGAAGCAGAATGGATTATTGGCACTTTATCCTCTCTCCTGCTGTTGGCCCGGTAGGTATGTCGAGGGGAGGGCTGGCGAGAGGTGGGGAGGAGTTGAAAGGAGTGGGAAGGAGTGAGGAGGAGTGGGGAGGAGCAGGGAGGAGTGGAAAAGGAATCATCTTTCTGCTCGGTCCTTGGAGCAATGGGGGTTTGTATCGATGCTGCTGAAGCAGAGGGGGTTGTCCCAAGGCACTTCGTCCTCTCTCCTGCTGTCGACCCAGTAGGTAGGTAAGGGGGAGGGGTAGGTAGGGGAGTGGAGTGGCGAGGAGTGGAGAGGAGTTGGGAGTAGTAAAAAAGGCGTAATCTTCTCCTCTATCCATCCCCACCATGTCACCATCCATGCCACCACCACATCCACAGGAGACCATAACAGGGCCCACGTGTAAAGAGGTTATTTTTGAGACGTCTCAAAAATAACCTCTTTACACGTTTTGAGACGTCTCAAAAATGACGTCTTAAAATAGGGGTTATCTTCTCCTCTATCCTTCCCCACCATGTCACCATCCATGCCACCACCACACAGGAGACCATAACAGGGCCCATGAGGCTCAAAGACAGCAGCGCCACCAAGGTCCTTCTAACTCACCCCCACCCCCTTTCATATTGATTTCCCTACCTTCCCCCACTCGTATCCTTTGCTGCTGCTAAACATCCACAGGAGGCCATCACAGGGTCCACGAGGCTCAAGGGTGGCAGTGCCACCAAGCTTCTCATTCCGAACTGAACTTACCCCTTCCTTATCCACTCGTATCCCTTCCCAAACATCCACAGGAGGCCATCACAGGGTCCACGAGGCTCAAGGGTGGCAGTGCCACCAAGCTTCTCATTCCGAACTGAACTTACCCCTTCCTTATCCACTCGTATCCCTTCCCAAACATCCACAGGAGGCCATCACAGGGTCCACGAGGCTCAAGGGCGGCAGTGCCACCAAGGTCCTCCTGGCTGAAAGGAGTCTGGCCGCTCATATCCCTTCTCTTCCCTTCCCTCCCCGTGTGCTAAACAACCACAGGAGACCATCGCAGGGTCCACGAGGCTCAAGGGTGGCAGTGCCACCAAGGTCCTTCTAACTCAACCCTAGCCCCTTACCGCCATGCCACAATCTCACCCTGCCACCATGCCACCCTGTCCAACCACAGGTGACCATCGCAGGGTCCACGCGGCTCAAGGGCGGCAGTGCCACCAAGGTCCTTCTAACTCACCCCCACCCCCTTGCCGCCATGCCACCACCACCACCATGCCACCCTGTCCAACCACAGGAGAGCATCGCAGGGTCCACGAGGCTCAAGGGCAGCAGTCACCAAGGCTTCTAACTCAACCCTACCCCCTTGCCGCCATGCCTCCACCACCATGCCACTATGCCTCCAATATGCCATGCCACCATGCAGGAGAGCATCACAGGGTCCACGAGGCTCAAGGGCGGCAGCGCTGCAAAGGTCCTCCTGGCTGAAAGGGGTCTGGCCGCTTATATCCCTTCTCTTCTCTTCGCTTCTCTCCTCTTCTGCCCATCCCAACAACCACAGGAGACCATAACAGGGTCCACGAGGCTCAAGGGCGGCAGTGCCACTAAGGTCCTTCTGGAGACCATCTTCAGCCGGGCCATCGCCAGAGTGCTGCGCCTGCCCGCCCTTGGCAGCTGTGAGTGTTAAGGGTCAGCGGTATGAGTAGAGATATGGGGCTGTGACAGCAGGCAGCGCGACCAAGGTCCTTCTGGATGGAAACCATTTTCAGCCGGGCCATTGCACGAGTGCTGCGTCTGCCCGCCCTTGTAAGCTGTGAGTGCTGGCAGTGACATGAGGCGGGCGTATGGGGGAGTGTATGAGTAGAGGCTGTGGGGCTGCTGTTGTGGTGGCTGGCTGGCAGTGCTGCATACAAAGGTCCTTCTGCCAATTCTCTTTTGAGACGTCTCAAAAGCCGTTGTGAGCGGTGACTACCGGGGCAAAAAAACCAAACAAACAAACAAAAGAAGATGCCATGTTTTTGCACCTTCTCTGATACACGTCCCTACCAAACCCACCTATCATTCCCCCTCTTTTCCTGCCTTCCTCGTCTTCTCTCCGTGCCCCCACTCCCACTTTCCTCCTCACTGTCAGATGCAGGAGTGCCCCTCTTGCTCATCAACCCTCTCGCAGATTCCCCCCTCCCCTTCCCCCTGTTCCCCCCATATCAGATGCAGGAGTACCACTCCTACTCATCAACCCTCTACTGGAGCTCACTCCCCAAGATACCAAGTGGCAGAAATGATATGTGAAGAATTTCTGTACTCTTAAAGCTCACTCCCCAAGATACCATGTGGCAAAAAAGAAAAAGGACTCTATGTCACTCCCCCCTTTCCATCCTTGTGCCCCTCCCCATCCCCCCTCCCCTCCTTCCCCACCCCCTATCAAATGCGGGAGTGCCCCTTCTACTCATCAACCCTCCCCTGAAGCTCACTCCCCTATGTAGTGTAAAAACTTGTTGCAATTATCCTACACCTCAATCCATTCCCCCCTCCCCACCCCATCATATGCGGGAGTGCCCCTCCTACTCATCAACCCTCCCCCCGAGCTCACTCCCGATGACAAAACATCGGTTCGGCGGGCGGCACGGGTAGGCTGGGGCCGAACCGAGGCTGCACCGGCGGCTCGGTACGGCGATGTCATGGCGGCCTACGAGGAGGCGATGAGAGTGGTTTACCAGCAATTACCCGGAATTGTGGTGGGTAATCAACAACCCTAGACAGTTACCAAACTTGCCAGAGAATGGAGATACCTCAAAGGCTTGGTACCGGGATTCGATGGTGGCTTGTGAAGGGCTGTGAGGGGTGTGTATTAGGGGAACTACCCCGCATTGCAGTGGGTTATTCCTGAAAACTACTTCTGCCCCGGCGGCTCGGTAGGGCGATGTCATGGCGGCTTACGAGGGGGCGATGAAGGGTGTTTACCAGCAATTACCAGGAATTGTGGTGAGTTATTAATAGCTTTAGACTGGCTTCAAACAAAATTCTCCACCTCTACCCGTCTCTCCCCCCTCCCCCAATTCCTCCTAACCAGTCCCTCACTCGCTTCTTCCATCGCTCCATCAGCTTCTCCGGCAGTGTTTGTTGAGTCGACTCAAAAGTTGAATCGATGACTCATAAGTCGACTCAAAAGTCCATCAGCTTCTGCGGCAGTGTTTTTTTAAATTGCGCTGGGGAGGGTATCTGTTCCTCACTCCCACGCAGCACAGCAACTCCACCTTTCTCACCCATCCCCCTACCCTCCCTCACCTACCCCCCCCCCCCAAACCCCCCCACCAGGCCTTCGCTCGCCTCTTCCATCGCTCCATCAGCACTTGTGGGAGGGTCATTTCAGCAGCACTCCCATCCTCCACCCACCCACCCATACTCTTGAGGCGCCTCAAAAGTCCTCTCATTACCCGCAATTGTTTTTTGAGGCGCCTCAAAACTTGTGGGAGGGTCATTTCAGCAGCACTCCCAGCCTCCACCCACCCACCCATACTCTTGAGGCGCCTCAAAAGTCGTCTCACTACCCGCAAAACTTTTTTTGAGGCGCCTCAAAACTTGTGGGAGGGTCGTTACAGCAGCACTCCCAGGGTCATGTACATTCGGGATGACTCACACTCACGAGGCCTGGTCCGCCTGGTGGGCTTGATGCCCCCCTTTTTCCACCTCTTCCCACCTCTCCCCACCCCTTCTCTCCCCCCCCCTCATCAGGCCCTCACCCGTCTCTTCCATCGATCCATCAGCACTGGCGGCCGGGTCATGTACATTGGGGATGACTCCCTCGGTCTCGTTGGCTTGATAGGTGAGAGAGCAAGAGATGAGAAGCGTGTATTTTAGAGCAATGCCTGTGATGTGCCGTCACACATTCACTCCATCAGCACTGGCGGTCGATTCACGTACATTGGGGACGACTCACTCGGCGTTCATCTCCTCTCAACATTCCCCGTTCTTTCTCCCCCTCAGACGCATCAGAGCAGGTGCCCACCTTAGGAGCACGGCCACGCTCGTTCGTTCCAGGCCTTGCAGTGATCGTCTTCCTCAGCTCAGCTCCTTATCCTCGTTCCTCCCCCTCCGTCCCCTCGCAATCTACCTCCGTTTGTCATCCTCTTGACCCCCTCAGACGCATCAGAGCAGGTCCCCACCTTTGGGGCACGACCAGGCTCGATCCAGGCCTCAAACATTCCTCTCATCTCATCTTCCCATCTCACTCCCTCTATCTCGTCCCTCCCCTCTCCCTCACGCGCATCAGAGCAGGCGCCCACCTTTGGGGCACAACCAGGCTCGTTCCAAGGCTCCTCACCTCCACGCCTTATCCTCCTCCCCCCTCTCCTTTTCCTCCTCTTCTCCCCTCTTCCCCTCACAGATGCATCAGAGCAGGTCCCCACCTTTGGGGCACAACCAGGCTCGTTCCAAGGCTTCCTCACATCCACTCCCTTATCCTCCTCCCTTCCCAAATCCTTCTCGCTCCCATCCCACTCCCTCAGACGCATCAGAGCAAGTACCCACCTTTGGGGCACAACCAGGCTCGTTCCAAGGCTTCCTCACATCCACTCCCTTATCCTCCTCCCTTCCCAAATCCTTCTCGCTCCCATCCCACTCCCTCAGACGCATCAGAGCAAGTACCCACCTTTGGGGCACAACCAGGCTCGTTCCAAGGCTTCCTCACATCCACTCCCTTATCCTCCTCCCTTCCCAAATCCTTCTCACTCCCATCCCACTCCCTCAGACGCATCAGAGCAAATACCCACCTTTGGGGCACGGCCAGGCTCGTTCCAAGGCTTCCTCACTTCCACGTGGCATCGCCTGATTCGTCCGTTGAACCAGCACACAGTGGACCCATTGGGTTCATCTGCTCCTAAGAGCAGCAGCATCAGCACCAGCACCAGCAGCAGTGGTGGTGTTGGCAGTAGTAATGGCAACAGCGCTAGCCGAGGCGGTGGCAGAAACAGCAGGAGTAGCAGCAGTGGCAGCAGGAGAAGCAAGGCAGGTGCTAGGGAAGGTCAAAACGAGAAAAGCAGCAGCAGACGGACACGAACAGCAGATGCAGTAGCAGGGAAGAGGAGCAGCAGGGGCAGTGAAGCAAGCACTAGCAGGAGCAGAAGCACAAGGTCTTGGTTCTTTTCCTTTAGAGCTACTACTTCTGCTGCTGAAGCTGCTGCTACTGCGTCCCACTCACCCTCTCGCCAATCCACGCCAGAGCCACTCAAGTCCATCAGCACAGACTACTTTCTAACCAAGGTCCTCCCAACAACAAGGTGAGAAAGGCCCAATAGCAAGCCGGCTGCTATGTGTGCCCAGTATCCTCGGTGCCCCTTTGCCCGCCCGCCTGGGCCTGCTGCCCTCTCGCCAATCCACGCCAGAGCCACTCAAGGCTATCAGCACAGACTACTTTCTCAACCAAGTCCTTCCCACTACACCGTGAGCTAGCCTCGCACTATGTTTGTCCAATAAGCCTCATCCCACTCACGCTCTCGCCAATCCACGCCAGAGCCTCTGAGGGCAATCAGCACAGACCACTTTCTGCACGACGTCCTCCCCACCACCCGGTGAGCAAGCTTCCTGCTAGGCCCATCAACCCACACGCAATGGAGTGCAGTGCTCACCTTCTCGCCATTCCACGCCAGAGCCACTCAAGGCCATCAGCACAGATCACTTTCTCAACCAAGTCCTTCCCACCACACGGTGAGCTAGCCTCGCACTATGTTCGTCCAATAAGCCTCATCCCACTCACCTTCTCGCCTCCATGTCAGAGCCACTGAGGGCGATCAGCACAGACTGCTTTCTCAACCAAGTCCTCCCCACCACCCGGTGAGATAGGCCCAGCAAGCCGCATGCCGTATGCTCTGTGGTACGTACCTGCTGGTCCTCCTGGTCTGACTCACCCGCTCGCCAATCCACGCCAGAGCCGCTCAAGGCCATCAGCTCAGACCACTTTCTCGACAAAGTCCTCCCCACCACACGGTGAGAAACGCCACGTGCTATGCTTTCCCAGTGTGGTCAGTTTTAGCTCTTTCCGTGCCCGCCTGGGCCCGCTCGGCCTTGATCGCCAATCCATGCCAGAGACGCTCAAGGCCATCAGCTCAGACCACTTTCTCGACCAAGTCATCCCCACCACCCGGTGAGCTAAGTCCCGCAACCCGCATGCTATGTTTTCCCCAGTATGGTCAGTGGCACATACCCCATCGCACTCCCCCTCTCGCCAGTCCCACGCCAGAGCCACTGAGGGCCATCAGCTCAGACTACTTTCTTGACCAAGTCCTCCCCACCACACGGTGAGAGATTTCCAGCAAACTGCGGGGTATGTTTGTATTCTCGTACCTGGTCCTCCTCGTCACAGTCTCCCTCTCGCCAACCCACGCCAGAGCCATTAAAGTCCATCAGCACAGACTAGTTTCTGCACGAGGTCCTCCCCGCCACACAGTGAGACAGGCTCAGCATGCCACCCTGCAGGCTACAGCTGTTCCCTTGCCCCGCCCGCCATTTCTTTGTGTTCCCCTGCTCCTCATCTCCGCTCCGTTCCTCTCACTCTTTCTTTTGTTGGTTCCCTCCCTTTTCTCCCTCCCTTGCTTCCCCGCCCTATCCCAACTACCCCTGCTGTTTCCAATCCTTCCAGTGCCAGCGACACAGTTCTCCTGTTAGAGTCACACGTGCTACAGCTACAGCTGTTCCCTCTCCCTCTCCTCACCGCCCTCCACACACGAGCCACGCAGGGGCTGCTGTCCCTCGCTTTGCTAACTGTTGGTGTGGCTCCTCACGACCGGCTTTTGATGCTCTCCTCACCACTCCTCTTCATCCTTTCTCTTTCTCCTTTCTCTTCCTCCCTCCCTTTCTTGCTACTTCCAGTGCCAACGACACAGTGTGTCTGTTAGAGTCACACGTGCAACAGCCACAGCTGTTCCCTCTCCCGCTCTCACCAATCACTCTTCTTTCCTCCCTTGTGTTACTCCCCTACCTTCCCCTGCTTCCAGTGCCAACGACACAGTGTGTCTGTTAGAGTCACACGTGCAACAGCCACAGCTGTTCCCTCTCCCGCTCTCACCAATCACTCTTCTTTCCTCCCTTGTGTTACTCCCCTACCTTCCCCTGCTTCCAGTGCCAACGACACAGTGTGCCTGTTAGAGTCACACGTGCTACAGCTACAACAGTTCCGTCTACCGCTCACCACCCCCCTTTCATCCTTTCTCTGTCTCCCTTGTCTTCCTCCCTCCCGCTCTTGCTGCTTCCAGTGCCAACGACACAGTTCTCCTGTTAGAGTCACACGTGCTACAGCCACAGCTGTTCCCTCTCCCGCTCCTCACCGCCCTCCACACACGAGCCAAGCAGGGGCTGCTGTCCCTCGCTTTGCTAAGTGTCGGTGTGGCACCGCACGATCGGCTCTTAATGGTGTATGATGATGAGGATGGCGTGGAGGAGGGGAAGGAGAGGGAGGACGAGAGTGAAGGGGAGGAGAGTGAGGAGGAAGAGAGTGGGGAAGAGGAGGGGGGGGAGGGAAGAGAGGAGGATGAGGAGGGAGAGGAAGGGGGGGATGAGCAAGAGGAGGGCAGAACACGAGGGCAGGGGGCGGAAGGGGAGGAGGAGGGAGAGGTGGATGAAGAGGAGGAAGGAGGAAGCAGTGATTCAGGGGTGCTGGTGGGGAGGGAGTTAGGAGAGGAGGAGAGATTGGGTGTAGCTAAGGAGGAGAGAGAGGGTGAATCTGGGGACAGGAATGAGGAGGGGGACGAGGAGGGGAGTGAGGAGGGGAGTGAGTGGGAGTCAGTGGATGGGGACGAAACAGAGCATTTGCTTCACAGTAGTATCGTCACAGGAAAAGCATCTGAGTCAACTCAGAAGCCTCCTGGTGTTGCAGCAGCAGCAGCAGCAGCAGCAGAAGCCGAGGCGGAAGCTGTAGCAACAGCAGAGGATGTAGCAGAAAGGGAGCCAGGTGTTGATGCAGCGGCTGAAGCAGTAGCAGGTGTTCCACCAATCAGGAAGCGGCGACCCAAGCCAGTGGGCTCCGCATCTGCTCTCTTTTCAGACCTCCCTTTTTCCTCATCCGTCTCCTCTCTATCCTCCTCCTCCTCTCCTATACCCTCGTACTTTTCCTCTCCCTCCTCTCGCTCTCCCACTCCCGTCTTTCTCCATGTCACCATCTCCCTCCCCGCTCCCTCCGCCGCTCCCCTTCTCCCCCGTACCGACCTCTTTGCACAACTAGCAGTGAAATTAGCACTTAACGTTGCTAGTAGCGGGGCGCATGTGCTTTTAGGCAAAGTGTACAGTAACCGCATGGTGGACCTTAGAGTGAGTAACGAGAAGCTCTTTAAGAGAGCGGTGAGAGTGGTGGGGGAGCTGGCAGGTGTTGGGGAGGATGAGGTGGAGAGGTGTGTGAGGAGGGCGATAGTGATTGCTGAAAGGGAAGAGGGGATGGAGGGGAGGGAGGGAGAGGTGAAGGGAGAAATAGGGGATGATGATGGGGGTAGCTTGGGAAGGACGGTTGAGGAGATGGTGAGGGTTGGGGCGAAGCTGGAAAGAATAGTGCCGACTGCGATTCTGCTGGCAGCTGGGTGCTTTGATGATGAAGAGAGCGCTAGAGATGCAGCACTCAGCAACAGGCGTGTGCGAATGCTAGTCGCTGATGCTTTAAAGATGAAACCTAGCATGGGCTGATTACGTGCATTTGTTTGCGAAGAGTTACCCATTTTTAAGAAGGAACTTGGCTCTCCGTTCGTTCTAATGTAATTATATATATGAATTAGCCTGGAAATGAGGAAACAGCAGAGGATGTCAACGTTAAAGTAGACATGGGAAGATGTCGGAGATATAATTGTATGTAAATAAGCTTCTAAATCCCCTGGTGTGTCCTAATCACTGGTAACACTTATCGCCACCTGTCGTCTCTTGTGCTTGTGTGTCATCTCCACCCCCACCATCCATTTTCGCCCCCACCGCGCGGGAAACCACCACCCGCAAACACACTCAGTGGCGGAGCCTCAACGGGATCGAGGGCTTCATCACCGTAGAGAGGGGACGATCGACGGCATCCCTTTCCCCTTCAATGGAGGCTTAGGGGTTTTACGATCTCCCTCCCCGACTCATCCAAGTAACAATGACCAGACCAGTTTCTTTTTCAATGAGGTGATTCGAACCATATTAGTTCAGCCGAAACCCTTTCACATTCCTGCCTCCCAGGTTTTGCATAGCTCCTTCCCCATGGCATCTCCTCGGCCCATTTGCCTATCCTGTTCAGAAGCTTTGAACTATGGGGTACAGCGCGTGAGATGCGGCTTTCGCGTTGACTCACAAGTTAACCGTGGCAGTCAACAATGGGAAACCCTTTAGGGAGTGAAGCTCGTGGTCATGAGCTTCAGGCATAAGCTTCCAACATTTTCTGCAGCTCAAAAGCAGACTCGGGGATGCGGAACGCCACGTTGAATCGATGAGTCAGTTATATGCGGTTCACGCATTCTAGCCGCAGGTGTCGGCAGGCCGGAGCTGCTCGGATGAACTCAATTCGGCGAGTTTTTAGCACCAGCCTATATTGAACCAGATCCTTTGCTTGGATCGGTTAACTTAACAGGTGTGCCACTCGTGAATTTTATTCATCCCTTCCCGGACTCCCGTGCGTCGTTCTCTGTTCCATTTCCTGGCCTTTTTTTTTCTATAATAATACGTGTCGTACGCATCGGACAATCGGTGACTATGTCAGCGTCGCTCTCCGCTCACCTCCCTCTTTTCGGAGGGGTAGAGGTAGTTGGAGTGCGGTGATTGTGGCCAAGTCACCACACACCGATGCCAGATCATCGTGCCTTCTGGCTACGTGCTGTCTTACCAGCGGTGGAGGCACTCTGTTGCCCTTCCGTCAAATGAACTTGCACACATTTCCCTTGGGATAAATCATAGGTATTGTACTTGATGTCTTAGAATCCTTATAAGTTACCCCTTTTTCCTTCGCAATCGCAGGTTTTGGGACACTTCAATGAGGTTTTATTCCATCATCCGACATCTTCCAGTTTGGTGCCTGTTCGAGTGACGGTCGGCCTGGTTCTCCTGATGTATAACATGTGCCGGCTATCCGGCTGAACCGCTTGAAAATCTGTGAACTCTATTTGTGCTGGAGCTAATTCACGGTCCTGCGTTCGCAACGCCTGACAATGGTTGTCTTGTGTGAAGATTACCTGAAGGTGTGACTTCTTACTACCTTTGCTCATACACTGTTTTCTTGAGCTGTTCCTGCTGCCCCCCTGAGGATGTTACCCTGAGACGGGCGGACGGAATTGATGCCGTGTCGAATGTCTCTAATTCTCCTGATGCTTTGGCATCAGGTGTGCTTAACTGAAGGGTGGCCGTCCTTTCCCCACATGCAATCTCCCTGTTTCTTCGCACCAAGAGCGTTTGAGCTTCCAATTGTTTCGTATGCTTACTCTTTTGTGCTGGGCCCTCGTGTTTGCAGGCAGCTGCTTGCTGAAGTTTGAAATCATTCATGCATCATGGATGGGTTTATGTATGCAAGCTTTTAGCACTTCTGGCTTGTGCTGAAATAAGTGTACAATTTGCAGTGTTATAAATATTCCCCCTGTTTACAAACTGGAGTTGGTGCTGGAGGTGTGTTTTGGTCGAAGTTGGTTCCTTATTGCTGATTGAATTGTCACATTGTTTTTTTTGTTGTTTTGAGGTCAGATGTAACCCTCTAACGAACCGTACTTTTGAGTTCACTCATTGAGGGGCAAAGCCAGTGACGTGTCTTGTGGAATTCATGACGACGACTTGAGTCAGCTGCTGCCTCAACCAGCGTCAGCGGCTAACCTTGCCCTTGCCTTCCAAACGAGGTGTCATTTGTCCGTTGACGTGGCCGGTTGTCGCAACTGCACGCTGGCGTTCCGCGAAATTGTTGTGCTTCGGTCTTTCGAGGTGTTTCGCGAAAGCTGTTTTGTTTTGTCGAGTAACCAACCACACCTTGTCGTGAAAGACGTCATGGCCAATCAAACCCCAGTCGGTGCTTGTTGAAAATGTAATTTGGTCCATCCCTGCCCTATCCCACAGTTTGATCCAAGCACAGGGTTGTTCTACGCCTGCCCGACATCACGTTGACTCGATTCCTCGTCACTTCTCGCGCTGCCCGAACTTGCAGCACCAAACGACACACCGCCAAGTCCGACGTTGATGAAGTTCAACCAATCCCGATCGAAGCTCAGAACTTCGAAGTATCCTGCGGCCTACCCGCAGCTCTCGCCGAACAAACACAATTCTGCCCGAGGAAATATTCCACGTTCGCCGAAATGTCTCCGGCTTTCCCGCCAGTTCCTCTCCATCACCTCGAGATTTGTTGCTTGCATTCTCGAAGTTCTCTCGACCACTTTCCAGAAACTGCGACCAAGGGAGACACAAGCGACCGATTCGAAAAGACGAGAGCAGAAGCAAGATCAAAGCAAAGACGTTTCCGCCATCTCAGTTGCGTGTGCCAATTGTTCTAGCTGCACTCACGTTTCCTTCATCCCAAGGTCCAGGAAGATAGCTAGAAGAAACAGCGAGCTAGTCTAGCAACGAACCGTAGGCCTGTGACGTTTAACTTGGAGCATGTACTGCTTATGTGTGATTCTAGTGAACGAATATGCTTACGTTGATGGGTGATATGTCATCGCGCGTCGCGGCACGGGGATCGTGGAAAGCGCAAGCTGTTTTCCCGCCGTTTGCAGACGTGCCTCAGATATCTTTGCAAGATGAAGGTGACGGTCTGATGCGTATTTATACCTCACGTTTTTCCGTGGGATGGTTTTCGTGCGAGTTTTGAAGAGGATTTTGTCAACGAGCTTCCGTTACTGCAAATTCGGACTTAGGAACCGTCCTAGTCTTCGCACGTGATTAACTAGTTGCTTCCGCTACCAAGACTTCCAAGCCAGCACCTAGGAGTAGCGCTGCCTTTCTAAGCATACCACTTTAGAACCCTCTCCTTTTTCTTCTTGCTTTTCCCTTCCCGTTTCTTCAGGCCTTTCTCCCTTCCCGCCGTTTCCTTCGTCCCGTTTCCAGCCGTCACCATCGCCGCGTTTCACGCCGTCGCCATCTCCGCGTTTCCCGCCGCCTCCGTCTCCGCGTTTCTCTTACGCGCAAACCACGAGTACAGGCCTCACAGAACCCAGTAGTTTCTCTTGCTCGCCGCCTACTCCCCAGTCATCATCCGCGTCCCCTTCTCCTCGAGTCGCATCATTTTCTCAATCTGCGTCCCCTTCTCCTCGACTTACGTCATATTCTCAAGCCGCAGTTCCAAGCTCTATGCCTCCACTGATGTCGCTCTCCCCTCCTTCTCCGCAATCCCCTCCCTACTGGCCGCCGCTAACCCGTAGCCCCGACCCATTGCAAGCTCCGTTTCCGAAAATACCCGATACAAGACCTCGTAGAACGGGGCAGCGGGATGAGAACGAGAAACGAGCTACGGGTTTCTTAGGAGGTCCAGAAAGGGTAGGAGGGTCTGCGTGGGTCAAGAGTTTGCCGCAGCAGCAGCAGCACGCTCTGAAACCATGGGATACTGTACAGTTACAGGCAGCTATTGAGTCGCCTCAAACGCAGAGTTTGCCGCAGCAGCAGCAGCACGCACTGAAACCATGGGGTACTGTACAGTTACAGGCTGCTATTGAGTCGCCTCAAACGCAGCAGCAGGAGTCTGGACCATGGGGTACTGTGCGTTCAGCTGGTCTGATAGACGAGCCGTCAGCAGGATCGTTTAGTCTGCCGTCTCCGTCTGCCTTGACGTCGCCGTCTGCTTTGACGTCGCCGTCTGCTTTGACGTCGCCGACTGCTTTGACGTCGCCGTCTGAGTCCGCGCCCCTGCTACCGGCCAGCTGCGCTTCCGCGTCGCAAGGCATTTCAGACGCTATTTGGGCCGGCTGTGGGTTGTTGGGTTCACAGTCCGTGGTTTCCCAACAGGTGCTGGAGCTGCTGCAAGAGCAGCAGCAACGACAGCAGGAACAGCAGCAGCAGCTACAGGAACAGCAGCAACAGCAGCTGCAGCAACTACGGCAGCAGCATCAACAGCAGCTACAGCAGTGGTCACAGCAGCAACAGCTCGTTGCAGCTGCCCCGCTTTTGCAGCTTCAAGAGCAGCTTCGGCAACAATTGCACTTACACTACAGCGAGTTACAGCAAGAGCAGCAGCAGCAGCAGCAGCAGCAACGTGGGCTTTTGCAACAGCAAATAAGGTACCCCTCTCCACTTGTACAGGAGCAACAGCAGCCGCAACAGGAGCAGCAGCAGCAGCAGCAGCAATTAAGTTACCCATCCCCACGTGTACAGGAGCAGCAGCAGCAGCAGCAGCAGCAATTACGGTACCAATCTCCACTTGTACAGGAACAGCAGCAGTGGTCGCAGCAGCAGGACTATCAGGAGCAGCAGCAGCAGCAGCAGCGCCTTCAGCTGGCCCAGTGGCACATGACCCAAGTGGAGCTGCAAACACAGCTGCAAGCATTGGAGCAACTAGCTGCTTCGGGCCAAACCTCCCCCGCAGCCTCGGCCCAAGCCACGGCCTTGGTCCAAGCCGCAAGGTTTGAATCGCAACTCAAAGCTGCCCAGATTGAATATCAGCTGCAGAATTCTGCAGGTTCAGGACGGATAGGCAATTCCTTTGCTGTAGCATCACCACAAGCCCAAGCCCAAGCTTCACCAGTACGGCTTCGGGAATCGCTGCTCAAGACACATCAGGATAGGTTCGGAAATTCTGAGAGCTTCTCGCCTTCGAACCTCCCACTCCCGAAGCTCCGGCCCAGCTCTGGTGCAAACACCAGGCCATGGTTCGGACATCCTCAGGCTCGGACTGAACATGAGGGGCCTATTTATGGGTCACCAGGGGGGTCTATGGGGCGTGACACGTGGCAGCAGTACAGTGCGCCAGGTGGCTCCACGTCAGCATCGCCATCAGCAGCTGCGGCTGCCATTGCTGCTGCTAGAGCAGCGAGCGCGCGTAAATCCCGAGGGTACGGGCAAGCAGGAAGGAGCCCTGGATCAGCTTATAACGGATCTTCCAGAGGTTCTCCTAAAAAGGGTGGCAGAGGGGGCAAAGGGTTTCCCTACAACAGCAGCGGTAGCATCAGTGGACCTGTGGTTTCATATCCGGCTTTCTCCCCTAGAGCTGTTTTGGATTCGTCGTGCGCTATAGCTCATAACGAGTCTGCTCTAAGTGATGTGTCAAGCGAGGGCAGCAGTGGGGTGGACGCGCAAGGGGTTCACTTGCTGGAGCTGACATGTGGGTGGCAGGATTTGTCTCATATCCCAAATGTACAGGTGACAGGGGGTGTAAGCCGCCCAGCTGTATGCTCTGTGAAGGAGAAGGACGACGAAGAGGTTTTGCCATCACAGGAAGAGTTTGATGCAGCCTTGTGCTGAAGCCGGTGACTTCTGTGTTGCGCACACATGCTTGTGCACTGTGATTGTTTCAAGGAGGTGAGATGATGAAGAGGCGCTGCATCAGAGCAAGACCTTGATGCAGCCATGTGTTGAAGCAGGGGTTTATTGGGAGTGCACATGCTCTGGTCCTCTGGTCATTTGCAACCAGATCATTTCATTAGGCTTTCTTTATTTGTACTTGTACAGTTGTTCCTACTTGGTTCTTTTTCCTCCCTCATGGTTTGCTATTTTTTGGAGGTTCCAATAGATGTCCCTCATTGGGGTCGGGATACCTAGATCCGCTTATTGATTTTGTGGTAATTAGGTGTGGTAATATTGTACCGTATATCAGTACCATGGAATCTATGTAACTGTACATTGCATCTACGGTAGCTCCACTCTTCTTGTCCTGAATTACTCGACGGTTCACGCAGCTGATTCAGCATTGTAAGGTGCAACGCAACACGCAGACTGTGCTACACAAGGGGGGTCAAATGTCCAACTGAAAACGAACGGAGGTGAGAACACGATTGCCAAAGGGGAAAGGGAGATTGAAGGGGAGGGGGGACAAATCAAAACAAAACAAAAGAAGTACTGTAGGTATGAGATATAATAGCACTTGACAGTCATCTTACAAAGACGCAGCAGGATGGCTAAAAAAAGGCACCTTTCAGGCCAATAAGGTAGCACCTGGAAGGCTATTCTGCCACTGGTGCCAGCACCTGATACCACCACTGCACTATCCTGAGAGGTATGGGCCGGTGGGATGGATTATTGCAAGGAGGGTGAGGGGGAGAGGGTACAGCTGGGAGCATAGGAGCTGGGGGAGCCACTGCTATCACCACTGCATACACACACCCTGATATCGCCAACATCCCACCACTGTGCCACTGGTCCACTGAGCTGAGGTATATTCAGGGCAGCGGCAGTGGGGTGGATGAATAGGTCACTGGGAGGAGTGAGAGAGGCGTGAGAGAGGGATGCATGCGAGCAGAGGGGTAACACTTGTCACGACTGCTCTGATGCCGCCACTGCACCATCCTGAGGGCAGGGGTTGTAACGTGGATGATTGGGAGGGTTGGAAGAGACGGGAGAAGGGGGGCCATAGGAGAAGCGAAATGCATACGGGCACAGGAGAAACAGTTCTCACAACTGCTCTGATATCACCACTGCACCATCCTGAGGGCAGGGGTCGTAACGTGGCTGATTGGGAGGGTTGGAAGAGACGGGAGAAGGGGGGCCATAGGAGAAGCGAAATGCATACGGGCACAGGAGAAACAGTTCTCACAACTGCTCTGATACCACCACTGCACCATCCTGAGGGCAGGGGTCGTAAAGTGGCTGATTGGGAAGAGGGGAAGAGAGACGGGAGCGTGGGGACGGGGGTTGCATAGGAGGAGGGGGGACTGCAAACGAGCAGAGGCGATACACCTGTCATTTCAGGACTGGTCTTGAACCACAGCTATCCTGAGGGAAGGGTTGGTGGCGGTGATGATCGGGAGGGGAAGGGGAGAACGGGGAGAGGAGAGTGGGGAGGCATACAAGCTGGGGGTTTGCAGAGGAGGCCTGGCAAGATTGTGAATTCACACAAATCTTTCACAAACCCTCTGGTGCCAGAAGTGCCTGCCAGTTAGAATAACTGGAAGGGGAGAGGGGGAAGAGGTGAGTGGGGAGGCATACAAGCTGGGGGTTTGCATAAGAGGCCTGGAAGTTGTGAATTCACACACATCTTTCACAAACACTTTGGTGCCAGATTGTTTTGAGACATCTCAAAACACTGGTGGTTCGCATAAGAGGCCTGGCAAGATTGTGAATTCACACACATCTTTCACAAACACTTTAATGCCAGATTGTTTTGAGACATCTCAAAACACTGGTGGTTCGCATAAGAGGCCTGGCAAGATTGTGAATTCACAACCATCTTTCACAAACACTTTGGTGCCAGAAGTGCCTTTTGAGTCGACTCAAGAATTCACACACATCTTTCACAAACACTTTGGTGCCAGAAGTGCCAGAAGCTGGAGGCTGTGCCAGAAGTGCCAGAAGCTGGAGGCCGTGCCAGAAGTACCTGCCAACTAGAATCGCTGTGACAGACTAAATGCAGTCCCGAAAAAAAAACCCACACACACACGCGCGCGTGCACGCACACCCCCCCCCCCCCCCCCCCCCCCCCCCCACACACACACACACACACCCGCACACATTCTCAGAAACCAAGAGGACGAAGCAAGGACGAGAGCAAGACCTTTGATTGACTACTACCGTATGAGACAGAGCAAGCAAAGAAGGAAGGAGAAAGGGCAGCACGCTTTGGAGAATCTGAGGTGCACCTGAGCTGAGCTGAGGTAATCTTTTGAGGCGCCTCGAAAGGGCAGCATGCCTTGGAGAACCTGAGGTGCACCTGAGCTGAGGTCATCTCGTGTGCCTTTTGAGAATTCTCAAAAGTCACTTGGAGAACCTGAGGTGCACCTGAGCTGAGGTCATCTCGTGTGCCTTTTGAGAATTCTCAAAAGTCACTTGGAGAACCTGAGGTGCACCTGAGCTGAGGTCATCTCGTGTGCCTTTTGAGAATTCTCAAAAGTCACTTGGAGAACCTGAGGTGCACCTGAGCTGAGGTCATCTCGTGTGCCTTTTGAGAATTCTCAAAAGTCACTTGGAGAACCTGAGGTGCACCTGAGCTGAGGTCATCTCGTGTGCCTTTTGAGAATTCTCAAAAGTCACTTGGAGAACCTGAGGTGCACCTGAGCTGAGGACATCTCGTGTGCCTTTTGAGAATTCTCAAAAGTCACTTGGAGAACCTGAGGTGCACCTGAGCTGATGCCATCTCGTTCGTGGTCAGAGAGGTTAACGTGGGAGGTGAACCTGACCTGAGGTGTGCCTTTTTTTAGGCGATTTTTTAGGCGCCGCAGAAATCACCTCAATGCGCTCAGAGAGGTTAACTTGGGAGGTGGAGTGGACCTGAGGTGCCCAGAGATGCCCAGATGCAACTCTGGGCACCCCAGCAGGCTCACCCAAGGATAGGCTGAACCTGCTTTTCTAGAATTCTCAAACTACAGACCTGAGGTGCCCAGAGATGCATCTCCGGGAATCCCGGGCAGGCTCACCCAGAGATGAGTTTTTGAGGCGCCTCAAGAGATATTTGAGGCGCCTCAGAAGATATTTGAGGCGCCTCAGAAGATATTTGAGGCGCCTCAGAAGATATTTGAGGCGCCTCAGAAGATATTTGAGGCGCCTCAGAAGATATTTGAGGCGCCTCAGAAGATATTTGAGGCGCCTCAGAAGATATTTGAGGCGCCTCAAGAGGTGCCCAGAGATGCACCTCTGGGCACCCCAGCAGGCTCACCCAGGGATGAACATTGATCGATCGTGGGTGATTGGGACCAAGAGAGAGGGAGGGGATGAGGAAGAGGATAAAGAATGACCTCATTACACAGGATTTGAACATCAATCGATCGTGGGTGACTTTTGAGGCGCCTCAAAAGCCGGGCAGGCTCACCCAGGGATGAACATCAATCGATCGTGGGTGATTTGGACCATGAGAGAGGGAGGGGATGAGGAAGAGGGAGGGGATGAGGAAGAGGGAGGGGAAATGGCAGCATGGGATGGAGAGCATATTAGAAGGAAAAGGGGAAAGAGGAGGGGAGGGGAAAGGGCAGCATGCCTTGGAAAAGCGGGAAGGAGAGAGAGGAAAAGTGTGGGGGGGTAGGGGATTGTAACGGGAAGGAAGTGGAGATGTGGCGAGGGGAGGGGAGAAGCAAGCGTGACTTTGAGAAGGATGGAAGAGGGAGAGGTGCATTTTGAGGCGCCTCAAAATGCACCTCAACGCTCGCGGGAGGGGAGAAGCAAGCGTGACTTCGAGAAGGACGGCAGAGGGAGAGGGGTGGGAGAGAAAGAGGACGCGATGGGAGAAGGGAGGGAACGTGCCTTTTGAGTCGACTCTTAGGGAAAACGTGAGGAGAAGGAGAAAGAGGAAGTGGGGGGAAGGGGAGGGACGGGGAGGGGATGGTAGGTAAGGTGTGGGTAGGAGAGGGAAGGGGAGGGAAGGGAAAGAGGGGGAAAGAAAAGGCAGGGGTAGGGGAGAGGGGGAAAAACATGCCTTGGAGAAAGAAGCGATTTCAGCCGCGACTGCTGTGAGCTGATCGACCACTCGAATGGTCTGATGCAGAGATAAGGGGAGATGCACTGCACGAGAAGAGGTGGGTGCGCAGGGAAGAGAGGGGGGTTGCACTGATGGATGGTAGAAGGGAAGGGAAGGGGGGTTGCTGTGAGCCGATCCACCACTCGAATGGTCTGATGCACGGATGGGGGGAGATGCACGAGAAGAGGTGGGTGTGCAGGGGGGAGAGGGGGGTGCACGGATGGATGGTAGAAAGGAAGGGAAGGGAAGGGAAGGGAAGGGAAGGGAAGGGAAGGGAAGGGAAGGGAAGGGGGGTTGCTGTGAGCTGATCGACCACTCGAATGGTCTGATGCAGGGATGGGGGGAGATGCACGAGAAGAGGCGGGTGTGCAGGGGCGGGGGAGGGGGCGGGCCGGAGGAGAGGGAAAGGGAGGGGGGTTTAGGGCAGGGCAGCAGTATGCCTTGGAGAAGGAGACAATTTCAGCCGCCACTGCTGTGAGCTGGTCGACCACTCGAATGGTCTGATTTAGAGATAAGGTGACTGTCAGTGGGCAGGGAAAGGTGGGTGCAGAGGAGGTAGGCAAGTGGACAGTTTTGAGAGTTCTCAAAGGCCGCTGCTGCGAGCTGGTCAACCAGTCGAATGGTCTTATACAGAGAAGGAGGGGGGGAGGGGGGGGGGAAGGGATGGGGGGGGAGGGGGGGGGGGGAGGGGATGGGGGGGGAGGGGGGGGGGGGGTTAGCGGGGTGGGCTAGAGGGAGGAAATGGCGAAGGAAATGGGGAAGGGGAAGGAGGCGGAAAGAGGGCAAGGCAAAGGACAGAGCTTTGAGAGAATTTTCTGCATGTAAGTCTACTTTTGGGACGTCTCAAGAATGTTAAGGGAATATTTCAGCATGTAGTAGTCTGTACATCACGAGGTGGCTTTTGAGTCGACTCAAAAGTCACCTTTTTGAGACATCTCAAGAGTGTTGAGGGGCTTTTTCAGCATGTAGTAGTCTGAATATCACGGCATGGGGTAAATCCCCCCTGGTGCACTCCCCCCTGGTGCACTCCCCCCTCTGCACTCCCCCCTCTGCACTCCCCCCTCTGCACTCCCCCCTCTGCGCTCCCCCCTCTGCATTCCCCCCTCTGCGCTCCCCCCTCTGCGCCCCCCCCCTCTGCGCTCCCCCCTCTGCATTCCCCCCTCTGCGCTCCCCCCTCTGCGCTCCCCCCTCTGCGCTTCCCCCTCTGCACTCCCCCCTCTGCGCTCACCCCTCTGCTCTCCCCCCTCTGCTCTCCCCCCTCTAAACTCTCCGCGCTTCGTACATCAGCCTGAGTGATTCCATTGGGCAGGCGGGCTTGGGACGGGAAAGCAAACCAGGCCAACACTTTGCGGCCTCGAAGTGTGGTTTGAAGGAAGCTGACCGTTTTTCGTGAATGATACCAGATACTTCGCAAGGGACAACGATTTCGCACGCTCACCTCTTCGTCCATCAGGCCGGAGTAACCCGCATAGCCGGCGAAAAGCTGCGCGTCGAAGGCGCGGAAAATTCGCAAGATTTCGTCCAGCGACGCGACATCTATTGCCGGCGAGGGCATCTCATTCGATCGTTCTGTGAGAGGCAGCTCGTGCGACCGCACTTGCGACCGCGAATGCGACATTGTATGCGACTGCGACTGCGACTGCGACTGCGACTGTCAATGCGGCAGCGGTGCGACGCTAGCCTGACAAAGGACGCACGCATTCTACCTCGAGCTTATTCCAGCTTTAACTCGTGCCTACTAAATACTTCGTTATGAGAAATCTCAATACCGTTTCCTCATGTCGATTGTCAGTTGGCGTTTGAAGGCAAGCATTCGTAATACTCAAGTGACACGCCGCGTGAAAGGCGATACAGTCTAGAAAGTCTGCTGGTTGGGAATACGTCATGACCAAGGCGTGGTACAATTGAATAAAACGCCAAGTTCCTGCTGTTTGGGAATTGACGAGTGTTGACATTGTGTCGGAAATTCTGGCGATGCGAAAATAGCGAAGTTGGGATTTTTGCCCGGCTCACAGCGAATCTGAGATACCACACCGTAACCTTCTGACTGTTTATCTAAAGTTCCTTTCGTGAGCATCTAGAACATGGAGAATGAGCAGTGCCGAACATTTCGTGCGACGATGTGGTAACACCATTGATGACCCCGAGTTCTAAGGTTGGAAAGACCCCAGTTCTGGTTTCAACGATTGGGTCATAGCCGTCATCTCACCTCACCACCTCCTCCCGTCACGTTCCACCCTTGCCATGTACTGTACATCCTCTGCCTTCCTTGAAGGACGGACTGCCTTCCTTGAAGGACGGACAGACTAGAGCCTGTGTGGGGTGAGGAAGCCCTTCGTGGTTAGACCTGTTGGAGAAGCGAGTTTCTGCCGCCCCAGCCCTTTGCACACAAGGAGCAGCAAGGGGGGAATGTCGGCGACGGAGTCAAGGCTTCGCGAAATATTCAGAAACTTCCGCAACCAATCAGATTTCAGCCGAAATCTCTTTACAGTTCGGAATCACTTTCAGCCGAAGTGTTAACGCTTTCTACAGGCTTCTACAATCCAAAATCAGCTATATCAGAGAATTCCAGAGCCTTCTTATTCATGCACCTCATGTGGCTCTCAAAGTCACTCAAGGTCCATGGAAGAAGAATTGTGCCCAAGTTCCCAAGGAAGTTGCCTTGTCTAGCAGCCTAGTTTGAGCTACCTATCTGTCTTTGTTTGTGATGCTTAAAGAGTTGTGCCTTAGTGGGCTTGTACAATCTTGAGCATAGTGAAGTTTTACCTCATCCAGTCAATTCCAGTAGCCCTGCTAAGACTTTCCAGCCAATTTTCCAGCCCTCCAGTAGTCACAGCTACTCTGTTTTACAAGTTGGTATCAGAGCTCGTTGTTTCGATCAACCGAGTCCACCACGTTCCTATCCTAGCATTATACGAGCATGGCGGGAGACAATACGTCTGGCACTGCACTTCAGTCAGCCGGAGGAGCTTCAGAGTCAACCTCAGCAGCTACAGGTTTATTGGAAGCAGTTGCACCAGGAGGTTCTTCAACAGCATACTCACCACTCACCTCCTTCATGCCTAAGCTTCACCTTCCCAAGTTCAACGGCAAAGATTTTCCAACATGGGCAACTCAGTTTGAGCTCACTGCATCCCTTCTGGATATGTGGCCTTACTATACTGGAGAAGCAGCCAAACCAGCAGCAGATGCTTCAGAAGCTGAAAAACGACTTTACGAACGGCGCAACAAGGAGGCCTTCCTCTACCTACTCAATAGCATTCACGAGCAGCAGTTGAAGTCGCTCCTGCCCTGTTCTACCAAGGCAAACAGTGCTGAGGAGGCATGGAGCCGACTGAAGTCTATGCACCAGTCAAAATCAGAGAGCAGCCAAGCCGAGATGTGGAGCCGCTTCATGAACCTGAAGATGGAAGAAGAGGAACCAGCCCAAACCTACCTTCAACGAGCTGAAACGATGCTAGAGGAAGCAGCAGCGATTGGCTTGGAGATTCCAGAGTCTGTTTTCAAGACCGTCATCCTTACTGGCCTTACACCGGAGTAGGACACTTTCCGTGCAACACTACAAGCGCTTCCGCAGTCAATGAAGAGTCGTGCGTTCCTCTTCGAAGCCCTTGTTAACAAGCAGCAAAGTCGAGACCTTGCACGAAACAAGCGGAGTGACGAAGGTGCGTGGAGTGCAGCAGCAGCTATAAGATATGGCAACCAATCCCAGAGGCAAGGAAATTTCAGCCCAAACCGCCCTCAACCTTACTACGGTACGAAATTTCAGTCACCTTCCAACTCATACAAACCCTCTCGTTTTCCTCAGTCAAGTCCTCCTTATAAGTCCAGTCCCTATGTCCAGCCAAGGCCTTCAATTCCCAATCAATACCAGCCTAGGAATGCAAGAGTCAATCCGCCAAGAGTCAATAATTTCAGCCAAGCCTCGAATGCTAAAAAGTTTAATTTTGAGTGTTTTTGTTGTCACGAGTGGGGTCACCCGTGGTATGCTTGTCTTAAGAAGCCTCCTAATTGGGTCCCCCCACCTCAGCTACTATCTGAAAAAGGTAAGGCAGTCATAGCAAATATAGCAAGTCATTCTACAAGTCAAGATGAGTCCAAGGATTCCGATGGTCCTGTTCTTTTCAATGCCGTTACTTGCATGCACGTATTTACTACTAGTAGTGAGGAGTTTATTCTTGATAGTGGCTGTTCTGAAACCATGACTCCCTATCAGTCCATTCTCAAGGATTATCAGCCCTCGTATGACTCAAAAGTGGTGACTCTTGCTGATCTTGGCAAAGTCCCTATCACAGGAGTCGGCAAGCTTGAGTTCGAAAAAGATGGTAAGTCATTTTGTGTCAAAAAAACTTTGTTTGTTCCTGATTTGGGAGCAAACTTGCTCTCAGCTGGACAACTCGAAGAGAAATGTGCCTCTGTACTCTTGCAAGGGGGGAAAGCCAAAGTGTGGGACAGTGCAGGAAATTTGGTGGCTGAAGGCGAGCGTACCGGGCGGCTCTACAAGATGAAATTGGAGATTAAGCGCGGTTCTAGCAACACGAAGAACGACGTTGTCTCGCTTCCCGCTGTTTCAACCGATCAAGTCAACAACAAAGGGAGTATCTCCCAAGCTGAGGTATGGCATGCACGCTTGGGACACTTAGGAATGCAAGCATTGAAAGAGTTGGTAAATCACAAGAGTGTGGAAGGATTGAGTTTGAGTGAAAGTGCAGTCAAGTCCCTTTCTTCCGTTCCATGTCCATCTTGTGTCGAAGGCAAGCTAGCTAGAAAGCCATTTTTCCCTTCTAACTCTCAGTCAAGGGACCTCCTAGAGTTGGTCCACACTGATGTATTCGGCCCCATGCGAGACCCTACTCGAAACGGTAAGAGATATTTGGTGTCTTTCATAGATGACAAGAGTCGTTTCTCGTGGTACTTTTTCATCAACACCAAGGATGAAGTTCACAAGTGTTTCAAGCAATGGCTAGCACTTGTTGAAAGAGAGTCAGGGAAAAAGTTACTCACCTTGAGGTCGGACCGAGGAGGTGAGTACATGGGGAAAGCATTTCAGGGGGAGTTGTTGGCATTGGGCATCAAACAACAGTTCACTTGTCCCTATACTCCTCAGCAAAACGGAGTGGCAGAGAGGTTCCATCGCACTATTCAAGCTATAGCTACCACTTTTCTTCAGTTTAAGGGCCTTGACAAGCTCTGGTGGGGTGAGGCAATCACTATGGCAATTTATGTTCGCAACAGGAGAGCCACAAGGCCCCTACCGGATGGTGTAACGCCATATGAGGCTTGGTTTGGAGTTAAACCAGATCTGGCTATGCTTCATGTTTTTGGTTCCATGGCCCAATACCGTGTTCCAGATGCAAAAAGACTCAAGCTGGACAGCAAAGCTCATTGGGGCCTCTTCATCGGCATGAGCAGCGAGAGCAAGGGATGGGTTCTTTGGGATCCCGTCACCAAGCGAGAAGTGGTTTCAAGGAATGTTGTATTCTATGAAGACATGTTCCTCGTAGGTTGGCACAAGTTTTCCTCTTCCTCCTCTCTACCACCCCCTATCCAACAGGAACCAGCAAGAGCACCCGAGGAAACAACACAAGAGGAGGAAGAAGATGACACCGATTCTGACCATAGCGGACCCATGATCGATCTCCCGCAAGCCGTCGTCAACGAGACCAGCCGTGCCACACCAGTGCCACCAGCAGCTACTCAACCAAGTGGAGATGAAGTTCAGCCATCAAATGAAGACCATCCAACTCAGGAAGTCACCGTTCCATCACCGCCAAAGGAGCAGCAGCCAACTGTCAGAAACCAGCCAACTACTTCAACACCAACCTCGCAAGTTCAACGTCAACCGGATCAGCCCACCACTACACCATCAAACCCATCACCAGACGTCACCTCAGAGGCAACTACAGAAGCTCACCATCATCCAATGCAGCAGCAACCGACACCTACAAGACCCCAAGTACCTACATCAACACTATCTACGATTCTTCCTAGCAACAAGCCAACCGTCACTGCAACACCTCGTTCTCATACCACACGTTCATCACTTCAGGTTCCAACGTCAAGCCAGCTCATAGCACGAGGATCACTTCAGCGAGTCACCACCAACACCAGCTCCAACAGCCCACTTCTTCACCCAAGACCTTTCTCAACTTCACCCCCACGTTCCGAAATCGGCCGTCATCAGTTACCGCCATCTTCTACACCGAGAAACAACACCAATCAGCCCCATTCATCACCACCTCTCGACAACGCAGCGTCATAATCAATTCCTAAGCTTCTAGTCTCAAGATCCCCACCAAGAGCATCTTCACAACCAACTATGCCGACGAACGTTTCAGCTTCACCGCCACGGGTCACCACACCTATTCCTCAAGTCGACACCGATAATCGAGAAAGTTCCATGCCGGGAGAAGATCATGCAGCCGTGCCGCCGTCGCAGCCGATGTCGCAGCCGTTGTCTCAGCCGCAAATGACCGTATCAACACATCCAAACACTGTGAGACCGAACCCTACCACTGATGTGTCTCAGCCAAGTGAGGAATATGGTAAAGGTAA